ATTTTGAAAAGTGCGTCAATTTTGACATTTCCTTCTCTGGTATAGTCGGCGTCCGGCGACTGCTGTACGTCGGTAGATTTACGCGCATGCGCCTTGAAAATGTCACGCCACGTGTGAACGCTTATTTTGCAGTTTTCACGTGAATGATTTATTTTTTCTTGATCAGTTTTTTCTTGGCATTTCCTAGATTTGGAATGTCGTTCGATTTAAAAATTATTGAAGAGACCCATAAAATGCGAAATAACCTGATGGTCCACGAAAATCTAGGCCAATGTTCATTGACTCATACTTTTTGACTTGACTCATGATTTTTGACTCATAAAAATTGTATCATGATTTTTTATTCTTTGACTCATGATTTTTGACTAGTGATTTTTGACGATTTTTTTTGACTAACAATTTTTGACTAATGATTTTCTGAATTTTTTTTAGTTGAGATTCCTGCAGTTTTTTTCAGTATTCAATTCTGTTTTTTTTTGGCCAATATTGATGGGTAAGAAGCTGAAGGGTGGGAGGAATTGGGAGAAATGTTAACACAGTTTTTATTCGATAACATATTTATTAAAAACTTTTAAAATTAATCAATCATTGAAATTTTCGATAGATCATTATACCGTTAAAACTTTATCAATATGGTACTTCTAACAAAACAGCCTTCAAAAAACTTCTCAAAGTATAACAATGTCTTATTTTTTGAATATACCGTTTTTCCTGAATTTTGATGAGAAATCGAAAATTATGTCGTTTTAAAACAGGCCTGGCCGTATAAGCTAAAATAATTTGCAAAATAAATTAATAAAAAATCACTTATCGCGTTATTCCATCCATTTCCCTCTTTTATTCACGCTCAATAATGAATGATATCGAATAAAAACTGTGTTTAGTTGTTTTCATTAAACTAACGGAGACTACTAAAAATATCAAATCATACATATCATTTGGCCTACTACGGATATTCGTTTAATGTTACAGTCGATTCCTTCGGTGGATCCGCTTAGCTGGGATTACGCTTCTCATTGAAATCGATAAGCGATGAAATGCCAAAAAAAAACAATTTTTTAAGCTTACAGAAGTTAAAAGAACTTTTTTTCCTTTCAGTAATAATCTTCCCCCCATTCAGTAATAACATTTCTCCCAATTCCTCCCACCCTTTAGCTTCTTACCCATCAATATTGGCCAAAAAAAAAACAGAATTGAATACTGAAAAAACTGCAGGAATCTCAACTAAAAAAATTCAGAAAATCATTAGTCAAAAATTGTTAGTCAAAAAAAAATTAGTCAAAAATCACTAGTCAAAAATCATGAGTCAAAGAATAAAAAATCATGATACAATTTTTATGAGTCAAAAATCATGAGTCAAGTCAAAAAGTATGAGTCAATGAACATTGGCCGAAAATCTACCCGCGTACAGCAGTCGCTGGACGCCGACTATAAATGAAAATCAATCAAATTCGAAAATAATTTCGTGTTCAATCGAAATCAAATATCAGTTAATCTGGGTATATACTGAATGGGGGAACGTCTATTTTTCGTCTTAATGAAGGGCTGAATGGGATAAATATTCAGCCCTTCTCCCCATTACTCAGGTAAATGAAAATCAATCTGATTCGAAGAACAATGAAATATAAATTATCCTGATTCGATTAAAAAATAATTAAAATTCGATTTAGAAAGTGTTTAAATTCCATTTGAAAATTTGGTTTTGATTCAAGAACCTTCGAAATCGATTGATTTAATTTTTTTTTTCAATTTTGAAATTGAATTCGATTGAAATTCTGGAATAATTCGAAACAGATTAATTCATATTGATTGAAAACGAAATTAATTTCGAATCCGATTGATTTTCATTTACCTGAGTAGGACAAAAAATAGACGTTTCAGCGATTTCCCCCATTCAGTATTTGTTCTTGATCCACTTCTTGATCCATTTTTTCTTGATCCACTTCTCATTACATCGAGACGCATTGGCACATAACAATAATTTTTAAAAGGAGTGAGCTCATTTTTTGACAACCCTCGATCTACAGACTACAATGAGGACAGGGACACAGCAACCACCACGCCAACTCGGGCCCACGACGACGCTAACTATTGCAGAAAGAGAAGTGTACGTTCAACTTTGGTTGTCCGAACGTGCTGAAAAAAAAGCGAAATAAGTTTTATTTAAAATATTGAATTGAACCTTCATTGTTGCGCAAGATTATGGAGGTGATCCCCAAAATAGGCGAATATTTTTGTTCTGCCGATAAAGCCAATCATTCATGAATCGTAGTATCAACATGGACACTGGAAGTACTACCAAGCAAAATCCCCCACAAACATCAAAAATTGTTGAAAACTGGTGCACCAAGATAGCAGCGTCTTGATCCAGAACTTCCGACTGAAAATTTTATTTTATTACATAGTCGGCGTCCGGCGACTGCTGTACGCGGGTAGATTTACGGGAATGCGTCTTTCGAAATGGTCTCGCAAGGACTAACAGGTTATTTCAAATTTTATGGACCGGTTCGATAATTTTTTAATCGAATGACGTTGGAAATTCAATTATCAAGAAAAATGAAGCAGTTCACGTAAAATCAGCAAAATAAGCGTTCACACGTGGCGAGACCTTTTCAAGGCACATGCGCGTAAATCTACCCGCGTACAGCAGTTGCCGGACGCCGACTATAACAAACTATTGAAAATAATGAAAATAAACAAATGAAGTATAATCTATCTTTCCGAAATGAATGTGATCATCCATGATCCCTTTGATAACTCCATGTAAATATAGTTCGATAATATTAAAAAATGAGATTTCAAATTTTTTTTAACTCAAATGTCATACCAATATGAAATACTCGCTTCTACTTGATATTTGAGCAGTTGGCGTACTGAGTTCAGGAACATCTGACGACGTGAGCAGAGCAAAATCACAACTCTTACAAGGAAAGTCATTTTACCTCCCGTCTTAGGATTTTTTGTAATTTTGCACACGTTAACTAGGTCTTCTGGGTGTGTTCACAAAATTCCAGCCTGCACTGGGAGGGGGTTACAGGCGAGTTATGGCCATCTGAAAATTTAAGGTGCGTATCCCTTGGCATCTGCGAGGCATCGAGTCCAAGAAGGTGTAGGTCATTGACATCGGAATGGCATTAAATGTTGCTTCGAGTTGAGCGAACTTCTCGCCGGCGTTTGACGCTCGGAGCCCTCTAACCCCCTGGGTTCCAGTTCTTCCCAGAGATGTTCGATCGGATTAAGGTCAGGACTCTGTGATGACTATGCAAGAATATAAACTATGCGACGGGTCTATTAGAAACCACCCCCACTTTTAACCCCCACCCCTGCTATTCCACCCCGACTTTTTAACCCCTCCTTTTATTTATGATACCAATTTTTAGATTTCACCTCTACTTTTTCACTGCACTTCAAAATTTGCAGTTTCTAACAGTAATGTTTAGCAGTAAATTAAAAAAGAAAATTTTTTAATTTGCAATAATTCAAGTTATCAAGAGGAAATTGGTAAAATTGATGTCTAAATTAGATTATTCAGAAACTATGTAGGCTTACAATGCAGCTTGATATCAAAATGCACAATTGGACACTTGAAATATTGACAATTGTTGGAAAATACGAAAATCTTACGAAATACGAAATCTTTCTGAACCGGGTTTTCCGAGAATAGTTCATTACTTGTTAAAATTTTCAGCCTGTCATAAAAACACTACATAGTTTCTGAAAAATCTAATTTAAACATCAGTCCTGCGAATCTCCTCTTGATAACTTGAATTATTGCAAATTAAAATTTTTTTAAAATTTACTGCTAAACATTACTTTTCACTGCACTTCAAAATTTGCAGTTTCTAACAGTAGAGGTAAAATCTAAAAATTGGGGGTGAAAAGTGGGGGTGGTATCATAAATAAAAGGAGGGGTTAAAAAGTCGGGGTGGAATAGCAGGGGTGGGGGTTAAAAAGTGGGGGTGGTTTTTAATAGACCACCCGACGTTTGTTTCATTGCGCAACTGCCCGGGATTTTGATTTCCCGGGATAAGCGGGTTCCGGGGATCCCGGGAAACCAACATATCTGACGTGAACTGAGTACATTGAAAAATTACATTTTAAATTGCTCCACTCATCGGAAATAATGAATTTTCTATTGGCCTAAAAATTGAACGAAATAAGTCCAGTAATGCCTACAAAATGCTTCCGCCAGCAAAACCACATTAGCGCTTCAAAAAACTTTCTTTTCTTTACGAGTTTTTTCCAATTCTTCAACTTCCTTTTTCTTCTTCTTTGCCTTTTCATAATCATCACTGTGTATTCTTTCCGAATGGCGCCTTATTCCGCTGGTCGATCCTCCTTTGAGGCTGGGTGATACTTTGCACGACGGGCACTTCACCGGGTAACACTTGTCCTCAGGACGTTTGAAAAACATCCAGAAAATTGAATCGCTCATCTGAAAGATTTGATTTGAATATGTCGCAAATCAGAATGACAAAGAAAATAAGAGAACTCATAAAATTTCGAAAAAAAAAACGAGAATTATATATTCGAAAAAGTGTGCGCATAGATTCGAAAATTGTGCGCTTGCGCGCGCGGTGTTCGCGGACTTGTATTTCCTTACTCAGCAAATCGCGCCGTAGAAACGGCGGTGAATAGCGAGTTTCGGTGAAACGGCGGTGGAACGATGGTTTACTAAACGCGCTAAACCGTGGGCTATGTGTAATATTAGAAGTGTCGTACAACCTTCTAAAAAAATCGAAATTAATTTAAATATATTTAATTAATATTAATTTTCGATTTTATTTAAATTTCATTTAAAGTTTTAATTAAATTTCAAAATAAAGATTTTTTTAAATTAATTTTATGAATGTTTTAATTTGTAATTAATTAATTATAATGTATTGATTGTTTTAAAACCTTCTATTGGTTTTAAGATTTAATATAATTAATACTACATTCTTTTTAAATTTGAATGTTTAATTTGATGAGAATGGCTTTTCCAGAACGTTCGTTTCAACATGAAAAGGAGTAGATTGACGAGAGAAGAGAATGGTATATCTGTGATCAGTATAAAGGAAAACAAATTTTGTAGACGCGCGAATTCAGGTCTATGGAGTTCGTCTTTTTTCGGAAATTTTGCGGACGCTGGATATGACGACTGTATTCTCGTAATAAATAATATGAATGGCGAAAATTTATGAGTCGAGCTGGGTTTAGGATCATCTGTTCACGGAAGGGTGCGACTATAACGGAACTGACGAGACCATGGATATGCTGCCAAAAGATAATGTTTTCAGTGTTTATCAGGAATGGAATAATGGTATGATTCTTGATTTATTGACACATTAATGCGGTTACCATATTTTTTCGATATCATAATGTAAAACCGTTTAACCGGTTAACCCTTTGATTGAAATTACTGGTTCCGGGAATTAATCGGCTTTATGAATGTTATTGTAGCAGAAAATAAATGTTATTCTGGTAGAAAAATAATTATAAAACGAATTCGAGAAAAAGTAATAATTATCGACCCAACCCATTAAATGAAAAATATCAACGTTAGTTCACGGGAGACCAAAAGAAGGATGCATCCGCGTAAATCTACCCGCGTACAGCAGTCGCTGGACGCCGACTATAGAATTTTAATATAACGTAAATTCTAATATTTAAACGTATTTTAATTGTTCATTGATTAAGATAAAGGAAGAAAAAAGAGGATGAATGCAATTCAACGAGTTGTCAACATGCTCGCGCCATACAGGATGTCGAGATCGGCAGTGAAGACAATTTGTGATGTTGCGGCTGTTATAATCGAAAACAATATAACGGTAAGATATGAATTAATGTGATACGTATTTCTCTTGGTCTCGCGCGGGCTAACTGGTTATTTCAAATTTTATGGACCGGTTCGATATTTTGTTAACCGAATGACGTTGGAAATTCAATGAAATGCCAAATTCATCGAGAAAAATTAAGTGTTTATGTGAAAACAGCCAAATAAGCGTTCACACGTGGGGAGACCTTTTCAAGGCACATGCGCGTAAATCTACCCGCGGACAGCAGTCGCCGGACGCGGACTGTACCTACCATTAAGACTCCGGAAACATTTCAGGAACGCGACATCTACGCATTCCAGGAAAAACTGATCGAAGATTATTGCCAACCGATATCGACAACGTTATGTACCAGGGCTGTGCGGCAATCGGAAATTTCGGCAATTCGGCAAATTGCCGAAAATCAAAATTTCGGCAATCCGGCAATTCGGCAAATTGCCGAAAATCAAAATTTCGGCAATCCGGCAATTCGGCAAATTGCCGAAAATAAAAATTTCGGCAATTCGGCAATTTGCCGAAAATAAAAATTTCGGCTATTAAATGTTTTCAACGATAATTCGAAATGTAAATACCGAATTTTCACGGTATCCCAAATTATTCAATGGACATTGATTTTGGTTTCGCCGATTTTTTTTGATATCAAATTGTCGAAAATCAAAATTTCGGCAATCCGGCAATTCGGCAATTTTTGCATTGCTTTGTTGAATCATTTCGTTTGTATAAGGCTTATTTTAGATTAATGCACGAAGTAGAATTTCTTAGAACTTCACCGGACTTGTACTGTTGAAGTACCAAGAAATGGGACTGATAGGAAGAGCTATAAATGTAAAAATTTTTCTTTTTCCGATAATTTTTTATTATTCAGTTGTGCGTAAATGCAATTTCGAAGGTCGACTACGAACCATTATGGTGCGTCTCAGAACTCACACACACTTTCACCTAGAGTCTTCCAATTAGGAAGTTTTTTTCATGTATGTTATATTTCAGTACAATCGTTTATATTTTTGCTAAACTTATTAGCCTTATGTGTTTTTGAAATGCGAAACCGGTTGGAAAAAATAACAAATTTAAACATTAAATTGCTTTGTTCGCAGTTTAGAGTTTCGCCATATGTGTCTAGTAATTGCGTAAAGTTTTGTCAAACTTTAAAGAAAAACAATAACGAAATCATGAAAATCATGAAAAAATGTATCATTTGAAATCAGATTCGGGTCGAAACCGCCAAAAATGGAATGAAGGAAAAGAAAAAAGTGTTTGAACCAGCATTTTCGCCAAAATTCGAGTTTGTTACAATGAAGTTTAATGGCAAGCCACCGTTCAAAGTATTTATCTAACGGCTATACGTGTAATATTAAGAATAACTTTTTAGAAAGAAGCAATAATTGATCTTCGAGATATAATAATGGACAAGAGCTCAATTCAAAGGCAAATTGGTACTGTTCTAAATGAATTGCTTTTAAGAGTAGGTCAAATTTCCCTCCTAATAGCTAAATGAAACAATATTTTAAAGACACTGGAAGACCACAACGCGCACCGTTACCTGACACTTCTAAAAATTCCTAAGGCGAATAAGAAAAATCGAAATTTCCAGGAAATGGATTTAGCTGTCCAATATTGGTTTTTAGGTAAGTGATCAATATATATCACGCGGTGCTTTAAAGTGATTTATGTATTTTTACGAAAAAAATTGGACAATTTTTGCGCAAAAATTGACTGTTTCGAATATTTCGCATTCTTTGACCAACATAAAAAATAGTACGAATTAAAAAAGACATCCAATATTGAGCCCATTTGCGTTCAATTCGTTCAATGAAACGAATTTCATTTCAGATTTTATGTGTTTATCTTTCGGATTTCCTAAGCATCTCCGATACCCTACGTACACATATGAAGATCTGAGAGCTGAGAATCTGAAGTATAAAAAAACTAATTGTTTCCCAAAATGAAAACAAATTTAGCTTGGCTGCAAGGATCGGTAGAACCGAAGAAGAAGGGAAAGAGAACTTTGGCAAGCTTATTGAAGATGTTAACAACTTCGCTCGGCTTGTAAAAGATAAACTGCAAAGAATCCTGTAAGATTATTTCTTTCGTCATTGAATATTTTACTTTACGTAGGAACGACCGACGAAATCAGTCAATCGTTGAGGCGGGGACAAGGATGGATCACATGGGCAATCATGTCCCTATTCTTCAATTTACAACATGCAAGACAATCGATGTAAGTGATTTTCTTCTGCTATTGTTGGTATTAACCAACTGAATGGGGTATAGCCATAAAACAAGTCTTTTGCTCTCATATGTAATAGTTTATCTTTAACAAGAACATTTTTCCAGGAGAGCCATGAACGAAACTCGAATGCAGGCGGTGGATCACTTTGCAGCCAAAATGCTAAATAATTTTTTTTGTAATAAATAATTCTACTTTTTCCGCGAATAACTTCAAAAAAGCAATAAACGTGGTGAAATATGACAATAGTTTGAAATTACTAAAACGGAGGCTGTACGACACTCCGCGCATACGCGTGCAATTTCGGAGAAACGCCGATGGAAATTTGGAGGAACGAAAGTGCCTGTTCTCTTCACCGATCATCTGCCGCCGTTTTACTCGCTATTCACCGCCGTTTCTACTGCGCGATTTGCTGAGTACTTGTTAGAGCGCGTTTAAAACTGGCGTAGATTCAAATTTCTGGTTTAAATTAAACGTGATGCTATGTATTTCTACCATTTATTGTTTACTCGATATCCAATTATGTTTTTTGTTGAAATAGTCCATTAAAAAAAGCTTAAACCATTATTTCGTATAAAATTCTTGCTAATTTTGAAAAATCGTTATTTGGACATTGCAATTGCGCCCATTTTTCTGAAAAATTTTGAAAAATTCCAAATAAGGTCTTTCTACGCCATTTGCTAAGCATTGGAATCTTTTTAAAATAAGAAAATTCATTAAATTTCGAAAAAAAGAGAATGCGCAGTATTCGAAGTGTGCGTTTGCGCGCGCGATGTATGCAGACTTTTTCCCGGGAAATTAAGTTTCAATGAGTCCCCGAGACTCGGATAATTTTTCCCGGGAATTTCCCAGGAACCCGGTCATTCCAGGGAAAAGATACACTGGTCACCAGTTCCGATGATCCTTGCACCATGACACCCTCGTCTTTTGATTCTTTTCACTGATCAATGGTTTCTTCACCGGGCGTCTTTCATAAAGTCCATTTTCCGCCAAAATGACTTCTAATTGTTCTTCTGAAAGGTGTTGAAGCATTTGTGATTTTTTGGGTGGTACCCCGGAAGTGGAACTCGCCGTGATAGAACTCGGCTATGATAGAACTTGTTTGGAATCGAACTTTCCTTAATATAACTCGCCGGAATAGAATTGGGCCGTAATAGAACTCGCGGTTAGAGCGCAATTGCAACATTGTTTTGTTTGAAAAATTTTTAAACATTTTTTCTTCGCAATTTTGTATGCTTCACAGTTATTTTGGAAAAATATTCTGCGTGGGCCAAAAAGAGAACTTTTAGAAATTGATGGCTACTGCATGCGATTTAAGAAAATGTATGGAGGCATTGAACGGCTTTCCATCAAACAAAACAATCATGCAATTGCGCTCTATTGAGAACCGAGTTCTATTAAGGCCCAGTTCTATTACAGCGAGTTCCATTCTAGCAGAATTTTATTACGGAAAAAAACTTTGACTTCTTTGATGGGCTTATTTGTTATTCTTACTAACTCAGTGATACCACAAAATCGTGTTCTAGGAGAATAATAAGCTTTTTCTAAATGATCTCTTTCATATTCACTTGTGGATTTTCTAAGAATTTTCGATATAAAATCGTCGCAATTCCGGATTCTGATATCGTTTACGAAATGGTGGTAAATCTTGTATTGTTTTCAACAGCATTTGTTGAAACCTGGCTTAACCTCCATATTGTTCCTCAAGCAGCTTCCAGGTGATTCCGGAGCTAGCGGTCGACCTGGAAAATTCTCTGGACGAAAGAAAAATAGTTGTTAACCAGCTAAAAGTTCCGGAGAAAAGTTTCAATGATATTTTTGGATGGGAATACACAAAATCAACGCGAATACAGATGAAAAATAAAACTTTTTCTATTCACGAAGGTTAATGGAAGAATGCGATGTTGGCTGTCTCTCGCTTTCTTCTAAGTATTTGCTCGCATCACCTCATCAATCGCATCATCTCATCAATCACTCTTCCATTTTAGCCCAACACGTTTGGACCAATACCAAATGAGACCAATAGGAGCCAAATGACAAATGTGGCATTTTTTATTAAAAAAAATTTCAGAACATGATTTTAATTGTCTGGTATTTTAGAAAATGTTGCTAAAACTATAATCTTTTTTTTTTACCAAATTTTAGATTTTTATTTAACTTGTAATAATTTAAGTTATCAAACCAATATTCGCAGAATTGATGTTTAATTTCGATTTTTCAGAAACTATGTAGACTATTCTTATGAAAGAAAATTTTAACAAGTAATAAACTATTCTCGGAAAACCCGGTGCAGTAGACTTCGTATTTCGTAAACGTGAAATTATTCTCACAATTGCCTTTATTTCTAGTGTTCAATTGCGCATTTTTGTATCAAGCTTCTTTTCAAGCCTTGCGCAAATCAAATACCTGAAAACAATAGTGGCAGCAGAATAGGTTAAATATTTAAGACAACAAAAACGTTACAATACAAATATAAAAAATTAAATCCAATTTAAAAACAATTAAAACAAAATATTTGTAGTTAAAATATTTTTACTTCTAATTATGGAATTAGTTTATTGTTGTTTTTTCAAATGTAAAAACTGATACTAATGAGATATTTGATGTTGAAACAAACTCGAAACGTTCTATGATAAAAGTGTTATGCCAAGAATACAATAAAGTGTAAGTTAATTCCAAAAACACAAGAGGTTTTGAATATACTTTATGAAAGACGCCCGATGAAGAAACCATTGATCAGTGAGAAAACTCATAAGACGAGGGTCCCATGGTGCAAGGATCATCGGAACTGGTGACGACGTGAATGGGCCAAACACATCTGGAGCGATGAATCGAAGTTCAACTTGTTCGGAACAAACGATGAATTGGTTCGTCAAACGCCTACGAGAAGTTCGTTCAACTCGAAGCCACATGGAATTCCATTCCGATGTCAGTGATTCAAGGGATACGCAACCAAATATTGATAAATTTGCAATCGGTTTTCTACACATTTGAAATGTTTTCGGGTTTCTGAGACTTTCAAACCACATTGTGTCGTTTTTTTCCATTTTGTGGATTTTTATGAAATTTATATTTTTTCGAAAAAAATTTTCCTGCAGTCTGTAATATCATTAAAACGTATTTTCAATGCGTTTTAAAGATATGGTAAAAATTAAGCCCGATCGGCACAAGAAGAGTTGAGAGAAAATGGAATCTTTTGAATTCTCCGAATTTTTTCAGATTGTCCCCTTCCGGTATAGTCATAGCAATTTCAGCAATCATCATTTTTTCTCCAAACATATTTTAATTAACGAGCTGGCCGAATTCACTACATAATTAATGTTGGCTTTGACGCCTAGACAAAACGTCGTTGCCGACTCAAAACATGCCCAAAAAAGGGCGCCCGAGCGCAGTGCGAGTTCATCGGTTTTGCAGGAATAGAGCAACTGCAGCCATTTAGGAAGAGCACCAACAAAAAGCAATGTTTTGTAGGATAGAAGAAGAAAAAGAGCGAATGAAAATTTAAATATTGACGGAATATGAAGGGATGAATAAAATAGGAACTATTATCGTGTGAGAAATTGGACGAGTAATTGCCTATGAATAAATTTATGGCCGACCGACCACATTTGAGCTCCGCATGTGAGTGGGCGAGTCGCGCGAGCAATTTTTTCTCGCGCACGCGCTTAGGTGGGCGAATCCCAACATTTTAATTTATTTTGTTCCAATCACTACTGAATCGTCTTTCAATTATTTCAATATATGGAAAAGAAAACGTTCTAGAATTTTTCGTCGAAAGAATATTCCAAAACTTTTTTCTGACAAATGGGATATTCGAGGGAGAAATTTCCCATAATCAGACTCATGAATTTCTTATTTCCAAATAATTAGAAGGGACCATCAATTCTCTGGTGTTGATTTCAAGTAACAACTATTATCATTAAAGTGGTTCTTTTATTTCTACGCTGTAATTCAAATTTTGATTTATGAAAATTTATTTTTTAATTTTTTTATATTCCATGCTTGCAATATTGTTGTTTGAATGTCATTTTAGCCAATTCAATCATGTAAAATTGATCAAACTGGAAGCTAAAAATGACTTGAGCAATACGCTGAGTAGGACCATTAAACTGTAGTAATCATACTGACAAACCTCCACCCGAAACTCTATATAATGGTAACGAGGATGTTCGTTTTTAGCGATCATGATAATAGTTTCTTACATATTTTCCCGACTTCATTTTCTTCAATAATTTTTATACAAAATTTGCAATTGTACACATGAATCAGAATTATTTACGAAATCGTCTTACTTCTTGCAAAAGAAAATATTTGATTTAGTCATTGGAAACTATGAGTAAGTGCTAATTTTGATCGGGAAATGAGACTTGGGTTTTGACAAATGTCTAATAACTTGTTACATTTCTCCAGCCAAATACTATTAATTCTCAGTTTTCTTCATTTTCCATCTAGTTCCTCTTTTTTTTCCGACCCAGATAATGCTCCTATGAAATTTTGATAAATGTTGGTGTTCGTAAACGAATGATTGAACAGATCTAGAGTATCACAAACACTGGGTCTCGATGTGACGACTATCTATCTATTAATGCACGTCTTTGATAGATTTTTGTTAGCATTTTTTTATTCATTTACTACTCTGCCAGATTTACTAAAACGAGAAATTGCAAATATTTAACGATTGCCCGCTAATTTATCAAGTTCAACTTCTTATTTTGATTCCTAATCAATTACAGTAAACTATTGTGATAAGTCGGCTGCTCTAACTTTCTCCTGCCGTTGATCCCTACGATTCAAACTACGATCGGCAAATAAAAATTGTAGGCGCGATGGCTTTTGTTACTTATTCGACTATTAGTTGACCAACGAAACACGTTTTTGTCGGCGGAGCAGTTATTCGGATAGAGCTGGCAAACCTCCCACGGCAGCACCGAGTGACACCAGAATTCAAATATCTCATCTCTTGAATATTAAATAGTTCGAATCTTGCGAAAAATGTGTTAATATTCAGAAATACTTTTGCAAAATCTAATCAAAGTTCATAATTCGTTGCTCGTGAAATAAAAAACAAAAAAATTAGGAGCTGAGTATTTATAATGTTAATAGAATTTTCATGACTAATTAGGGTTTTCAGCACCTTTTACTATCTAAGGCTGAAAAAATAAAATAAAAAACACGTCAACAAAAATGAATAGTGTTCATTAATATTTTTGAGCATAGCAGCGAGCGTCAAGCTATCAATTTCAGAGTTGTATCGAAAAAATAACGAGCAATTTGGGTACTTGTGGACTATCGCACTATACTAAAATGGCAATTCAATTAAAACTCTGGGAATTCGTTTACCGTACTACATAACTCCTGCTCATCAAATTTATAAAAATAATCTCACAAAACTGCTCATTTTTTGTGACTGTAATAGTTGATCCGAAAATACTAAAGCAACTATTACTTATCAAAAAAAAATAGCATTTTGATAAGTAATAGTTGCTTTAAAAAAGTTTGTTGATAGAGTATGAAAACATTTTCTTCTAGAAACAGGCTGTTTTTGACCTTGTGATCTAAGAAAGATAAAGAATTTCAGCAAGAAAAGTGCGAGTGCATTGTATGTTCCGAATGAGTTCCTCAATTGCACACTTGATTGCTCTCCAACTAAAAAGTGTGTTCATCAGTCACAAGTTAACGGGGGACAATCAAATGCAATTTTCCGAATTATGATCAATTTTTTTCTGTAAGTATATGCGCATATGTACGCATATTTGTGTGCGCTCATCGTGTGCTCTCACATTTTTTCTCGCTTTTTTGTGTGCCATCGAATGAATTCACACGGGGCTCTTAATCCTGCGAAGCGATGTGTGCCGTCCAAAATTAATTCATTCGCTTTTTTTTATCGAAACCCCAATGAAACACTTATTTAATTAAAACCTCAAATCCAATCCGTTTCCCATTTTGCAAATTACGATTCTGCAACATTTCGTTCCGCCTCGAATTCCTATTTATTTGATGATTTCTGCATTCATGAAGCTTTGCAAACAAAGCCCAACAAAATTTGGATTACGGTAGCATTTGTTTCTGAAATAGCCATTTCGATTGAAAAATTCCGAATATTCTGTCAGTATTGTATGCTCTCAACCCAATAGCCGTATAGTAATTAAAAGCCCCAGTAAGACTTCCTTTGGTATACTTTTGTTATACAGGAAATACGACATCTCCGCAAAAAATTAAAGTTTCTCCTCATCTTCTTTAATTAACAGAAATCCAAAGAAAATGGAAAAAATTCTCAATGTATGCCTTGTTCATCCATTTGATATACTATTGTGTATAATTTAGCATTAAAACGGTGAAGTAGTGCATGGTTTGGGGCTTTCTGCGATGAGAGCTTTGATTAATGCATCATACGGTTGTCTACACATTTCCGCGGAAGTATCTTTTTTCTATGCAAGACCAAATGGATCTCTTGATTAAAATCTTAGTTGTCTGTCATTTGATAACGATTGATTATAATTTGTGAAATAGCCCCACAGCCGCGATATCGCAATTCTCAAAATAATTCGATTCTCGTCGGATTCGAAAGGCATTGATTTAGAAAGCGACGTGCGCGTTGATTCATTTCTCGATAACTTACCGAAAAAAGATGAAAAAAGTCGCTATCAAACAAATCAAAGATTATCCCGTTTTGTTGATTTGTTCTTCTCATTTTTCGCCTCACTTTTGTGGCCCCGATTCTCTCTAACCATTCAATCAATCAAAATCGCCAATCGCTCGATATATCGAATGACCATGTAAGTAAGAAAGAGACGAGAAAAAAAAACCATTTTGTGGGCGAGAAAAGATGAAATGGGAATGATGCCAAAAATAGTGTTCTCGTCGCCATCGCAGTCCCGCCTACTCTGATTTTTCGACCAACGCCACATTAAAAAAATTGCGATTAGTGAATGAAGAAGATAGATATTGATGAATGAAGCCCAATTATTTCCAATGGATATATTTGAATGGAAACGCGTTGCCCGAAAATCCGATATTCGAGTATCCACTCATATACGGTAATATTTTTATTTCTTTGATATTTGAGGAATAAAATTTGTTGTTTTTTTTAATGTCAATTTGTAGAAGTATTCTCATATTGCGGTTTTTTCTTTTGTGTTCATATTTCATCATTAATCGCGTTTTCATTTTCCGCTAAAGGGTCCTTGTTTTCGTTATATTTTTTGTTTCCAAATGTTCGAAATTTCGTTTCTTTTATCGTTGATGCTGTCTCTCACTTTCGTCCTTTTCTTTTTTATGCGCATTTTCGATTTGAAAAACGCCACCCAGCTTTTTTTAAATGATAATAAATGGGCGAACCGAAGAGATCCTCGGGGATAGAGCCATTCGAATTCTCCTCGACATTTTCTTTTTTTTTTTGTTCTCATTTTTACATTTATTCAGTATTTTCTGGTTCTTCCTAGATCAAATTAATGTTTGAAGTTTTGTACTCTTAACCTATTCCGGAATGCTGTCAATTTGTCAAAACAAGAAACCAACCACCTGACATGAATATCATCTTTTAATTAAAGGCGCTTCCCTTTTACACACCCTTATAAAGAAATATGATCAAGTTTGTGTGGAACCGATTGGTGGAGGTTGTGTAAAAAACTGAACAACCCAATTGTTTATCAGTTTTTGATAAATGTCTATTTATTATACAATAAGCAACAAAACTTGATAAAAAGGGAAAATTTGTACAATTTTTGAATATTTCAAATACAGAAATTTGTTAAATATTGGAATAATTGAAGAAACAAAATACATTTTTAAAAATTTAAAATATATATTTAATATTGGTTTTATATCATATAATAATTGAATATAAACATTTTGCAGTTATGTTTTTGAAAAATCCAAGTTTACAGACGTGAGCACACATAAATTGTCGACAAGTCAATGCTCTTCTAACCGAATGAGACCATACACTGTGGTACGCGAAACCGCGCGCGGTGGTGCCGCTCGACCGCTCGTGCTTGCCTCCGTCTTATGCACTGTCATCCTTGTTCTTCTATATTTTCTCATCAATTTCCCAGTGCCAATGACGACGACCACTGAGACAACGACGGTTGAGGCAGTGTTGAGTAGCACTCCGATCACCGAGACGTCGCCCGTTAAAACTGAAGAAGATTTATATGCGCACATTGATGAGGAGATGCATCGTCGTCAGATTCCTCTTATTCATATGCCTTACTTGTATCAAATTCGATTTAAATTGTTCATTCCATGGAAGACGTGAGAAAAACAGACAGTGGGTTCGAAATTATTTATCGAAATATTTCAGAAATGTCACGTTTGGAAAAGACAACTTCTCGGTTCAGGGTCACTTGAGAATGCACTTTACTTCTGGAGGAGGATCTCGAATTCTGCTTCATTCGGATGCTACTCAACAACATATTGGCGATACGATGGTCACGGACGAGTTTGGAAGGCAAATAACGATCAAGCATGTGAGTTGCGAGTGAGGTCTGCTGGGTATGAAATTGAGATATAGGCGGGACGAGAGCATACGCAAGTTCTCGATTTGCATTTGACGGCGGACATGATTAGCGGAATGAATTATACACTGGATATCGCATTTCGAGGGCATATCTCTTTGCAAAAACAGAAAGGATTGTTCGCAGTACCGTATGCGAATAAGACAAAGTAGGCATCACGACTGCTTGACAATTGGCATTTGTATGAAATGACTCATGCAGGTATGTGGTTGGCACCCAACTCCAAATGAGTGAAGCTCGCACAATGTTTCCTTGTATCGACGTACCCGAGGTGAAAGCTAGTTTCGAAACCGTCATTGTCCACCCATCCGGAACTACTGCTATCTCAAATATGATGGATAATTCGACCGAAACCGACGGGTTTGTGTGGTCCCTTGTCATTGCTTGTTTTATCAAAAAAACTTCAAGCGAATGGACGACGACAATATTCCACAAAACTCCTCCAATGCCAACTTATTTGTTTGCATTATCTGTTTCAGATTTTCCTTATTTGGAATCGAAATCATCTAGGGGAGTTCGGGTATGAAATCTTCCAACAACATCAAATTCGACATGTATTTATTGTTTTTTTTTAAGACCCGCGTCTATTGTGATCCAGACAAGATTGAAAATGCGGAACTGTTGGTGAACACAACAGGACCACTCATTACGTTCTTCGAAGAGTATTTTGGAATACCGTATCCATTGGACAAATTAGGTATGTGCAGAGGGGAAAAATAAGAATTTACTTTAAAAATTCGCCATCCGCAATCCTTCGACATAATTTTTCCATCCATCTTGTCTGCTCGTTTTGTTCTTTGCCCCGAATGTTTGTCAGAATTCCAATCTGAAACTTTTCATCTTGAGTGGATGTTCAAACGAAAATCGGTACTTGAACTTTGTTCCATGAATATCCGATGGCTTCTGTTCCTGCTAACGAGCCAATATGATACAAACTACCGTCTGTTCCGAGTTGAATTCCTCTTCCATAGTTCCATCGAACCAGCGAAGGTGTGATGATCCAACGATATTTTCTCAACTTGTTGTTTTCCAAGTAGTTGAAGATCCTAGCCACCTCTTTTGCCGTCATAGACCATCCAGCCGCAGAATCCAATATCGTCGTGTTCCACGAAGTGTACGCATTCGCGTTATCATGCGAATAATATGTAACTTCCTTGTTTGCATCTCCTTCTTTTCCAATAGTCGCATTGATTCCAAGAGGTTTTAAAATTGTAGTTTGAATATATTCCTCATACGACATTTTTGACAATTTTTCTATGACTCGACCCAATAAAATGTAGCCAATATTGGAGTATAAATGACGTTGTCCGGGTGGAAATAGAGGAGGTTGATCACGAAGAACGTGCCGCAATAGATCCGTTTGGTTTTGGTATTGTTGATCGAATTCGAATTTTTTTGTATGAGGCCAGGAACCCGACGAATGTTCGAGTAGATGGAGCACATTGATTCGGTAGAACAATGGATGACATGGGTTGCAAAGGTCCTCAAGTATTCCTAATAGAACGATATACATATAATATACCACTTATAGTAAGTACCGTTTGCTCCAAAAATAGGTGTAAGGATATCTGTATTCGAACTACTGAATATCTCGCTTATTCCCATTGCAGTGATCACTTTGCTCACTGACGCAATACGGTAGCGATGCAATGTTGTAGCCTAAATTATGTATTTATAAACTAGTAGTCAATTAAATTTTAATTAAAATTCGCCGTCTATCAATTCAATATTACCCTAATATTAATTAGAATATCGCTGAAACCGAAAGCCGCCGAATATTCTTCTTCATTATTCCTAATGACATGCAATGAAACAGAGGGAATATTGTGCAGCCTCATCTAAATATTTTAATTGTCTTCATCAATATTTTCAACATTAATTACCCAATCTTCTAATACTTTATTAAGTTTTTCCAAATTGAATTTTGCGGTGACATTCCTCGGAATCGTTTGATAATTACTCCATGAGAACTCATCACCATGCCATAAAAGCCAGCGAGGAATCGATCTTCGCCGTCCCTGTCTTCAGAATTCTTTCTCAATACAACACCGATTGCGGCTTCTACCTGGGAAGACTCGACAATTGCACTGGTTCCAATCGACTCTGCTCCATATCGATGAGCATTTCGTCAAGAGCTGTTCCGTATTGAATCTGATACTTTTTGCCGAAACCTTTTCTCCAAATTATGATTGCTCGACTTCCATTATCACTGCGGTATGTCTTCAATTCAAGAATATGAATTAAAATACGAACGGATTTCACCTGAAAACAGTCTGCATAATATCCTCTTGTCATTTGAAGTCGATCTTTTTCAATAATTTCCATTATACTTCCAGATTCAACAATAAAATGCCAAACAAAATTTGAATTGAAATGCCAAACTGCACTAGAATAAAATTGTCATCAATTCGAAAAAAAATATAAGAAAATTACCTGTATGTATCATTATTGGCTCCAACGCAAATGAAATTCACTTTGATTCTTCTTGCTGTCATTTCAGCCATTTTTCGCTCAATTTCGGTCATATTCGCATCAATTAAAACTTCATTTTGGCCAGTTCCTGACATGGTATTTATAGTATAAAATGTGACATTTAAATGTCTGAAATATGCGAATAATAATAATTTTTAAAAATTGGAAAATCAAACCTATAAGAGCACACAGAATGCACTAATGCTCCATTCTTATTTCTATTTTCAATCTCATTTTCGACAGAACTTTTTGTCAAATGAATTCGACTTGCTGCTCCGTTTAACGGAATCGCAGCAAATTCGGGATAAATTGTTGAGATCTTTGTGGGGAACAAGTGGCCTTTATCAAAGCTTCTCGTTTCCCAAAGGTCGCCCAATGTGAGCAATGAAACATTCTGAATCGAATCGACGTATGGAATCAGTTGACATAATTGAATGGCAACAACGATAAATAATATGAATAATGATCGGCGATGCATAGTGATTTTTGTCAATGAATAACTAACTAATCGGGCCGACAAATCTAGCGGAACGAGAAGCTGCCGCCTAAAAAAGCGGCGCGAATCGATGATGACAAAACGACAACATCACATAATTGTCGATTTGTCCTAGTTTTGACCTATGGTGTAAAAAATGCGCAGCCGATTATTGATCTCATACATAGATATGATGGGTGCGAATGATACACTTGTTCGATTAGAAGGACTAATTCGGAATCCTTTGCTGGGAAAATACAATTATGCACTTCTGATTTGTTTCAGATGTCGTTGTGCTCCCCGCTCTCGAAGTCGCTGCCATGGAAAATTGGGGTAGCCATTAGACATATTAGATAATTTCGAAACATGTGATTGGTTTGTAGGTCTCATCACGTGCAGACAGGCCGAAGGGCTTTACTACCCAAAACGATTCCCGATCTCGCAGAAGCATAATGTTCAAGAAGTGATTTCACACGAAGTCGCTCACCAGGTACATCGAATAAGAACTCATCTCAACTAATTGTCGCCAAATATTCAAGTGGTTCGGGAATCTGGTAACGATGAAATGGTGGAACAACTTGTGGCTGAATGAAGGATTCGCGACGATGATCAGCTATCGGGCAGTTGATTTTCTCGAGAATACCACATATCGTTATGTAAGATTTCATAATGCGAATTTCGATGAAAATTTCAAAATTGATTTCAGCAAGATATGACATCGAATATGATGTGCCAGGTATTGAGAACCGATCAGAACGAGGCATCGATATCTGTGAGTTCGAAAGGCGACGAGGAAGTGCAAAAAATAATAACGCAACGGGTGATAATCTATCGAAAAGCTGCGATTATTACTCGTATGATCGAGCGACTTGTGCAGGAGGACATCTTCCAAAAAGGACTTCACCGATTCTTGAACACGTTCATGTACAAAAATGCGGACCATGACGATCTGTTCAATGTGCTCACATAGTAAGCGAAACGCTTTGAGAAATCAAGACAACCAACGTGATTCAGCGTGCACGATTCTTCGTCGGGGGGTCATCTGACTGGACAGAATTTTTCACTGTCTGACGTCATGGATACATGGCTTCGACAAGCCTCATTTCCAGTGGTCCACGTGAACCGTAAAGAAGGAAGTGTGGTGACATTAAGGCAAGAGAGATATAAGGTGAATTCGAATCATTTTCGATTTTGAATATTTTCCGGAATTTTTTCTATCAATGTGCGCTTTTAAGCACAATCCGAGAGCAAAGAAAAATGCGAAAGACTCGTATGTTTGGAAAATTCCGATTTTCTACGATGATCCGGTTAGTGGAAGTCATAAAGTTTTCTGGATCACCGACAGATATCCAGGTAGAATTGTTGATATTTCAAAGATCATTAATGGCCTTGTTTTGTTAGTGGTGTTCGACATGGTTGGTGAAGTTTTGATTGACCCTCATCAACTAACATACATGAGAGTTCGGTACGACATGTCGATGTATTCGGATATCACGATGAAGCTTATTTCGAACCACGAAAGTATTCCGATAAATTCGAGGTAGATTTTTTTATACTAAATCCTGTTCAGTAATTGTTTTAGGAGTCGTTTGATTGATGACACTCTTGCGATGGCGGAAAATCAACAAATCAGTTATCAGGTCCCCTTCAACATGACTCTCTACTTGCCAAATGAGGTTTGAACTTTATTATTATTATTATACATAGTAAAAACAAATAATGAAAATGGAGGTGAGATCTGAAATACTTTCGATTAACGAATTATGTACAAAATAAAACTAATTGGATAATTAACAAATTATCCCTGACGACTACGCTCAAGGAAACGCTCGACTGCTCCCCCGCCCAAATGATCATGGCGATTATGTTTAGTATGTAAAATGTCTTCACGATTAGCATGATAGTTCTCATGATAGGGCAATATTGGAACTGGTACTCTAAAAATAATTAGGTTGATTGGATTAACAATTAATTATTAATTACCCATCCTGATCAACAAAAGTGTTTTCTTGGCGACTTTCGATTGTTCTTGTACCGAATGTTCCAATGAATCGAGCCTTTAATTTGTAAACCATTAAAACAAAATATTGGCATAGTTTAAACTCACTGATTTCATTCCCACATCAGCATCGGAAACTCTTTGATCTTCATACGGATCCGCAATAACCGAATCTCCATCTTCGGCACTGAAGTACCGATTAAGAAGCGATCTGCTTTCAACATCTAAATCATAGTAAATTAATTATTTATTCGAAATTGTATTAGCTAACCTTTAAAGGAAGTGATTGCAATTAGAATGCAAACTGAAACGCTGTAATTCATGAATGTAACTGAAAGGAATATGATTAGTTGTTGCTTTATATATATTAATATGAAACAGACTCTGAAAAGAAAACATCATATGGCTAGTGTTGATAAGGAAACAGATATACACAAAGGGAGAGTGGAGAAACGAGTATGTACAAATCGAAAGAGGCGGTGAAATAAATTGATCTCGAATCGTGTGATGTCATACTTTTTGTGAGGTTAAAATGTGTTCTTATACTCGCTTAGACCAATGAACGATTTGAACAACAATGATTGTAGGGATGACGATCAGAAATGATCTAGAAATCACGAAGACTTCGCGTATGTTCAAAGAACAATTTGTAAATACTCGATGTGTTCATTCCAGCCAAGGCAACGTTTTACCGAATTTAGTAAACACATTTATCGGCCCCTCTTTCGGTCACTTCTTGAAATTTAAAATAACGGCGGAAAAGTAATGATAAACTAGAAGAATTTAAAGAATGTTTCATTTTCGAAAATCAGACCCTCAAAGAAAAAGATAAAGTTTTAAATATTTTTTGGCTGTTTGTATTATGAATTTTAAAAATCGCAATGAAAAACCCGGAAATATGTATTTAAGTGGAATTTTTCAATTAAGAATGACATCCGTTATTTCTAATTCATAATAATAAAATACATAATTATTTCGAATTATTCAATAATTTTTATGGGATAATAGTGATCGATCATTCTCAATTGATTGTTCAAAGTGAAGTTTCTGTAAGTGAAGTTAGATCTCGTGATAATTTCGTGACGAGTTGACCTGCTGTCGAATCATTCTATCATTCATGATAGCAATTGTCAATTTAGCTTAGAAATAGAGAATTTGGTTTTCAGTCAAAACATATGTCACAAAATTAGGAAAAAAATCCAAAAATTACAATAAAAAGAGGATTTTTAAGAGGGTTATATAGTGAAAAAATTATAGAAAATAATTTTCAGACCGCTTACCGACCATTTCACACGTTCAGCGCATATCTCGACTTTTTCCTTCCGCGGATGTATCCACATCCTGAATACAATAAATATCGGGTATTTGGCTAATTGATTCAATTCAATTTTTAATTCATTTAGGAATATGTCATTGCTCTTATTGCTCCTCAGTATGAGCGAATTGAAAATTCTGGACTCGATCAAGATTGCGAAAGCGATGCCGATCAATAGTATAATTAATTTTTTCAAGATTTATTGATTCATTCGAATATTTTTTGCAGTCGTCTTCGAGAAATCATTATTCAAAGGTCCTGCGGTATCGATCATGATCCGTGTGTGAAGATGGCCAAGCAGAAATTCGAAGAACTACGCAAGAACTGCTCGAAGCCGAACCAATTGCTCAGCGATCTCAATTGCAACAGGTTCGAAATTTTGGATTCGTTTTTGCATTTCCTAAATTCAGAATGCCATTCTACCTTCGTCAACATGTATATAGCACAGCGATCAAGCACGGAAGTCAAAGTGATTTCGATTTTCTTTTTGACAAATGGATAAATGAGCATTGGATAATTGAGAAAGATCGAATCTGGTTTGGAATGTGCGCGACAGTCGACCGAAATAACACCGAGAGGTCGTCGAAAATAGCCGAAATCTGGTTTAGTAAAATTGGAATTTTAGAATGTGGCTCAGTATGCTCGAGAACAGAGCCCGAGAAAATATTTGGGAGCGAGCTGCAGCGTGTTCAAGATCAATCAAAGACAAGAGCATCGTTTTAGAACTGCTTGTCGAAAAACCGGCGGAAATCATCAGTCTGTAAGTCTCAAAATAACTTCATTCCAAACAATTGTGTTCTTATTAAAAGACTTCGCGAGTCCAAAAACAATTTCCATGCATTGGTGACATTGATTGCAAGAGAAGCGAATGTGGAACAGTTTCCTTTGGTATGATTATATGTACACAAATTCCAATATGATTGCATTGATCGATTTCAGTTGGATAAGCTTCATGCTGCTTATAACAAGTCATTGGGTCCAATAAATATTGAAAGCATCAAAGGAGCGATCGAAAGTCGCGAATATTGGCGCTACCGAATTGCACCATTCTTAGTGGGAAATGCAACAGCGGCTGTTAAAGAAATCCGCAAGCTACGGGCTTAATCATACGAATTTTCATCGATACATAAGATCTCTTCAATTCATTCATTCAATCATTCTTCTTCTTCTTCTTCTTTTTCTTCCCACAATTCCCGTATTGTTTTTCATGACAAGGCCAATAGTTCTTCGCTACCAATTTTTCGCTCCGCTACCGGTTTTTCACTACCACATTTTCGCTACCGAAAAAATAGTTTTTTCACTACCGTTTTTCACTACCGTTTTTCACTACCGATTTTTCACTACCGATTTTTCACTGCCGATTTTTCACTACCGATTTTTAACCACTGTTTTTTCACTGCCGATTTTTAAATTTCTCAATTTCAAAAAAAAGAACAATTTACACAAATAAAAGGGTATTCATCGAAAAAAGGGGTGGAGAGGAAATATAATATAGAACAAAAAAGGGGCCAAACAGCATAACTAAAAAAAATATTAAAACGGGGAGAACGATCGGCGCCTTCGTTTATTTCGTTGTGGACGTCTAAAAAGACTACTCTGTGTCGATTCAACTTCTCTGAAGACATATTGACATTTGTTATATTTACGTCGGTTTATTATTACCCATATTCTTCGTATGATGTACTTTCCAAAGACTCCACGCTCTCTTCATTTCTCGTACTTGTTAAAATTGGTTCGAAATCATTACTTATTGACGAATCGTCAAAGATCGTAATACTAAAAATATCAATAAATACAATTATATGAAGTAAAAACATACTTAGAAATCGACTGAAGTTGTCTTACTCCATTCATTTTGCTCAGCGCACTCCTCTTTCTAGGACAAGATTTTTTTCCAGTTTTTGCAGTGCGTGATGCCTTAATCATTCTTCTTTCAGATAATTCGAGGCATTTCGACTGCAGTAAATCGAACTTAAGGGCTCTTTCTTCCTTTTCCATTGATATTAAAACAAAAAAAACTGAAATTATAAGGATTTACTTTAGAAGATTACTGAAAACAACATACATATGCTCACAAATCTTAGGAAGTTTCGCTTGGCAATTCTTTTTGCAACATTCGAAAAAAGAATCAGAACATTTAACTTCAGATATTTCACTAAAAAGAGTTTGAATATAATTGAATAACTAAAAGAAACGTAAAACCCACGTTTCACTTTTTATAAAATAACCACATTCTATAGAATACAATTCGAGTTTTCTAGCAGCTAGCTCTAATTCGTAAAGATGTTTCGGTGGATTTGCTGTAATCAAACGTAAATAAAATTCATAGAAAAATTATTTTTCTTACATTGCTGAAAATAGGGAGGTATGGCAACAGTTGACCGTTCTTGGAACCCCAATTCCTTAAGCCTGGTCCGTTTTTCACTTTCCGAAAGAAAATTGAATTCGTCTTTTCGAGAATACACAACCAATTGATCTTCGGCCAAAACAGCTTGGTATAGATGATCTACATCATCTGAATTACTTTTTTTTGAGGTTTTGCTAAAATTGCATGTTAGAAACCTCCAAAAACTTTAATAAGCTTTAATGCAAGTTGGTCAGCCCTCATCGAATTAGGGATTTCATGGCGTAATCGGCTGTTTAAATTTTCGATTAGATTTGTGGATACGAACGGCTGCCACCATCCAGATTTCAAGCGCGTTAACAGCCCGTTTTCACGAAAAAGGCTCTGACCTTCAGTTGATAGCCTAAACCAGTTCAAAATTTACGCGATGGTGTAAACTTGACGCAAAATTGCAGTTATTTAAGCAGCTTTTATTACCATTAAAAAACTGGGCACTGGCCAAGTGGGGCTAAAGCCGATGTGAATGAACAAAAAATGTACTTTCCAGTCAAGGGGCGTCAAGTATGACATCTATATGTAGTAGATATTCTTTTTATATGTAGTAGTATATTTGAGTAATTCTAGAAGCCGCGTTATTTTTCGGAAAAAAGACTAAATATATCAAATTATGTTTTGTTGTAAATATCATAATTTTTTATGTAACATAATTTAAAATAGAATATTTTTGCTTCTTTACCATTTAAGAGCACCGGAATCGCTTATCATTGACGTGAGTTTTGCGAGTTTGGAATTGAATTCAATTTCGGTTACTGCGCCTAGCAATCCACATTTAATCCTCGAAGGTGATGTCTGAAATATAATGTTGATTGATTTGCCAGGTATTGTGGAAAAATGACGAATGTGAAAAACTTCAGCGATATCCTAAGCATTTCGTGCGTACACCGAGTCGCTACAGTAATTTTAGAATCTTAGTTACAATAATCTCAAATGAAAATTATTTAATCAATTATTATATATTTTTTTAAATTTCTTTCGCTGTTTTCTTGGCGAGTTTATGGTTTTATGTATATTATTGTGTTGAAAAAATGTAATAGTAATCATTTTTGTATATTATTCAAAGTTAATTGTTTTAAATAAAAATAAACTATCAATAATTAATTAAATCATTTTTAGTTGAGGTTACTGTAGATAAGATCTAAAAAAAATTGCTACCAATTATTTTATCCGAGGTAACATAAATTTGATCATTAAAACCACGTACCTCACCAAAAACCATTCTGGTCAGTCGAGCGCGAGTTGTTTTATCCGTTGTGGACATCGAATTTTCAAAATTAGCCATGCGATGCAAATCACAACGCAGACGTTGTGAATTACGAAAAAGTGGGATTGTCTATAAAAACGAAGTTAAACAATCAAAAACAAAAAGTTTTTAGTTTTTTGTGGGTGCGAGTTAATTGTTTGCTTATTTTTAAAAATTTCGCTCTAAGATAAAAATGGTAAACGCGTTTGATCATTCAAATTAATGAAAGGTTTCATTCAAACCTTGTAATATTCCTCAAAGGATTTTTCACCGTCCGTGATGAATCCAGGCACAACGCGGTCATTTTTGAAACCTTGCTTCTGCAGGTATTCGTTCACATGGTTTGCGTGAAACTTGTGGCATTCCATAGTCTTTTTCGAGTGCAACAAATAGCTAATGACAATAGTTCTCGGTTTTTTTGATTTTTTCGACCTGTAATAGTTTAAAATTGTAATAGAACAATAATCTTCAATGAAACTCACTTGAATATCTTTACTGTGGTGCACATTAAAGTGACATACAACTCGCTCAATCCGAATGTTGTATCCAGCTGAGTGACACCACTGATCAAAAATCCATCATCGTTTGAAACTTTCCATTGTTCTGAAAGGACAAATTTATATTTTAAATATTTCAACTAATCGAATACCTAATAGTGATTGGATATGTTCCTTTTTATTATTTTCGTTTATGTCTTCGAACAATCTCAGGTGAGATTCGTACTCGTTAGTAGTCGGTAAACAGTTTAAGACAATCCGAAAGGGTTCATCAAGAATAACCGACAAACAATCTACCATTCCACCGTTACCTGCAAAAGTATTTTCTTTTTGTCATTACGAAACGAAAATCTTACACTCAAATACGCTGTACTTTGCATTCGGAACGTTTCTCGCTATTTTTCCTAATTCGGATGTGGTGGCAATAGCTTTGACGCCTCGATTGCAGCCAATCGATTCAGGTACGTGTTTCCTTTGGTTCCTCACCTTAAACATGCAGGTTTCAACTTATTTAAGATTTAAAATGTGTTTATACCTGCTCAAGCGAGAACTTGAAGCCTTTTTTATGTAGAATTTCATATGCACTCTTTACAGACCTCCCAATCAGTTCGCTTCGAACGATATCAACATCTGAGGCTAAAAAATATAATATATCTAACAAAAAGAAAAAAAATAATAACCTGTCATCCTATGAATATCAAAATCCAAGCTAATTCGTTCTTCATCGCGGTGATAGTCGACGATAACAAAAGTCGAATCGTCCATATAAACTACCTGCAAATATTTTATTTTTATATTGATAACTAAAGCGAGAGAAATTTGCATACAGTTTTTCTGAAACTCGCAGTGGACGGCGATCTGCACTGGATTGTTCCATAAACACGTCCATTTTCATTCCATTGCCGATACTTCGGAGCGATTTTTTTTCTCCTAAACGGCAAGCGATTATGACGAATGAAACAAATTTCAACCTTGAACTTGTCTAAACCATTTTAAGCCGTCGTATGTTAACGGTTTTCCATTATAGCTACTTTTATCTACAACAAAGCATTTTCTGCCTTTCCAATCCCCTCTGATTTCCTTAGCAACGTCGTCAATCGTTAATAGTGTTCTAAAAGTCCAAATAGTGAGAAAAAAACTCTGACGAAATACCTCTCAGAGGATTCAAGCTTCTCTATTCCGTTCCAAATGGAAATTAAGTCTCTTTTGGTTGACTTCGAAGATATATCGCTTGAAATAAACGCCATTCTGAAAAATGTACTTTTTTTTTAAATTAAGTATAATGTTTAATGCAGGTAAAATCTGAAACTAAATCCATAAAAAATAAATTTAGGCCAAAAAATATTTTCGAAATGTCAAAAAATAAGCAATCCGCAAACACTGCACGACGAATGTATTCGCAATAATAATTGCACCGGTTACCGTACTCCGCGCAGCGATTTTTTTTATTTTCGTATTCTATTTTTATCCTACAACCATTGTTTTTAATGTTTTGCTTACTTTTCTTCTTTTCTATATTATTTTTTGATTAAAAGTTATTTTTTAAAATTATATATTAAGCAAAAACTAATATGAAAGTGTTTTTTATCGAGAATTTGGGCAAAAATCAGGAATCGAAATTAAAAAATATATATTTGCTGTTACTGAATTTTTTATCGCTGTTTCACTTTTGATTTGTGTTTCTATTATTTCGTACTTGTGTTATTTATTCAAAAATAATTTTTCAGATATAGTCGACGTCCGGCGGCTGGTAGATTTACGGGAATGCGTCTTTCGAAATGGTCTCGCAATCATTTTCTATCAACTCTTAGCAATTAGATAAAACTGAAAAGAAATAATTTTTTAATAACGTTAGAAGTGGGTTCGTGACAAGTAGATTAATAGTTTGAAAGCTTTGCAGCTTCTACAATTTTTGAAAGTTCCCGATAATAACTATGAATGAGTCGCAGAGATAATACGACAAACCGCGCACGAACTTGGATAAATTATCTACTTCATAGGATTTCATCACAAATTTTAAATAATACCAGCTAATCGAGGTGTATATATAAAGAAAACATAATATAGTTTCTTAAGAATTTTTAAAGATCTTTTGAAGACAGAAGCCATCAGGTTAATTTAAAAATTGAATGATTTTTTGCCCTTTTTTGTTCTATATTATATTTCCTCTCCACCCCTTTTTTCGATGAATACCCTTTTATTTGTGTAAATTGTTCTTTTTTTGAAATTGAGAAATTTAAAAATCGGCAGTGAAAAAACAGTGGTTAAAAATCGGTAGTGAAAAATCGGCAGTGAAAAATCGGTAGTGAAAAATCGGTAGTGAAAAACGGTAGTGAAAAATCGGTAGTGAAAAACGGTAGTGAAAAACGGTAGTGAAAAACGGTAGTGAAAAACGGTAGTGAAAAAACTATTTTTTCGGTAGCGAAAATGTGGTAGTGAAAAACCGGTAGCGGAGCGAAAAATTGGTAGCGAAGAACTATTGGCCTCATGACAAATTTGTACAAACTTATTTATAATATTTGCGCTGATGATCTCTAATGGAATTGAATGTACTACGTGTGTTTTATTTCATTCGGAAAAGAAAACTGTCGATCGTTTCTTCAAACCTGTATAAAATTGTATTAAAGTGCACAACTTTTCCGGAAATTTTATTTTTTTTTTTCAAAAACCAATGATTTTCTCAAATCAAACGAACATTTTTGAACTATTCATTATGTATTGTTTTTTCTTTAAAATGTTCATTTTCAATCAAAAAATCCATACTTCAAATTCTGTTTGACTTTTCATTTTTGTTGCTAGTTTTCTGTCATTTCCAATCATCTCTACGTCGTTTCATGTTTTTTTTTCTAGTTTTCTGAGCTTTCGCTTTCGCTACTTGTAGTTTGAATAAATATCCTGTTTCGAATTTTCAACCAATAATTTTGTCTGAAATTTTCATGCGGTTGAAGCCATGAGCTGCTCTACAAGATCGACTGTCTGTTAAGTAGAAGGTTCAACTGAAAGCGAAATGAATTCAATTTTATACTTCTAAGCTACTTTTATAGATTTGAATTATAATTTTTAGAAATTCGTAATGAATTTTTTGAATCTACTCACGCTTTTATTTTAATTTTAAATATAATATTCGAATAATCGTGGAACATCGGATGCATTCGATTATTTGAACTGATGACCATGAAGCATAACATATTCATTGAGGAAGTTGTGCAAAGAAGGAATAGTGACGCGAGTCCTAAATAATTGGTCTTGCTGCTATTCAAGATCGGTGCCAGGATCGAAACAAGCCATTTAAGGTGAATTGCCCTCGTCGAGAGTCTTTTTTCTTCGTCTTTTTTTTGCGTCGTCATCCTCTTTGCAAATAGCTCGCCCATTGTTATTGTGTTGCCCAAAACAGGAGAGAGGTCAAAGTAAGCCGAAAGAAGAGTGGCTCCGTCGTTGTTATTCTGTTTTGAGCACCGCATTACACATGGCTAAGCGATAATTCGATATCCGGATTTCCAAGTATGTCGCTTCTTCAAATTCAAATATTTCATTTCTTTCGAAAATTCATGTTCTTCTTCATTAATCTTTTCGTCTTTGAGAATATGTTGAGTTGGGAGAATAAAATCAAAAATTCCAGGATGTTCCAAAAATGGCGTACGGAAACCATGGTACCGAAACGGGCGCCGTCTCGAATTTCTCTTTCATTTCTAAACTCGATTCAAACGAAATCCGGTGTGAAAGAAGATCCTAATAAGGTAATAATGCCCACAATTTTGTTGTCGTTGTCGTGGCAATGCATCTACAATTTCACATCCATCTTTCTATTTTTCATGTTGCTTATTTGAATTCATTTGGACATTTTCGTTAAATATACAGAATGTTAATTCATATATCTGAGTTTGATGATTTTACAAGTTTCTAGTATTTTGACCCTAAAAATTTGATTTTCGTGCTGAAATTTATCATAAATTTTGTATTTGTGAATCTTATTCGTTATGTTTAGAAAGTTTAAACACTTGATTTTTGCGAATTATGTGCTTTCAGCTTATTTCGATTCAGCACAATATTTGGAGAAGTTCAGTTTGAAACTGTGAAGTAATCCGTATTAAATTTTGATTCTATTGGATTTGCAAAATTCGAGAAATCATTGAATTCTTTTTAATGAAAAAATATCATCTTGTGCTATTTGCTATAATGCACTTTTCATTATTAATATTATTGGTAATCAAAAATTCATATAACATGGATAATTATCTCATTAAGACGAATTACAACTATAGCAAATTTGCGAAATCAACAAATGGTTTAATGTTTTTCATACCAAATATTGGCTGCAAGAGTCTTTAATTATTAGAAGCAGAAAATCAAGTTATAATGAGTTCTGTTGAAAATTGGAAAATTGACTTATATTGATAGTCTATAGTTTGTAATTCAACAAAGTCTAATCAGATAATCATTATCTTGAAAGGGTATTGTGCAAATGATAAAAATAATTCGAATATTGGAGCAACATGAAATGTAATCACGTATCGTTGGCTCATGTTTCGATATTCCCCGAAAATAAGCAAGAATCGATGTTGTTCATAAATTATTTCCACCAATTCCGTGACAAGTTTCGTCCAATTCACTTAAACGTTTTGCAATATTCGTTGGTTTTCTACGATATTGATAATTATCAAAATTATGGGTTTCGAATGTGCTGTTGATCATTGAATATTTCGTCAGCATTAATATTATTTTAAATAACAAAGACTTTTTGTTCATTTTTTCTAATAAAGAACAAATAAGTTTAGAAATATGAAGTAATAATTTAAATTCGTTTTTTTAAATGAAACATTTTTTGTTGAATGGTTTTCTGATGGCTATTTTGTTTCATCTTACAGATTTCGCTTCTACAGAAATCCGAGTCGCTGCCGAATAGCTTGGCGCCAATCCGCAGTGACGTTTCGGACAATTCGAAAGAGAATTTGTCGCCTTCCAACCACACCAGCGAGACTATATTGCCGTCAAACTCGTTGAACAGGAAAAAATTGAATCCGCCGTGTCTCGAAAAAACTCAAAGGTGAGCTCACTTTATATGGATATTTTGTTCGTGGTATTAGTTTCCTATTATTCATTTATCAATAGTATAATCAATCCCTGACGGGATTTACTCTTAAATGTTCTATTCTGTCACATTTTTTCTTCCTTTCCTCTTCATTCAAATATTTTTTCTTTTTAAATTCTAATCAGACTTTTAGACAGAACATAGCAGGTTTGACCCCAGTCTGGGTCAATTATTGTCTAGTTCATTTCATATGACGTCATCACGTTTTTTTTCAGCGAAGACATGGTTTTTGCGGAAATCGAGGCCCTAACCGTTATGGAGAACAATCTCTTCTTCCCTCTTCGCAGGTAAATAGAGTTTCCATAGCAATTTGTGGTCACAATGGGACCAGCTGGCACCAAACAAAACGAGAATTTCCGCCAAGCAGACGAAAAAAAAAGATTCTTGTTTTGGAATGAAAACGAAAATCGGTTATTACCAATTGACTAAAACGAATTATTAACAGATGACTGAAGAAGAAATCTCGGTCATGTGAGAATAATGTTCTGAAATGTAGGCGAATATTTTGAGAAATAAAAATCACTACTGGAATTTAATCTTTAAATCAATTCTAAAAGGAAACACATTTCTCGATGAACATAACTGAATTATCCTTTGTTCTAATCAAATAACATTCAATAAGCTGTCGGAATCAAGCGTTTTTCGTTTCGTTTCTAAACGTTTCCATGGAAACAGTGATTGTTTGTCGGCGACTAATGACAAAACCTTTTACGTTTCTTGCTATATACAAAAATATTTCGCTTTTTGTTGCGATTGTTAAACGGTCAAAATCGAATTAATCATTTAGTTCAATTATAAATTAATTTCTCTTTTCAGTTCTTCAAAACGTCGTGCAGAAGCAATGGATAAATACGAGAAAATTTCGAAACTTGGTGAAGGCTCTTATGGTGTTGTCTATAAATGCAGAAACAAAGAATCCGGTCAGGTATGAGTATCGTTCAAAAATGGTTAAAGGCAAAAATAAAGTTTCAGATAGTAGCAATCAAAAAATTTGTCGAAACAGAGGATGATCCTCACATTAAGAAAATTGCGTTGCGAGAAATTCGAATGTTAAAGGTAAAATTGAAAAATAAAACATTTTACTTTCTCTCTAATAATGCTCTTCTTCGGTGAATAAAGCGTCATTTTTCAGCAACTGAAACATCAAAATCTTGTGGGTCTCATTGAGGTCTTCAAGCGAAATCGCAAACTTCATTTGGTTTTTGAGTTATGCGATCGCACAGTTTTGCATGAACTCGAAAAGAATCCCAACGGGTAAATGCGTAAAATATACTTCATTGAAATATTGATTTATTCGATGTTTAGTGTGAATGACGAACTCACAAAGAAGATCACATATCAGCTTCTCGAAGCTCTTCGCTTCTGTCACGGCCACAAATGTATTCATAGGGATGTGAAACCGGAGAATATATTCCTCACAAGGAATGATCAAGTGAAACTCGGCGATTTTGGATTCGCAAGAATTATTAGTGAGTACTCGATTGGTCAAATCAAATATTGGAATCTGATTGTTCAGACACATCGGAAATGTATACCGATTACGTCGCAACTCGCTGGTATCGTAGTCCCGAACTCCTCGTTGGAGATGTTCAATACGGCCCTCCCGTCGATATATGGGCTGTTGGATGTGTGTACGCAGAATTGATGACCGGAGAAGCTCTGTTCCCAGGTCGAAGTGACATTGATCAGTTGTATCTAATAAGGAAAACCCTTGGTATTTAGATATTTCTTTTCAGCAATTCTATTGTTTTTAATTGAATTTAGGGGAATTCATCCCTCGTCATTTGTCAATTTTCCGTACAAATCAGTTCTTCTTCGGCTTATCAATCCCTGAGCCGGAGCATTTGGAGCCGTTGCCATCAAAATTGCCAAACGCAAGCAGTGCCCAATTAGATTTCTTATACGTGAGTAACCAACGGAAAATATCAAATACACCAAAAACCAAAAAACAATTTTCTGTCGCAAAACAGCTTAACAAACTGCGATGTCTGATTGGCAGCTGATACAGGTTCCCGGAAAAATTTTAAAAAAATCGAGAAAAGAAGCAGAGTTGGCGCAGCTTCGAATAAGAAGCTCCGTAAAAACTGCACTATTTTAACTGGGAATGATCGCCAGATTCACAAAAATAGCGATGAAATTTCAGAAATGCTTCGAAATGACACCTGAACGACGATGGAATTGCAGTGAGCTCTTGCAGCATCCGATATTTCAAAATTGGACCCTTCGGTTACGGTTGGATGAGACGAGCTCAAATGGTCCTAGCACGAAGAGGGTATATCTATATGTATATTACATTCCCAAATAATTTCAATTACTCATAGAGTCCCAATTATCTGCCACTTCTCAATGGGAATGGCACCAATTTGGTATCGAAGAATTTCAATTTGCACCAAAACAACAATAGCAATAATAATAATAATAATCTAAATCGAAGCTATCTTCCCACTATATAATTTCAGTTTTTGTTTCATGTTTGAAAATAAGACATTTATTATTCAACCATTATTTATTGTATTTGTCACATCATGAATTGGAGCCACACTTGTTTCGGAACTCTTTAGTTGGCAGCAGAATATTCCAGCGCAATCTTTTCTTCGATTCGAACTTCCATAGACAATGAAAATCGGAACAAGTGCACCTGTTAAAAAAAAAGAAAACTCGTCATTTGACCAATATCTACTGTTATTTCTCGCCTTTTTTGAAAGCTTTTAATTGCAAGAATTCGACGTTTTAAAATACAGATACAGAAACAAGAAACTTACCAAGGACTACTGAAAAACTATAGCGAAGACTCAATAAAGCTTCAAATGAAGCAATATCTGCAATGCATCCTATTAAACCGACGATTCCCTGAATCTGCAAATCATTCAGGCTTCGATTCATTCAAATTTTATGCTCATCCTACCATTTGGCACAAGACTATTGAAATACTTGCTTCCAGACCGCACAATTATTGAATTTCGCGACTTTATTCCTGATTTTTCGAATTTTGAGTCGAATCGCAACGAATCCAACTAATGAGATAAAGATTAGAATGGCTTCAAAAAAACACTGGAGGTCATAGCACATTATTGAAAACTTCCTCAGATGTACTGCATCGTCTGGTTGAGTAAATGCTATGCTTCCAAGGGTTATAACGTATATAAATGGGCATAATATCGCAAATATTATAGGTCCGCTTAATTGAAACCAATCATTGAATAGTTTGTTATTGCAAAATAATATCGAAAATCGATGAATGCACAATATGAAAGTTAATACGGAAAGAAGGCTCGGATACGCTTTTAGGAATAGTCCAAAGTATATTAATATATCCGCATATGTTTCATAAAATGTTTTGAAAAATATGTAAGAAGAGAAAAAAGCTATAAGAGCAATAACGAAGAATACGTTTACCAGAATGAGAACAATTAATAATGGATAATAAGTAAGCTGAAATATATTGATTTGAAAAATCCCCTGCATTTTATTGTTCTTTTTAACCTATTAAATGCAATTTCGTTAGTCTAAATGTCGAGAAGTTACTCTTTGAATCGAAAAATCGATTATTTCATACCTTATATTCCAATTTGATAACTCGAACCTTCATTATAACTACCATACAATTGGTATACACACAAACCGGTTGAAGAGTAAAAAATATAATAACAAAAACATTTTCAAAGATTTCATCGATATCAAGAATTTCTGTGGTGTTAGGCATACTTCGCATGCTTCAACTGAGCTGATGTTCTTCGAAATACCACCTGCGACGTTGTTTCAAAGGCAGAATAGATGGCGGAAAAAAGCAATCCGAGTGAGGGACAGACGACTTGTGGGCGGCGAGGTGTATAAATTGGATCTATTACCATAGCAAAAACGAGCAATAATTATGGACCATCGTATTTTTCTGACAGGCATAAATTCCAATCACCGCAGAAATTTAAACAGTCTGAAATCAGGTTTTCTAATGGCACTTTGCAGAGACTTGCCAAAAAAAACTCTGACAACCTCGGCTACGTCCAGATTTTTCGAAGCATACTGAAATCTTGAATTAAAAAAAAATAAAATCGTTACGGTTAAGATGTGACCACATTTCCTGATTCTTGCAGCGATTTAATAAAACCGGTGATACTGTAAGCTTCGAAAAATCTAACCGCGTCGGAGGTTTTTGGAGTTTTAGCAGCAAGCTGCACAGTACCATTAGCAATCATTGGGCAATTTCTCAATAAATCTCTTCTTTTCTGTAATTTATACAAGCCGATTTTAACTACTATCAGATAACACTTTTATTTCTGCTTTATTTTACAAATAATCGAAAACTATCATATATTTATTATTCTAAATTTGGCTGAGTAAACCTTATACCGGTAGAAATATAACTAGAATTTTTTGTTTTTGTTAACGTCGTCTTCGAATTTTTTTGTTGCTGCACTCACTTTCTCATCCACTTCGTAGTATCTAAAATAAATTTGAAGTTAACGAGAAAAAAAATGCGCATTGAAGAATATCCCCTGTTCGTATCATGAATTCAAAATATAAGAAATTGAAAAATAAAAACGACCGAAAATTTTACGTTAATTCGTTGCGGAAAAGAACGAATGCGACATGTGTATTTTTGGAAATTAAAACGCAAAGTTCTTCGCAATTATTTCAATTTTTCCTATTTTCAGAAATTCCTGGAAAATTTTTATTTCGTACTCATCTTGGAGAAACACCAAAATTGGTTATTCAAAATGATCAATCACGTGATAATGAAACGTTTAAATATAGGCGTGTGAAAAAATTTTAAAATATCTGGTAGGGTTTTGTTCTTATTTTACTCTGTTTTTTTCCAATACCATTGGTTGGCAAATGGAAAAGTTTTCCCGAAGGGTCTTGCCCGTACCTTCCTGGTTTGTTTTGTTGGACTGCGCGAAAAAATTCATTGAAAAATTTTTTTAAATACATATTTTCTAAAAACGAAAAATGCCTCCATTGTTTGTATGGTGCTTAGATGAACGAAATCGAATCTTTAATGTAGTAAATTTTATTTCACTCTTGAAGATGGTCCGACACCCGGAGAAAATTTCCTTACCTTTGTTTCATTGCTCGATACTTTCTCAATTTGTAAAGCGCTTCGATTTCTCTTATAACGAAATTTCCTCTCTCAATTAACTCTTCGATTTTCTTTGGATCAGTTTCAGTCTTTAAAAAAATTTTATAATTGTATCTAACAATTAATTATTCTACCCTATTTTTCAAAAATGCCATTTTGAGTCTTTGATGGAACCAATCGGCCCCTTTCGGGTATTCCTTTCCCATATGGTACAAGTTCTTATACAGTTCAATGACTTTTCCACGCAGCGCCATTCTAAATCTGCTAATTCGACTTCATCCTTTTGTCGGATGGTCAAGATATTAGTTTGGAAAAATTCTCCGATATTTTGAAATCAAACGAGAAAACACGTCAGCTTCCCAAAAAAAAATTTTAAATAAAAACTCAACAAATAATAAATATTGATTTCCGAATAAAAAATGATTCGATCAATCATAGAAATCTGCTATAGAATGAATTCAGAGCCAACAACAAGATGCAGTAAATTTTTGATAAGAAATGGAAAAAAGGCAATATGGTAGAATCCAGAAAACCAAAAGAACGGAATATAATGAAGGTTAACAATGAATATTCTGGGAATTATCTCAAGAAGTAAATTCTGTCGAAACTTTGATTTAATTGAAATAACCATATCTGAAGCCCTATGCACAATACGATTTCTGACGGAGACTATATGAGTAAAGATCCAATGCAGAGGAAAAAGACAAAATTTCATAGCAGAAAAAAAGAAATTATTTTTCCTTTTTTTATTTGCCTTTAAAAGATACGATTTCTCGCGGAAATCTTATTGTGCATACGGTTTCTGGTAGAACCAATGAAAATAGCAGTTGATCCGAAAAATGAGCGGTCAAATTTATTCAATGACCTTGAGAACTTTTCCGATCGCGATTGTTTTTCCTTCGTCTCGAAGAGTGAATCGGCCAAGGTATGGGTAATCCTGAATTAACATAGTTTATTTACAATATTTAGCATAGCTCTAACTCAATAATTCTAATTTTTCATCATTAAACGAGATATAAAATTGAATTATGAGCAATTAATTTCTACAATTAACATAATTACCTTGAATGGTTCAATAACGAATGGTTCTGGGCTTTCTAATCGCATAATACATTTCTCGTCTTGACGAACAAATTTGGCACGTTTTTTCTCGCCCGTCTTTTTATCGATTGTCGCAATGACACCCTGAGAACATTTTATAAAGAAAAAAAACGTATGAAAAGTACGTACCTTAACTGTAACTTCTTCAACACCGGATTGAATATGCAAAACTGCTGAATAGCCCGAAGCAATGATTGATTTGTGCTCAAGGACGAACACCTACAAGCCATTATTTTTTTCAAATCATCTTTTCGCGAAACCTCGGCATCAAACACTCGTCCTACACGAGCAAGCGAATCTGGCGAGCAGATCACAAATCCTCCTTGAAGCTCAGATTCTTCGATTCCCTTGAGCTTAAATTTAATATTATCTCCGGAAACAACTCGATCGACTTCGACTTCATCTGCCCAAATTTGGAGAACTTGTACTGGTTGCTGAACAATGAAATCAGTAACTAATAGCATTATCGTGCGAACCTTATTGGGCATAACTACAAGTGTGTCACCCTTTTGAACACAACCCGATTCCATTTTTCCAATTATAACAGTTCCCATTTCCGAGTATTTTTCTACAACAATACACCGAACGGGACCATCGAAATCACGCTTGAAAGACGGCAAGTGTGAGTCGAGGAATTCGATGAAGCATGGCCCTCTGGATTGAAGGAAAACAAATATAATTTTACTTACGAATAACTCACGTGTACCAGGACCCTTCAGTCGCAGGAGGTCGGTCTTTCAAGAAGGCTCCAGTAAGTCCAGAGCAAGGAATGTAGGTGATGTCACTTTTTGGATTGAATCCACATTTGCGCAAAAATGGTGACAATTTCGATTCAATCTCTTTGAATCTATAAAAAAATATTGTACAGACTTAAATGAGAAAAACAAATCAAGTGACCTTTCCTCTTCCCATTTTACAGTTGGATCATCCATTTTATTCACAAGTATGATGAGATGCTTCACTCCAGCAGTTTTTACAAGCATGGAATGCTCACGAGTTTGACCTCCACGATCGAATCCAGTCTCGAACTCTCCACGACGAGCCGAAATTACAAGAACGGCAAGATCCGCTTGTGTGGCACCAGCAATCATGTTCGGAACAAAAGATTTGTGACCAGGAGCATCAAGAATGGTAAAGTGCTTCTTTTCAGTTTCAAAGTAAGCTCGACCAACTTCCACTGTTTTTCCTTTGTCTCTTTCCTCATCATTTGTGTCCATGCACCATGAAAGATACCTAAAATTTAAAAAATTGTTAAAGTCGTGTTTCATTAGCAAACTACCAGCTCTCGCGCCCTTTCTCTTTAGCTTCTCGTTCATACTTTTCTAATGTTCGTTTGTCAACCATTCCAGTCAAATACATCAATTGTCCTATAGTAATTTCATAAATGTATCGAACGAGCATTCAATTTACCTCCAATCGTTGATTTACCAGCATCGACGTGACCAACAAAAACAATATTGACGTGCTCCTTGTGTGTTCCATCTTTAAAAATCGCTATTAATTCCAAGAATTTGTTAATTGATAAAATCACCATCGACAAAAACCGTTCTTTGGAATTTCTTTGCTAATGGAGCAATAATGTCGTCTTCCGGGCTGCTCTGAATGTTAAAATGTATATTGGAAGTTGAACAAATATTGAATATTAATATTTTCAATTAGTACAGGTCAGACGTACCTCTTTGACTTTGCACGCTTCAGCAACTGTTGCTGAGATCTTTTCATCAGGAACGGGTTCAACTACTTCTGGTTGGTTTTCTGCCGAATTCACTGCAGAATCTTGTATTTCCTCCTGAGTTTCCCAGTCTGAAAAAATACTTTAAACAATCGGGACATTTAAAAATATGAATAAACCTTCCGCTGGTTCAGCTTGTGGTTGTGAAGGGATTTCAGGTTGTTCATGAATGTATGGTTGCCCAGGAACAAATGGGCGTGCGTTGGGATTCGGCACAAATGAAGCCGCGTTCACGTTCCAACCGGACATTCTAATCTTTTGTGATTACCCCTAAAATTAGAATTTTCCAAAGTAAAGATTAAAAAGTTCACTATTAGAAAAATGAAAAATAGCCACATTTAAAAAATCTGACCAACAAAAAATTGATTTTCAAAAATGCACATTTCAATTGGTGAGATAAAGAGCGGAAAACCATTGCGAAAACACCGAAATGAAAAGTGGGGGCGGAGTTTGTGGGCAGTGTGCGGCACGCTGTTTAGAAATGCGACCGCACAACGTCACTTGTTTGTGTGCATCTTTAAAAGTGACCAGTCAACTTGCGAAACTTTTCATCCCCTCGTGGTTTATTTTATTTTTGTGTGCCTTTTGCGAAAAAATCGATATTTATCGATTGAATATTTTAAAACGAATCTCTTGAAAATTTTATAATAGTTTTGCATTATTCTTGTTTTAACTTTGTGGATAAGTGACGCTGCTAATTGGACTATCTGTGCAAACCACATCTTAATTGGCAACTAATTAATTTGTTCAATGGTTTATTTAATTTTTTGCAGTAAACCTTATTAGGTTCTCATTTGTTCGAAGCCGCAAATCGAGAGGTAAAAATGCGGTCAACTCCAGAGCCTGACGATGAATACAATGACTTCATGTCCACTCCGCTTTTTAACGAACAGTTTGACCCATACGGTCCCGAAGGCACACTCTATCTAGATATTGATTATTTTTCAACGTTTATGGAAAAAAATGATAGCAGATTGTTGTCGAAACCGATAATAGTACGTGGAATTCCGTGGAGGATTTTAGCATTATGCAGGTATTCATTTAAACTGTTTTTGTGTGATCAATGATTATAGTGTGATTATTGACTCAAGTTTCATGAAATATTTCATCTCCTGACGATTGTTTTATAATTTTATATAAGAATAAATATTATAAATTATTATTTAGTTAAGAAATAATGAATACGTCGGTTTAAGCTTTAAGATTTTGTTTTGTCTGGAAGTAGGAAATTGACCTTGAGTTTATATCAGATAATTAATGTTTACTATTTCAATTCAAAAAACAATTATTTTTCATTTTTGATTAATAAATATACAAGACTACAGATTAATTTTGAAAAAAAAGTAGGTAGTGGTCTTCATAGAGTGTGACTTAATATGTACTCAATAAACCGAATTTACAACATATTATTAATGCGGTTAGCGAGAATTCCAGGCCTCATACCCGCAATGCCCCGAATCACCAGCGACAACGCGGTCATTCTCTTGGTTTTTTTCTCCAATGCAACAACGAAGACGCGTTTCCAAAGCGCGGAATCTGGAGATGTCATGGAACGGCGACTCTCGAAGTCATCAACCAAAGCGGTGGCGAAAATATCAGCAAAAAAATCCACCATGCATTTCACAACAATGAAGTCGATTGGGGATTTACGAATTTTGAGGCATATGATGTAATATTTTTAAAATTTAAGAAATTTTTAATTTTTTAAATTCAGACGCTCATGGCTCAAGATGGTTTCGTTGTTAATGACACTGTTCGTCTGAAATGTCATTTTTCAGCTGACGTGCCGTCGGGAAACGGTTATCAGTAAGTTCTTTAACAATCAAATTCATATTTAATCAAATGACGTTGAATTCATTCAATCTTAAATAAACAACTAGAATCTGTGTCAAAGTTGAAACAAAATTTCGAAACATTTTCAGTTGGGATAGCAAAAAACACACGGGATTCATTGGACTACGCAATCAGGGTGCCACGTGTTATATGAATTCGATTCTTCAAGCTTTTTATTTCACCACCGCTTTCCGGAAAGCAGTTTATCTCATGGATACCGGAACTGAACCAACAGAATCGAATATCTGTCTGGCGATGCAGCGTGTATTCTACGAACTGCAGGTGTCCCGTTTAAATGTTTAATCAGTGAGAAAATGAATTTTTAGATGTCTTCGGAGCCAGTTGAGACAAATAGCTTGACTCGAGCATTCGGTTGGGATAAACTCGATGCATTCAATCAGCACGATGTTCAAGAGTTTTGTCGTGTTCTTTTAGATAATTTGGAGACAAAGATGAAAGGAACTCCGGTATTTTCGTGGATTTTCTAAAAATGTTCAATTCACCATTTTTAGCAAGAGCAGGCGATTCCAGAATTGTTCCGTGGAAACATGAAATCTTTCATAAAATGCACAGAAGTCGAATACGAGAGCTCGAGAACGGAGTCATTTTACGATGTGCAACTCAATGTGCTCGGAATGGAGAGCTGTGAGTTTTGATGATAATCGCAAAAATGAGCAAATTTTGATATTTTTCACTGTTCAGTGGAGCGCGCGTTCGAGGCTTACACCGCGACAGAGGTGCTCGACGGTGACAATAAGTATGATGCCGGCGATCACGGTCTGCAGCGTGCGGAGAAAGGTGTCAAGTTCGTCCAGCTCCCACCTGTTCTTCATGTTCAGCTCATGCGATTTCAATACTGTGGAGTTGAGCAGAAAGTCAATGAAAGGTGTGTTTCAAGATATCTGTAATTGTATGCGTGGTGTATGCACGAAAACACAATTTGGCGAGACCAGGTCTCTTTGGCGAAAATTTTACGCGCCACCCTCTGGAAGTCATCTACCATCGATAATGTGTTTTTATACGAGATTTACATTGCTTTTCTGATCTTCACCGTTTCAACTTTCTATTTTCATAACTTTAAATGTACAAAACTTCCAGCAAACACATGAGCTACATTGAATGCATTCTTATATGTACTTTGTTTCTTTTCTAAATTTTAATTTCAGATTCACGTTCCCTGAAGAAATGAGTCTCGAAATGTGCTGCGAATTATCTGATGAGCTTAAGAAAGAAGATTGCGTGTATAGTTTACACGCGGTTTTGGTGCACAGCGGAGAGTTTCATGGCGGACATTACGTCACGTTTATCAACACGAATTTGCATGAGAAAAATCCCAATTCTAACGAGCCTCATGTGGCAAATGTAACTCAATAAGAAAATCTCGATTTAAGCTAACATATTTAGTGGTGCAAATTCGATGATGATGTAGTTTCTAAAACAACGGTCGACGATGCGATATCGTCAAATTTTGGCGGAGAAAGATCGATGAATACGTCAGCTTATATGTTGATTTATGTTAGAAACACAGCGATTCGTAAGTTTTGCATACAGCAATAACATTTTACAATCAACGACAATTCGTGACATTATAAAATATAAAAGAAAATATTGTCGGCGTCGTGCGACTGTGAAATATTGGCTAAATTCCAAAAAAAAAACAATAACAGTGATCTTGGTGCAAAAATAAAAGTGCCGATTTACGGGTCTAATTATAAGGAATTTTTTTACATTTTGCCTATTTTCCTCAGTTGAGCGACATCGACAAATTTAAAAAGATTTGAAGAATTTGATTCAAATGATTTTTTTTTGAAATCGTTAAGATTTAAAAAACGAAAATCCAAAACTTAGTTGAAAAAATATCGAATTTGAATATTTTGTGAACGAATTTCAGCAACTGTTCTTGCCCCAATTCCAAATGATGAAATTCCGAGTCGCGTTTCGATGATTTTTGAGCAAGAACGAATTCAACGAAATCAAATGAGAAAAAAGAAGGAAGAAGAATCGATGTGCATGGAATTGCCTGTTATTACACCTGATGTCATTACTGGGCACCATGGTTTCGATTTAATCGATTTACATGTAAGAAGAATGAATCACAACATTTTAAATTGATCATTTTTTATAGACTCTTCATACTGCTGCTCACGAGAGTATTATGAAAAATATGTCAATTTATCACTTATACCGACTAATTGAAAGACGCTTCTTTTCATCAATTGACAATTCACACGACAGCGCAATGGATATCGAAGATGGTGAAGATTTGGGAGATTTGGATGACGAGGAATTCATTAGTCGCGAATCGTTCCGTTTTCGCTTGTGGAAAATTAGCGAGACTTATCAAAACGAGAAAGATTTGCGCACACCAACACGATTCCGACCGGATACTGTAATTTGAATTAGAAAAATCATCAGTTTGAATTTTGTTTTGCAGTATCTTGAACCATCTCTTAAAGACACAGTTGAGAGGATGTTTGCCGGAGAAACTGATGCGATATATGTGGAATTGCCACTTGGTCCTGAAGAATGCTTACAGCATTACAACTATGACAGTACGTTCAAGTGTACGGCCAAGAACGAAAACTTCTGCAATATGTTGCTTTCAGACGAAGTTATTGTGTTTGTCAAGTATTATGATCCAAATAGTAGACGACTAACTGTTCTCGGAAGCACGATTGTGACGCATCGTCGCCCAATTGCCCAATATAGCACTCAATTCTGTAAAATGGCTGGATTGCCTGTTGGAACGCAGTTCCGATATTACGAGGTTCGTTGATATTCAAGTTTGCTTGCCATTTTTATTGAAAAATATTTTCAGGAAGTTTCTTCGATGGTTATCAATGAATTGGAGGATCCTGACCGGTTGGCATTTGCACAAAGTTTTACCGAAGAAGATGGCGCAATAGTAATTATTGAACAGATTGATCTGTCGAGTCCCGAAAACAACGTTATGGTAGGAAAATATTTTCATTCGAATTTATAATTGTTTGTTTTTAGTCGAAGGTCGATGATATGTATAATACAATTCTTGTTGAATTCCATGAGATTGTCTTCAATCCGAGGCCGGACACCGTACTTCATAGGCCGCTTTTGAAGAAGGTCCGCCTAGACGAGAGACTTTCATCTGTGACGGAGAGGATTGCCAAAAATCTGAATGTTGACCAAAAGAACATTCTAATACTGCTCAAAGGTCATACAGCTCGTGCAGAGCCTTGTGTCGACGATTATAGGGTAATAATGCGCTTGATTAAAAAATCATTGTAATTGAAAAATTCAGAATGTGTATGGACGCGCGCTTATTGGGAAAAGTATCCATGATCCGCGACAGAATCAGAAGTATCGCACAAGTTATGCAGTGATGCCATTCCCTATAACTGAGATGTCAAAGCGTGTGCAAATGAAGATTTTGACGATGAACGAGAAAATGGAGACTGGAGAAATGACGATTTTCCCATTGAAGGACGGAACTGTTGCCGATATGATCGAAGAGGCGAAGAGATATTTCAATTTCTCGGAAAATGGAACTGGAAAATTGAGGTTTATTTAATTTTTCTGAATTTTTCAAATATTTTTTTAAATTTAGAATGGTACAAGTTGGCGTAAATCCTCATTACTGTCGGGTGCACCAAATCTGCCCAGAATCGCAGACAATTAGCGAAATCGAGCAAAAATACATTCACAAGGTTGGTTTAATTAATAAAATATTCATTAGCTGTAGTTGTTTTAGACAAGAGTTGAAGAGATCCCGGCCGATGAGCTCGAAGTTGGTCATGGCGAATTCTTCCTGCCGGTTGTTCATTTTGATCGTGAACCAACTCGTTTGTTTGGCACATCTTTCGTCATTAAGGTATTATTTTTTTTTAATCCGACGTTTAAGATTCATTCAGGTAAAAAATGGAGAACTTATGAAGAGTGTTCGTGATCGTGTAAGAAGAAAACTATCAGATGTGTCTGACGCGGAGTTCGCAAAGTTCAAGTTCGCGTTACTGGCCAAAGAAAAGGTTTGCAACTTTAAACCAACTGTTTTTTATTAGCAGTCGTTTTTTCAGCTATGCCGGTATATTGAGTTTGGTGAGAATGACAAAGTGAATCTTCAAGATATGTCAATTCAAACAACAGGAAATAGTGAGTTCTATATTTTTAGAAACAAAAAATAATTGTATAATATTTATGAATCATTAAAAAAACTGATTTTTCTTACAAATAGAAATGAATGAATTTTTCAGTGCCACAAGTCTACATTGGAATCGATCACAAATCACCAGTGTCGCATTCGAACGAGAACGCAATTAGAATTCTCAACTAATTTAATCCTAATCTCGAGAATTCAACCAACTCCTGCAGCTCTTTCGTTTTCTCAAGCCGAAATCAAGAAAAACGAGCATTCGCACTGGTACTTTTTGTATATTTCGTGTAAATGGCTTTCTTTTTTGTGATCGCCCTAAAGAAAAAAAAGCGTTGAATTATAGAAGATTTTTCAAAAAAACCTTTCAAGTTCCTACAGCCACACTTCAAATAATTTCTATTAACATTCTGTACAAGTGGAATGTTGAGAAATCACAATAATCCGTGTTTTGTCACTAAGCTTTGTTCTGACCCTCCTTGTGTAATGCGCTAGTTGTTTTCATTGAACAACTAGAAAATGAAGTCTATAACTGGCAAACCGCCTGCCTTGTCCTGTCCTTCCTAACGCATATATTGTTTTGTATTTAAATTAACTTTTATTAATATTTTAATTATTTGCTCTCTATTTGTTTAAATGTTTCGATTGTAAAATGTGTCTGTTCTCTCAATTTTGTAGAATCCTAGATAAATTTTTTTATCTTAAAATTCAACAGTTTTACAAAGACTTCAATTTGTGCATAAAATTGATGTTATTATTGCTCTTCAAATTGTGGTCCGTTTGATTTGGCTGAAGATCTTGTGATGCGTTTCTTCAATGGAACCAACTGCAAAAGTGCAAATTGGTTTTTAAATTTCAAGGATTCTTGCATACTTCTGGACTCTTTAACTTCTCATCCACCGATGTTGATGGATCGACGGCGGAAGCTGTACGCTTTCTCTTTGTCGGCGACGAATTCAACATTGTCTTCATTCTCTAAAAATAAAATTTGAATACAACAAGCATTCATTTTAATGTTTCGAACCAGATATTCCAAATAAAGAAGTTCGTCAAAATCTCCAGTTAACTCGGCTTTCTCCAATGTCACATTTCGTTCAAGTGCAAACGACAAAACGATTTCCTTGTCGGCAACGGATTCAATGTGAAGACCGCATTCAGCGAACAAATCGCTGGAATATTTTAATGTTTGATTTTAAAAATGAGTTGATTATAGAAAAAACATTGATAAATGATGTTTGTGCAACAAATAGAACGTTGCCGCGATCATCTGACGATGTGTGATCTTTAAACAGAACAATAAACAAACTGTGACACACAAGATATCCTTGCTTTCCTGTTGCTCAATAAAAAATTGGTTATTCAAATGCTTGATTTTACATGATTTCGACCAAATATTTTCTGAAATGTTTGATTTATATGAAACACTATTTGAAATCCATAGTTTGTAAACACCTTATAAGGGACCATCATGCTTGGCAACGTTTCTTGAACTGGTTTGGTGTCATTTTCGTGTTAATTATGCGCAATTCATTATTTTGGGCTAACTTTAAGTTTGCTTTTTATTTTTTACTTCATACTCCATAACAGCAAAATAATATAACTTATTGTCGTTCTGTGGTTCCTAATCTTTAGACAAAAAATTAACCTCCATTTGTCTTCTAGCAACGTTTTGGTGACATTCAGAAGATCCATTCGATCTTGAACCGTCATTTCCTTTTCATAAACAACATCTTTCGCATCTTTGACCCCTTGGATAGTTATATTTGAAACGACATTAGTATCTTTCCATTACCAAGTGTCTTGGACTTTGGAATCCAATAAACAAACCATTTCTTGAAGTTGTGCTCACGATCGTAAACCAAAATCGACGACATCGAAAAATCAGAAATTGGCGATTACGGCATTTCATTTCCATTTCAGATAATCAATAATTGAATGTACACTTAAAAAATAAGGGGATAAATGTGTATGTGTTTAATTAAATACTTGTTTATGAAAAATAAAAAAATATATAATAAATGAATAGTACATGAAAACTGACCGTAATCTTCTACCGTATAAAAAAAAGCAAATTTGACAAATTATGGCACTAAATGGATAGGTTACACGAATGGTTGATTGTAAAGACACTCTATGGAGATTGGCTAAGAATGGCTGTTACTATAATAATTAGTTAAACAAATAATTAAATGAGCGGGTTATTCTAAACGATAACAGTGTTATTCCGAACGTCGCCGTAGTTCAGGATATACCAGTCGAGTCCATACATAAGGATTGCAAGTGGTTGGCCGACGATCAACGAGAGCCACACAATTATATTTCCTTCACAATTTCGAGAAATTTAAAATTAACAGATAGTAATAGGAAGACAAACCTGCTCTACCACCGCGCACAACTTTATCAGTGATAAATGACAGAGGTATTTGGCCCATCATTCCATAATATGCCCATAAGCGGAACATTTTTAGTGGAACCGAAACGAGATATTCATGGAAGAAGGCGGAAACGAAAAAGACAACAAAAAATGCACTTCGTTTGCTGAAAAATTAATAAATCATTAATTTGAAAGTCAGAAGCCGATGGGTGCAAATTTAACTCCAGAGAATGTGGAAAAAGTACGGGAAAGACCAATCGAAAAATAATTTAAAGTTATTTTCGCTTGATTTTTAACAGTTTTATTTAATCTTTCATAAATGAACAAAATTCTTAACACTGAACATTTTTTGTCGCTGCTCAATATTTTTTTTTAGATTTGAAAAAAATTGTGTATGTAAAGATTCCCGAATTTCCCCGCTAAAAAGGTTCGGTGAATTTTCCACACCTCAGATGCAAATCATACCTAAAATTATTTCTCATCATCGGCATATAAATATGTCGTACGGCAAATCGATGGGCCGGAATATTCCAAGTCTTCCAGAAATATGATGTTGTCTCTGAATTCCAGAAATCTCTGAAACACATTACCTTGGCCTTATTATCTACTTTTGCTAGTAAAGACGAACCTGTAGAACTCTCGATCAGCAAATCGAAGAAGTTCGGCAACCAAGTTCAAGAATGAATGAAAGAATGTATAGAAGAAAATGAGCCAAATAACATGATTCGGAACGGCCAATTTGAGAAGTCGTTCCAAACATCTACTATATTCCATTTCGCTCATTGGCTTCATACTGTTGCGAACAGTTGGAACAACCCACTGTTGTACTAGAGCAGCAATAAGGAACGATAGGAAAATAAGCTTAAATCCGAAATAGAAAATGCTTCAGAAATAGAATTTGAGCATACCTCAACAGTCCGTTTAATCAAGAAATGCTTTCGAATTCGATGTGTCCGCGGAAATTTGAATTCATAACAAAGAGTTGGTGCAAACATGAAATAGTACAAATTGGAGAGTGTGAGCGATGCTTGATAAAGTTGGGCCATTTGATGAACAGAGAGCTTACAAACAAAATTAGAAAAAACCAATATTCAATTTGCTATCGAACCTCGTCTTTCAATTCCCAAAATTCCTTTGGATCGGTTGTCCTTTTTGCAAGTTCCTTCACATTTTCCTTGAGTTCATCAATTTTTTTGCGTGCATCGCGGGCCCAGTAATTGACATGCCCATATGAAACAAATTTAAGGGATTCGATGACATAAACGGACATTGCAGCCATAGAAAACATTGGATTTTTCGACTGAAAATTGTAACTCACTGAATAATATTTGATTTGGTGTGAGTAATTGCTTACAGATGTTCCGAAAGTGACAACGATTGGAATGGTGAGATGAACAGCAATGAGAACAGTGTAGAAAATGGCGGCGAAGAAGTTTCCAATCCATTTCTTCTCTTCAATGAAACTAATCTTCAGATATTCATGGATATAATTATTACCTAGCATTTTTTCGACTCCGAACATTGTCAAAATCTGAACATTAGAAACAACGATCAATGCCAAATTAGGCCAATTCCATATATGGCAGTCCTCCTGGAATATTGAGACCCATTGCTGCGGACGTATTAAAATCCCATACTTTATGACATTTTCAAGAGCCACACGACCATTCGACAAAACCTGAAAAGCAATAGATTAAAATATGTCGAATTAATAGCTAGGCTCTACAAAAAGCAAAATAGATAAATTGAAAAATCCTTGAAAATTGGTCCATCCAGAACTCGTCGAAAACAATGAAGCTTGTGAAGTGTGCACGACTTTCTCACAAGGGCTGAAACACAATGGGGTTGCCGAGACATTCCGAAATAAAATATACAATTTGTGGTGGGTCTTTTCCAGCATCGAAGAAGTTCGAAAATGTCCATTTGGTTCCGTAGCATTAGATGAACGACGACTGCTTAAACTTCCATTTGATTCGCCTGATATTTTTCTTCTTCGTCTAGCCTAGAATTTGCCTTTTTAAAATCATTGAGACAGGACAGGCTGATAACAGAAGCAAAACTCGTTGTATTGATTTATTTCTCATTTAAAATTCAAAAACTACTTTCCAGAAACATCGTACGAAGATCTGCAAATCACTTACCGTATTATTATTACTGGTTCTCATGTTGCGCGATAGTTGGATTGTGCACTAGAAAATAGCAAATGTGATATAGAAAAACGGCAATGATTGCAACTAAACGACGAGTCGAAAACAACGAGACACATCAAGATAAGTAATCGAAAAATCATCCGTATTTTCGTTATCGGCGTCTCTCCAACATTACGAGAGAAAGACGAAAAACTATGTTAAACAGTAAACAAATTGACAAAGTGCAAATCGGAAAAAAAACCGAAATGCTCATCTTGATATGAGTTTTCACCAAATTCGTCAACATCCGAATGTCAATCGCGATAACTTAACTTTTAAGCAAAAAAATAGTGAACTCGTTTTGATATCACGAAATTTGATATCATGTTCCAAATAGTAGTTTTGGCGAAAAATAAACACGCATTCGAGATCTATGGAAATTTGATGATGATATCTAAACTGGTTCCTCAGTATCTTCAGGCAAACCGCACCCTCCATGATATCAGATATTATTTGGCTTATAACAGCTGGCGTTCTCGGAATTTTTTGATGCCATCGAACATTTTATTTTACCACTCTTTGAAGAATCGCATCTACAACCTCCATCGATAAATAAATTCTCGACAGAAATTTAATAACCATAAAAATATCAACTAAAAAGAAACCACAAATACAAAAAAAGAAAAATAATAAAATGTGTGGCTAACTTAACGCAAAAATCGGTTGATATTTCCAGTTTAATGGTCATCGACCTTATCGGCACGTCGAAGAACCTGTAGCAATAAATTTTTAAATATGTTTGGTAAACTTTATTATCTACCTTGTAGTCCTTGAATCTCTTCTCAATCTCTGGAGTCTCGTTCAATCCAATATCGCATGGGTCAGGAATTCTGAAATTTGAAATAGAATATAAATAGTAAAATTGTGGAATATTACCTGTTCTGGTAACGGAGATCGTAGAAGTGAGCTGGGAAGTACTCAACGAAGTGCTGACGATCAAAGTGCTCGACTGGTGGAGCCTTCGCCCACTTCTCCTCAACTTTCTTGGCCTCCTCAAGTCCATCAGCAACCTTGGCATCATGCAACTTGATGCGAGCATTGTTGTACTCAACCCATTGGTCGACCTCCTTCAAGTACTCAGCTGGGACTTCTCCGTATGGGATCTTGATGGCTTCATACTGTTTCTGAAGAGAATCGAGAATGGCAGCATGAGCTGGAAGGTTCTTCTTGAGCTCAGCGAAGTCGATCTAAATGTGTTAATAATAATTATTATTACGACTTAAATACAATTTACCTTTGGAAGGTCAGCTGGGTATTGGTTGACAGCAGATTGGAAAGTTCCGCTAATTCCCTTCACCCGAGTAAGTTCAGCTGCATGTTCCGGGATCAAGCGATCGGCTATAAACACAATCTAATAAATTAATGAAATTTAAAACTAATGTTTCTTATTTAATTTTTATTTAGAAGTATGAATAAATTGGAAAACCATACCCAACTTAGCCCAGTTGACAGAGGAAGTTGCTACCCTCTTTGCGGCTCCAGACATACCTGTAATATAATTTGTTACAGTCGGAATAAATAAAATAAGTCTGAGAGGTGAAAAAATTGATGCAAAAATTAAACTTGATGTTGCTCAGAGATTAAGATGATAATTATAGTGAAAAGTTTGTTTCCAACTAATTCGAACGAAGAATAAGTTCAAATTATGGAAATCAGTTGTTTTTCCATACTTTTAACTAAAAAATTTACCAAATTTCAACAAAAATTAACAGAAATTAGCAATAAATGGGTAGAACGGGGACAAAAAGGAAAAAATGGGCGGAGGGGCGCCCGTGCAAATTGCAACTGCGGCGCATTTCTTACGCAAGTAATAGTTTTTCGGCCAGAAAACTTCGGCCACCTAGTATGATTAATTCAAACTTTCCGCACATCCCTGCGAAAAAAACGTGTGAATGAGACTGTCGATGGATAGAGAATATCATAAATTTAAATATACAGGGTGGCTGAAAATTATCCGGACTAAAATTTCGAGCCTTCGTGAGGCTCACTGGTGCTTTTTCAGCGCAATGTTTTTTAATTTTTTTAATTAGCAATGTTTTTTTTCTATCTCTCAAATTTTCATGATAATTGGTTCGGTTTTAGCAAAATGACGAAGCAAAATGCAAACCGACCCGCAATTATCGCATTGCACAAGTCCGGAATAGGCACGTATGCAATTTGGAAGCATCTGAGAATTCCGAAAAGCACCGTCTACGATGCGATTTCTCGTTTCAAGGATCTTGGCACAACCCAGGACCGTGCAGGCAGAGGAAGAAAAACTACGGTGACGACTTCTTCGAACGTTAAGATCGTCCGAGACAGAATCAGACGAAATGCTCATCAGAGCATCAGAAAAATGGCTTCCGCCCTGAATATGTCACGAGCTTCAATGACAACCATTGTCAAAAAGAAGCTTAAGTTGACTTCTTATTGTGTCAGAAAAGCGGCCATCCTTTCTCAATCCAACAAGTTCAAACGGCACTAAAAGGCAAAACTCCTTTTGGGGCGCGCGCGGGTTGGGGAACATCTGTCGATGGTCTTTTCGGACTGGAAGCTGTTCACCGTGGAGACCGAATTCAATTCGCAAAAACATCGAGTGCTTGCCCGAACGTCCGAGGAAGCTTCAGAACTCGGCTGGACGATTCATCGTACGTCGCACTCCGTCAGCGTCATGATCTTCGGTGCCATCTGCTCCAATGGCAAATGTCCTCTGATTTTCGTGGAAAATGGTGTCAAAATCGACAAGTACTACTATATCAATGAGATCCTGAAGAAGAACTTGCTTCGTTGGGCCCAAAAACACTTTGGTGGACAACGATGGGTGTTCCAGCAGGACGGGACGCCAGCTCATACTGCAAAGTTTACACAGGAGTGGTGCGTCAACAATTTCCCCTCCTTCATCAAGTCAAAAGAATGGCCCGCCTCGACTCCTGAATTAATCCGTTGGACTACTCCGTATGCGGGGTCTTACAGAGTAAGGTCTGTGCTAGTCCCCACCCGAATTTGGTCTCTCAAAAGAAAGCGCTGATCGAGGAATGGGACAAATTGTCGGTGGAATACCTGCGCGCCACGGTCGACGCATATCCGAAGCGTCTTCGCGCCGTCATCAGAAACCGTGGAGATCGAATCGGACAACGATAATCTATTTATGTTTGTTATTGTAAAAATAAGCTAAATACGAAATTTGAGCGTGTTTCAACAATTATTCACTGAAATACATTGGTTTTCATATAGTCCGGGTAATTTTCAGCCACCCTGTACATATATAAATTATTCTAAGAAATTCTTCTTGTAGAAAATTTAGCTTTTGCGCCGAACGCCTGAATGTTAATTCTTATGGTCGATTCATAGTCCCTCCTTTAATATCATACAAGTTAGAGATTTGGTAATCGATTTAAATCAACTCGCTCGAGAATGCATTACCTTTCTCAAATTGAAATAGTCAGTTTTAGCGTCAAATTTGACGTGATTGCGAAAATGACAAATTCGACAACTAAACAAGATACATTTAAAAAAACAATATAAATGAATAGTATCGAAAAATCGTATGAAATATTTATTTTGTTAGATTGAAGACGAAAGATAACAGCAAAATTTATCATTCTTCATTTTAATTTTACCAGTATTTTAGAATGTTAGATCAACTCCATAATCTTACCGGAATTTAATTACAGTCAATTTCAATTGCAGCCCATTTCAATATTTGTTTTTTTGTTGAGCACCTCTTATATTCTTTTGGAAGAAAATAAATATTGTGATGATAATACACGACTTTCTGCAAATCTTCAAAGCAACATGTGCGCATTCGATTGTTAATCCTTCCCTCTCCATATGGTCAAGATAGGAATCTTACTAGTTAGATATGCAGAATATATGTAGTCGTTCATAATATTATTTGATTTCAATGTTCTAAATTCATTTCCGTTAGTTGAATTCGACTGTGAAGAGGTTAATCCTTCAATCTTTTGTTATACTTCCGCCGAAATTAAAATCGGAATTATGCATACCGTATGAGGTCACATATTTTTGGGAAATCAAGTCAATAGATGATAGAAAGAAATTCGTTAATTTAAATTAAATAATATGTAAATTATATTATTGAATAATTTCGTGGAGATTTCTAAAAATTTTAAAATTAACTTGCTTTATCGTCGATGTCGCGCGACTGCGGAAAATAGGAAAAATGTCAACAAATTGAAAAAGATCTCTCGGTTAGCGGTGTGCGCCTTTAACCTATCCTTATACATAGACCCGTAAATCTACACTTCTGCGCCAAGACCTGCGATTGATTTTTTTTGGAATTTAGCCAATTTTCGGCAGTCGCGCGGTGTCGACAATACTAATTTTTTTGAAATTATATCATGATAAAGATGCTGTAAAAACTTTTTAAAAATGTTAAATTTCCTAATTATCGTTTGTAAATTGCTAATTTTTTTTGAAATCTGCCTCTTCTTTTTCAAAGAAAAATCTTATTTTTTTAAAGAAAAATTGTACTGTGCCACCAGTCAGCCGAAAATCTCTCAATTCTTCAATAGTTCAGAATTCGAGAAGATTGTCATTTTTCTACTATTTTCTCATTTTCTAGTCTTCACTTAAAATAGTAATAAAATGCGGTTTCAGTAATTACTAGGAAACGGAATTTTACAATAAAGAATGCCTGGGTTGTTTAAAAATTTTTAAAAACTCTTCAGAATTTAAAAATTATTGTTTAAATTGCTGATTTTACTGTCGTTGGTTAGGATTTGAAAAGAATTTGTTTTTTTTAATAACAGGATCCATTTGATTCAAATCGTAATCGAATTCGATTCATTGAGAAAAGTGATCATTTGTTTAAGCATTTCATATTTTTGACGTTTTGAAAAAGTATTTGTAGATTTGCGACATTTCAAAAGAGGATTTTCAATCATTTAATAATAAATAATTGAAGGCAATTAATGCGTCTTCTTCCTTAAACGCTTCGTCAGGCAAACATGGCGCCGCCCCCAAAAAGGGGTTAAACGGTCCTTTTAGGGTGTGTTGTCGCATCAAGTAGTCGTCCGGTCATCCCCAGACGCACCTCAGTCTCGTTTATTCGATCCGACTTTTACCTTTTCGCCTCATCTTCGCTGACGCGCGTTCCAATCGACCGGCGCGCACCGGTCGTAATCGATTCCTCGGTTTTTCGATGCTTCTTCTTCTTCTTCTTCTTGTTTCCACCGTATGCCTTTTCAAGTTTTACGAGCATATACCAACGCCCGAACCGTAACTAATTTGCTGCGTTTCAGCAACTGGAATCAACTTCTAATTCAATTAGAAAATTTTAAAATGAATGCGAATCCATTTTTTTAATTCACATGAAGCCGCTAATTTTTTCATATTTTAAAATTGGAGAATAATGGAAATGTTTTTTTCATCTACTTCCTAAACGTTTGCTTATTTTTTTTAAAGATTTTTTCAAAATATTCAATTTTGAATCTTTCCCATCATTAGTCATTCGCTTTATTGATTTTATTTAGGTCAGAAATGCAAGAAAATAATATATTAAACAAGAACAAACAAACAGATAAAGTGAAAATAACAAAATAAAATTTTTCGAGACCATTTGGAAGACGCATGCCCGTAAATCTACAACTGTCACTATCTGATTCTTTTGGTTAATTTCTATATTTAGCTCGTTTAGAAACGATTTATCTAAATAGATTAGACAACCCAAACGCAAAAAGAATACCATAATCAATAATTTAGTAGAAAAACCTAACAAATTTGTCTCCATACAATATTCGAAAACAATATTTTTATTCGTTTTGAAAAGCGTAATATTAACAATCTCCAGATGAAATTAAAATATAGTAAAACGTTGAATTTTGTATGAAATTTCTCATAGTTGTTCTTCATTTAAAATTATTCCGTTGAATATTGCAAAATTGCAAAACGGAACGATTCTTTCCGTAATTTTGTCAGTTTCTTGTTTCACTTTTCCGCATTTTTGTTGTCTGAACGTTTGAATATAATTTAGATTGAACAAAAACACACAGGAATGCGAACTGGATCAACACAATACGTTTTTGTATCAATTCTCCTTCTAGTATTCATTTTGTCAGTGAAGTGCGCGCCAAATTCGAAATCCAGATGCGCTTTGGAGTGCTACGCGCAATGTATGCGTTCGGGAACGGTATGTAATGGGGCAAAACATTTCGAATGCCAAAAAAGGCAAACAAGTCATCGTATCAAGTAAAAGTGTCCAAACTGGATCTAAACCCAATATTCGTTTACTACATATTTTTCGCAACAGGTTGTGCTTCGAAAAGGTAGAGCGGAAAATTGAAATGATTGAAAATATTTATAAATTTTTATCGTGCATATTTCTGCCGAAAGTTTTGCAAAAAATTGGTGAATATCTGAGGAAATTCTCCCAGGAATTGTGTGCCGACATTGTACGATTTTCAGCAATGCTTGGACAATTCTTAGTACAGGCTTTCCTTCGGTTTTATGGAGACATTCATCAGCATTCATTTTCAGCCCAACCACACTACATTTTGTTTCAACTTTTACTAAGAGTTTTGTTGGAAATTTCTCAGAATATATTACTGAGAACATCGTAAGAAGAAACTCAATTTTTTAAATGAAGTATTTTTCCAATTTTTAAATTGTCAAGTAGTTGGAATATGGTTCGATTGAATCGGAAAATCTTCAAAAGTTTTTATAATCTAGAATTTGCGGTCTCGAGATGCAAATTTTGTGCGTCAAGTTGACCTCCACTTGAGTTGTCTCCTCCTTCTCCTTCTTTCGTCGTTCCAATTAATATCCGTCACGATTCGTTCTTTTTTCCCTTTTTCGGTAATTGTTTTCTCCTGGAAAATGTGGAGTTCACAATAGCGAACGAGGCAGAGAGAAATTCAGCGAAAAACCGGCTGTCCGATGTTTTATTGTTTCCAGCTCGTCGCATTTTGCTTAAGACGCAAATCGAAAAGTAACAAATCGAAAATGTTGCGATAAAATCAAAGCGAAACTCAAAAAAAAAATGACCCAATTTGAACAAATGAATTGATTTTCCTGCCGAACAATTATACTAGATTTTCGTTCAGGCCAACGCGGGAATTTGTAATTGTCCAGTTGTCAAGGAGCCTCAAAAGTGCTCCAATTTCGAAGAGCAATTTCAAAAAGGTAAATAAAAATTTGAAAAAATAACTGGCAACTATTGAAAGATAACATTTTCTCGAAGAAAATATGAATATTTTAGCACTTATTGTTCAAAATTTGCCAATAACTCGGACAAAATACTTGGATGCTCACACAATTCATATTTCGATTAGTCCGCATCCGTCAGCATTTGCTTATATATTCGAATACTCGACTATTTCGACACATCCTGATAAATGGATATTCGCGGTATTTTATTTTTGTATCATTCAAAAATACATCGAATTTCAGGGAGCCTATACAGAACCAGAAGCGCAATTCAGCGTGCTGGATCCATGCCGCGATTACCATTTTAGGGTACTTGTTGTTTTGCGAAGTAGCGACCCGTCGCAATTATTCGCGATTATCCGTCCGCAGGCGATTCCCGTTCAATTGCCGCCTTTCGTTTTGAAACAAGAGCAGATCAAGGTGGAATTGCCAAGAATGGTCAATGCCACAGCCAACCATATAAAGATGTTTGTGAAATGGACAGTACCCTTGTAGGATAATGCACCGTTCAAAAATGAGAAATTTGTTTTATTTGAGTGGCTATTCTGATGGCGATATTTATGGATACGAGTCGCCGTCGCTGTACCCGATTCAATGCTCAACTCCAGAGGAAGAATTGCCTCAGCCTAGAATTGTAAGAAACATATTCTACATACAGTAGTTCATTCAATTATCAATTTGTTAGGAAATTGTGAAAGGCGGAGGTCGATTAGCAGTTCTCCTACCTTCTTCAGTTCTCAATTCAAGGTGTAGAATGTGGGTGGAAGTGAGAATGCTACCGAGATGTGTCCGTCTTGAACCATTCAATATCCAAAAGAACATCGAAATCGATTGCTCGAAGAATACTGATCTGGAAGTGTGCAGCAAAGATGCGAATCCGGTATGTCTTGAAAATGTGCGGATCGGCGGAGAACTTGGAAAAGCGAAAATAAGTTGGGAGAAGCCTCAAAAACCACCACTTTATTATCATGTGCGGTATGGACCAGCACAAACGAAGGTTGGTTTCTCGGGATGTTTGAGGGTTTTCAAATTCCTTATTAGGGAACCGCCCCGTTTGTTTCGTGGCAACTTGCTGCCAAACGAGAAGTTCGAGTTGACGGCTCGTTGAGCTCATTTTCTCTCGATATTCCGGAAGATGAAGATTTTGGAGTTCAAGTGTGCGCTATAATGTCGAAAAATCGAAAAAGACCCAAATTTGGGGTTGTCGAAGTCCTTCCATTTCAATGTGTCAGCTGCAAACCGGCAGGTTTATATTCAACAAGTTCACATAAAAGAAATACATATGTAGGAGAACAATCGGAAGCGATTGGCCGGTGTGGAGAATGCTCGAAGATTCTTGGTTCGACTGTTATCGAGAAGGATTGGAAGATCAAGACTCCGCCATTGAGGAATCAACCGAAAGAACAAGACATTGAACAAAACGTAATTGAAAATACATATTAATAATATTACAAATTCAAACAAAAATATTTTAGCCTACTGTCTATCGAATGGAAACCGACCTTTCGGTTGCACCCAAAAGGATCAGCGCCAAATCGGACACCAGACTTACTCCAGAGCTTCCGCTTGAAATTGAAAAAGCTGAAAAGATTAATCTAGACCAGAATTCAACAAAAACAACAACAACGACAATGAGTACGGAAACAGAAACTGCTCCACAAATTGCAACATCTTCTACTAATGAATCATCAACTGAGAATACTTTTTCCGAGAAATTATCCACTGACATCAATGAAGCGGCAGATGCACAAGACACTACCACGATGAAAGAGTCGATGAATATCAAGACAATCGTAGAAGAAGAAACTGATGAGCGTGAACAGGAAAATCAAGAAAAAGACGAAAAGGAGGAGGAGGAGCACGAAGTTGATAAGGAAGGAATTCTAGATTTAGAACGAAACGAGAAAGAAAGAATTCAAAAAGAGCTTGCTGAGAAAACAATTGATGAGTCTATTGAAAATATTGAGAAAGTGTTGGAAGGTACGACCAATTCGACTGACCAGTTCGAACAACTCGAAAAACGTCTAGAAGAAGCTGCTCAAAAGCTTCAGGAGACTGTCAGTTTATTGTTGAGAATATCCAAGAGAACTAATGGAAATTATACAGATTACAACTCTGGCCGCAAATTCGAGCGATGTTCGACATCATGAGCCTACGAAAAAATGTTTAACGAGCGAAGGAATCGTTTGTGAATTTGGATGTCTTGACAGAAAAACGTGACATTTTATGAAAATTAAAACTCTAAAATTCAGCTGGTTTCAGTTGTATTTGTCCACCTGTAACTCATGCTCGTCTTCGCAACAAAGTGTGCATTTCTCGTGACGCAATGCCTCACACAAATTGTCTACCGAAAAAGGAAATAAACGCGACATGGGACGCCGAAACTGGAAATGTGATGGTCCGAAGGAGTGATGCAATTTATCATATTGAAAACTCGGAATCTGTCGATAAACTTTTCGTTGAATTCGGTAAAGTGCGACTCGCTGAAGAATTGAATAATTTGAGCAGAATCGAATTCGCGGATGAGACGAGACAAAAAGTCGTCGTGATGATACAGGTTGAGAATTGATTGTTCCTTTTGATTTCAGTCATCTTTCCTTTCAGTCCATATTAAAATCATCAGTCTTTTCAACGGAACCATTTATATTCCATGTGAATCAAACAATCGATATGAATGCTATATATGGCATGAGATTATGCGTATTCAATTCTTCACAAATCCGTCATCCCCACACACACAATTGGGATGATGAGAGTCGATTTGAGAAAGATATCGCCGAGGTTTGTCAGGACTCATTCCGATTAAAATCATAAGATAAATGATTCAGGTTGTTCAATTAAGCCCCGTCTATTTTACGAATCAATTACTAGCAAATCAACCGGATAATTATTGGAATACTCTGGTTACCGTGGCCAAAGTTGCAATTTTAATATTATTGGTATTGATACGAAATGAAATTGACTTAGACGAACTCAAAATTTTTAATTTTCAGGCAATTGCAATGTTTGTATTATTGTATTTGAATTGCACCAAAATTAAGACTCTTTATGATCGAAAACGAACACATTATTTTCGGCCATTTTATATTGATCCAGCGGTATAATCGTTTCAAGTATTCCAATTTATTTTTCTCATTTAATTTTAGGTTCATATGCCAACCCGGCTAAAACGCGAACCTTCTCGAGGATATTATGACGTCAGATCGCGAGTTATCATGTAACTCACATAATTCACAAATTTTTTTGCTGCCAAATCAACTAAAAAAGGAATGAAAATAATAACAATAAAATAATCATGTTTTTATTTCAAATCTCTTGGCCAACGTGTATTTTCCTACTTTAATTTTTTAAAAATATATTTATTATTAATTGTTTATTAATTTATTAAAACCAACATGGTTCCTAATGCACATTATTTTTAAATATGTATGTATGTATTTGTTGAACAATGAAATTGTTGAATTCGCCGACCGAAATAAATGTCATTTTGAAGTTTTTTTGTGCATTAATACCTGTATAACTAGGAATGGCTCATATTTTAATTAATATGAGATTAGTCATTTTCTTTAGTAGAACACATCGAATATTATCGGCTGGAAAATAGTTGAGTTTTTGCGAAAAGTTGAAAATTGAGAATCATTAAGAAATTTTTCGAGTTTCTACAAATCTGCATGAATTTTTGAGACAACACAGTAAAGAAAATTTAACCGTTAAAAAATCATAAAAAGACAAATTCTAAAATATAGTGTCTCCATTTTGCCAAGTGGGACCACCAGGAATTGAGATGTGAACATGACCATTAGGACCATTTTGCAAAATAATCTTCTTAGTCAAAATTCAAATGCTTCTGCTGGCCCATAAATGCCAATTTCATCTTCTATTTTAGGATATTTTTATCGTACTTAAAAATCAGCTTTATTAATGTTGCGAAAGAAGTCTGAAAATCGAATACGACAAGTATAAGAGTATACACGAATTAATTGCAATCGTAATTGAAGAATGTTGTTGTCGTATGCGATTTATCAGAAATTCAATGGATATTTATCAAAATTCCAATACTTGCTCATATTCCTCAAATCCTTTCTTGTATGCTTTGCTTCTAATTGACCTACATCAAATATTGGAGAAACATACGAGAATTCCTTTTATGGCGAATCAATAACTAGACGACGTCACTTCACTCTCTAACCTTTCCGTGCTATTTTGTCATAGTTGAAGGCCCTTAGGGCTCATGGAGCATTCGATTCTCGCACACGCGCTCACTTCTCCTCCACCATCTCTTCTTTTCTCCTTTTTCTTCTTCTGCTGTTTTTGTCGTCGTTTTCATCATCATTTCCTACCACGTATGCTTTTACTATACTAAACAGACATATATATATATATATATATATATATATATATATATATATATATATATATATATATGTGTATATATATGTGTGTATGTATGTATTTGCATGCTTATGTTAGGGTATATGTATTAATACGCCAGAATTCCTAATCCCACCAGATTATCTTGTGTATTTTTTTTAGCGAAAGGGCGATTCATAAAAGAAAATAATAAAAGGAAAATTAAGAAGTTTTTCCTTAAATTTTCAACAATCAGTTTTTTCATTTCGAATTTGAGTAATTTTTTCATTGTTATCTGATTAGGCACCTAACTTCTGAAACAAAAAAGAACAAATTGTTTTCCAATGACATCACTTATGAGATTTTCGTATCAAATTGGTTGTCTATGGTAACTTTTGCAATGATGTCAAGTTCAATATTTTTTATTTTTCGGAATTTCCCAGTCATTAATAATTTTTTATTATTCACTCTTCGCGATAACCAAAATTGTTGTTATTGCTTGAAAAATCACTACAATTTTCTCTCGTTGTCATAGATACCGGAAACGGGCCAATTTGAACGCGAAAACATATTCAGATCCGTCACATGACATGACCGGATTTCGTCTGGGCAACAAAAAGGAGAAGCTGTCGCCTTCGACAGCGAAGCCTTCCGCGCTGGTTGATGAGGTACCATCATTCATATTCGTTTCATCAACTATTCAAAATAAAAAATGGCTATTTTAAAATATCGATTCTCGCTTCATTATAAATATATTCGCATTAATCATAGCGTCCGTACGCATTCGTCTTTTTTCGAAAAAACTGAATCTACACTTTCGTACGAATACTTACAGGTCTTATCTTATAAAATTAACATTGCTAATATTTTAGAAAATTTATAATACAAACTTAGAGCTTTTTTTTCTAAAATTTTTCTTAAAAATATTTTCTTAATCATTCTAGAACATTCAGAGTTTATTCGGTTAAAAACTCAAAAAAAAACCGAGTTGATGAGTAAGAAGATTGTTTTGATGAAATTAGTCGACACACGCATCATTTTCGAATCGAAATTCAATTACAAGGCTTCGTTTTTCTTTTCAAGTGCTTCTTTTGTCTAAATCATATCAGTATAGGGTGTATATTCATACAGAAAAATATACATAATGGTTAGTTTCGAAGAGAATTCCCAAAAATTATGGAAATGTTTGAAGGTGAGTGCACCGCGCAACTTCGGCATCCGCAATTATCTTCACCAGTTCTATGTGACCCCAACTGGAGAGGAACTTGAATCCGGAGCCTGGTAGAGCAAAACATGTATTCGATGGAGATTCATCGAATGCTTTTCAGGTATCTTCTTCCACCCCCACCGGCTCAACGACGCGGACTGCTTGTTTGTCGTGTTTGCACACTCATCGGTCTTTTCCTTCTGATCGCAGGTTCGTTTCTAGGGAAGCAAGTTTCTTTCGGTCGATCAACTAATCTGATTCAGAGGAAAATTATGTGAAATTGAAAACACAACACACATTTTATAGGGGCAGTTGCCATCACCGTCGGCTACACTTGGAAATACAACCGTCATATCGAGCAGTCGATTGAGCGTTTTGTCCTGTTCCAGGTCAGTCTTAGCTAGATTCATTTGAAAACAACATAATTTTCTGTTTAAGGATGAAAACGGCGGTCTTTACTTGCCAAGCGACAAGCTTCAACTCATTCTTCAAGATCCAATGAGATACTGGAAGACGACAGGTCGCATCGATTTAATCCGTCTTATTCCATCAACAATTTGTTTTAAGGCTTCTGTCTTTTTGCTTCTGGATCTGTTCTTCTCGCAGTATCGCTGATCATTCCAACTTTGGCAGCATGCGTCGGAACTCGTCGTTTCGCTGCATTTGCTTCCAACGACAACTCGCCGAATGAGCCACCGGTTCGCGTTTTTCCGCAAACGATTGCGGCCCAAGCGGCTACCGTAAGCAGGTTCGTCGAGCCTCCATTAACATCGAATGCGGTTTTCGAACATTTCCATTATTCACTTTCTCGTCAATTCAAATATTAATGAGGCTTTCCGAAACAGAATCATTGAAATTATGACTCAGAATCTCATTATTCCATTCCTGCAAAAAAAATTCAAAATCTCGAAGACCGCTACTTACCAATTAAAATGATCTTGTTTTTGTTTTTCGTTTCGAGAACATTGCTTACTTAAAGTGCATAGATAAAACCCCCACAAGTCATCAAGAATTAACCGTATTTTTTCGTGACATCACTTTTAAAACACCCGTTTTAATAATCTTTCTCGCAAGTCGTAATATAAAATATTATGAGACTCAAATAACCTATGAAATATTCTGTAGCGCGTTTCCCAAAGAAAAATCGTAATTATTCTATGTCGCCAGACGCGTGGCGGATCGCGTGCGCTTACACTTATTTTTTCGAAATTCTTTATAAAAATATGAACCGCGACGCATCCGAACTACAAGATCTCAGAAAAAATTCCATTGGCCGAGTTTTTTGGGAAACGCCTTAAAAAACTATTATTTAAAAATTTTTTAAACACTAGCAGAAGTCAAATCATAAGAAACGAATGGCGAACTAATATAATGATTAATATCGTTGCGGGACCAAAAGAGGATTTAAAAAATACGAGAACCCTGCGCCGATTTACAGTGAATTTGATTCGTACATAGGATACCCGTAGTACGGCACCCATATTCTAAATGTTAATTTTCGCCCCAACAAAATACGATGGTTCACAATTATTCAAGGCTCTCGTTTTTAATGTAAAATAGTTACGGTAGACACTCAATTAACCTCAAAATATTTGATTTGTATGAGTTTTATCCAAAAATTTCTGGGACAGCTTTTCGATTCGGTATTACATTGAAATTTTCAGCGGACCAGTACCAGTGATGGAAGAGATCAGCAAAGTGCAACCATCGGAGCGCAAATCGCCAACTGTGACACCGGACCTTCTCGACCAAGAAGTCCACTAAACGCACACACACAATCATTATCATTCCCCAATATGTTAAACAATACCCTGACAAAGAGAGCACGAGAATTGAGAGACACAGAGCTATCATTCTGTTTTTGACAAAAATTTACCATCAAATAGAAATAATACAAATAAATCAGTAAATGTTGCAAACAAACAGAACAATATGTGTTAAATAAAATACCAAAAAAATTGAAATAATAAAAACAGAAGAGTAGCATATTTTTATGTGGTTATTATATCGTTTCTTTAGTAGATCAATTATGTAGGGGTAAAACATTCACATTACAAGAAAAAGGAACATATAGTAAATAATGGTGATGAAAAAATAATCACCGAATAAATTACTGCAATTCAAATAGAAGATGTTAATTGGGGAAAAAGAAACAAAAGAAACAGTAAAAAGTAAAACGAAATTGGGGAGGATATACACATATGTTTAGGACACAAGAGGGAAGATATTTCCATTAAAAAAATCAAGACCCATTCATCAAAATAAGAGAAACAACGAAAGCCGATGGTATTGATTCAATTCGATTGATGATTGGTGTCATTAGCGCATAAATAGTGGAGTGAATGACGCAAGAAGTGATTCAAGATACGGATTTCGAGAGAATGGACAACGACTCAAGTGGCGACGGATATGACCCCGTACAGCTCGCCGACGTTCAAATCTGAAAAAAAAACGTCTTATTTTATTGCAATCAAAAATTTATACATTCAGATTAGGGAGGTAGATTTTTATTAGTTTTCGAAAACCTTAGCAATAAAAATCAAAATTTGTTACCTACGAGAGAATTTCATAAATTTGAAACTTCAAATATTTCTTTTTTCATATAAGAGATGAAATGCTCACATTTCCTAAGATAGCCACAATAATAAATCATGTCAAAGCGAATTTATTGGAACCGAAAAAAGACAAATTTCACTTTACGTGAAACGAAAACGTCCAACATCCAAAAATTTAATTATGCATCAAATAAGGGAAAAGCCAAGACGAATTTAATGCATTTCTCAATTTGGACGGCAAAACGAAATTCTCGCTTTATCGGAATTTATTAGATGAATTTAAACCTGGGAATTTATTCAAGGCAATTTAGAGTCAACAATTAACTAAATCACTATAAACCTAACCATAAAGTGCATGCTCGGAATATACAACACCAATAATAAGAATAATAAGAACTCCCATAAACATTAAGATCTACTTCTTTTTTTTGCTTGAAAAAAAAGAAGAGAAAAAAGAATGCGGTAGATCATAGCAATAAAAGTAAATAATTTTTAGAAGTGAAATGCAGATCTAGCGCATGTACTGAGCATGATTGATAGTGTCGAATGTAGAGGTGTGGGAATATTCGCTTACTTTAGCCTTGGGCCGCAAATATATCTCACGCCATGCTGTTTGACATCCAAATAACGTGAATCCGGTCGCCGACGTCTCACTGTCGATTCCGTCTTCAGTGGTGCAAAGCCCGACGGTGAGCCCGCCATCGCGGGCTGATGAACGTACGGACTTCCACGTGCGCATGCTCGATTCACAGCGAGTAACGTGTTGCCAACGATTTCAAGACTTTTGATCGTTTCAGGCGAGGGCTGGAATAACTGTGCCAATTCACCAAAACGCCACAATGTTGGGGAAGTGATGTGAGTTGATGAGGTGGTGAATGGGTTGAATCGGAAGACATTTAACAGAATAATAATGACAAGAAACAATTGGACAACGAATTAGAGCAAGCAATGCATCTAAGCACGACAGACAATTGTTGATTATTCGAATTAATTATTAATCCTTGGCTTTTCGTTGTAAATTTCAAAAATGAAATGAGGACAATGAAATCGACATGTCACACGTTATTATCATTGTTGGTTCACTTATTACTACTAAGACTTACTCGATTATTTTCCATTTTATTTTCAATTATTTTCTTATTTAATATTATTGTAGCCGAAGGCAATTCTGGGTTTCGATCACTGCAAATAACGTGATGAGCACACGGGAAAGGGCTCCAGTTCTACACAAATTACACCAAAATGAATGAAATGCAAAATAGGAAGCAACGCAGAACTACAACCCTCGGTGCAACAACGCATTGCAGAATTAATATCAAGGCGGAAAACGCCATAAATTAATTGATTGAATTAATTTAGAAAACCGGAAACTCAAAAGAAAAACTCTTCTAGTGCAAACATATCGGTCAGTAGTAATTCTCAACGGTACCATTCGAGTCAACCAATAGGCTTACACTGAAGACTCGAAAGAAAACGGTTAGACTTCTTACCTTCTGCAGTTTTGGCATTGGCTCGCCAACGACTGGAGTGTTACTTGAGGGTCGTTTTCCAGCTGCCGCGGCCGCACTCATCGCCTGTCATCAAAAAGGTAAATTTCAATAAATTCAAAAGAATCACGTACGTGTTGCAGATGAATAATTCCTTTGTGGAATTCGGTCTCGTTGAGTTTGAAAGATTTTTGACCAGCAAGACTGCGCGCCGTTTGCCAGATTGTATTGCGATCGGCAATAACAACTTAAAAATAGCACAATCATTTTTTGAGAAAACTTCAAAAAACTAATTCAAATTTTACAATACTCAGGTTAACAGAAATTCGTTGAGATTACTAAAAATTCTTATAATCGGCGTTCGGCGACTGCGTTTAAGAGCACAGCCATTTCGAAATTGTCTCGAAACGCGCGAATTCTTAAAAAAAATAGAAGAGTTTGCGCAATTAACATTAATTGGTGAAATTTTTTTCAATTGTGTACCAATTTAAAAAATGTTTACGTGTTAACGATTTTCAACGAAAATCTCTGATAGAAACTTCACATATTATTCATTAATTTTCTTCATCGATAAAAACATAAACAACAAAATATTTGTAAAATAACAAAATATGTGTAATTTGCGTGAGTGTGTATGAATCTTTTACTGTTTTTGAAGTTTTCTTAATTTATCCTCAACGTTTTGGGCCGAACTAAATCTTTCTAAAAGAAACGGTGACACGAACAGCTTACATTGTATGCCTGAACGCTGGACGCCGACTATAAGTTATACGAAAAAGATTCATGGACCAATGTACTTACCGGTCTTAAGAATAGCCTCATGATCAATGTTCGAGAATGGTTTTCTAGCCAAACGTCGCGGATTCAACGCACTCTTCGGTTGAATGCGTCTCAACACGCGTCGACAAATCGTCGTGTAGTACACAATATTCGGCTTTGAAGCTGGCTTTGCAACCACTGGAACAGTGATTCCTAGATTCTGCTGCAACTGAATGAGCTGAGCCTGAGTGATCTGCCCTTTAGCGGCAGCTGCTTTCGCCGCCTGATACAACGCCTGATTGTTGAATGTTGTTGGTCGCTGCGCATTTCCTAGATTTGGTTTAAGCGGATTCACAGCAACGTTCTGATTTATTGGCTTCGGCGTCGACGTTTGGCGGTCATTTCCGTTCATGACAGGTGCAACTGGTACTGGTGGACGGTTCTTGTCAAATCTCTCTGCAAACAATCAAATTCAAATCAATACTTTAATTATTTTTTATTTATACCGAGCTCATGCTTCCTATTCAATCCAGCATTCTTCTTCCACTTAAACCAGCATGTCTGGCATAATCTGAGATGTGATTTTCCACCCCATGAGTACCAGTTTTGCGACTCGTCAGTTTTACAGTTCTCGCACGGAATGGTGCTCTTCGAAACATTTTGGGTAACATTAAATGTACCAATGACACTTGGCGTTGTTTTGTTGTAGCTTGGAATGTAAACTTGTTTGAGTTTCGACTCAGATTCCGCCTGTTTCGCTTTTTTTCTCTCGGTGTAGCGATTAGATGCTTTATATTGATAATAATACTCAATGATATCTCTCATCGATTTCCACGGAAGCTGAAAATAAACAATCGGTAACTATTTAATTTAAAAAATCGTGTATACATAATCCGCTCTGATATCGTTGAAATCTTTTCCACATTTTTCGAGTGCTTCTTCAAACAAATTCGCTTCAGGCGTCGACCATTCTTCCATCTGATCACGACAGAGAAGTGGTCCTCCAAGAGTTTGTGTCTGGTTCCCCAATGTCTTATCCACCTCCAACGGATAGTGAGCCTTATTGGCTGTTGGGACTAGAAAAGTAACTGCTTTCCCAACATCATAGTTAGCATGATGCAGAAGTGACATAGCATGAAACACTGTGACATCTCGAGAAGCACAAGCTGCGGCCATGTGAAGAGTTGGGATCTTTGTCGAAGACGATGAATCTATGGCACGAGCAAATGTGCCAACGGCTCTGTAAACAACGAATCTAGTTGAAAGATAAAAAATAAGTGGATTAACCTGGCGATAATCAAAAATTGATCAATATCTCGTTCAGTTAGATCGTGGTATGGATGATATACTTGCACATCTCTCACGACGTCCTCTGTCACTTCAGATTTGGAAACCGACGTCGACGTTTTAGGTTCATCAGGTTGTTCGTCGATTTGAAGAGCACTATATTGTATCATTTTAATTGAAGTGTCTCAGGGAAAAAGAAGTTTATAGTGCACAATTTGCATTTTTAATAATTGAACAGCGCACTCGGGAAAGTCTGCGCAAACTCGGTTGAGACCATCAAAGTCTGCACACACCTTCAGTAAAGTTTGCGCAGCTTCTAATAAAATAAGAGTCGGCTGGAAGTCTGTGCCATTTCGGCACGACTTTCACGAGGTATACATGCCAAAAAATACAGTCCATGGCATTAATTCGACAAGGTGTTCATATTCATTGAATATAAACACCTTTTAGAAAGATTTGGTTCAATTGAAGCTAAAGACCACTCTCGCAAGCATTTAATTTTTTTAAAATAAGGGCGTAAATTACAGTTTATATTAATTAAATTTAACATGTTTTGAACAACATACCCATTCTGATTATCATCGTCGTCATCGTCGTCGTCATTTTCCATTTTCTCAACCCCGTTTTCCCCTTTATCCAAGTTTTCATCATAATCATCGACACGAGCTTGGAATCGATCACCGACACGAATTGCGCCTTTGTCAGCAAGAAGAGTCAAGTTGACTGGATCCCATACAAGCGAATAGAAAAATGTTTCCTGTATGAAAATTAGATAATTATTTAATTGGTAATTATTGTAATCACCTCAGCATTAAGGTAATTATCACATTCCTCAACTTCACCAAGAAGTGTGACTCGACACTTTCCACGAATCTGGTGCGCCGGCATGATTTCCGATTGTCTAGTGAGGAACACCTCGTGTTGTCTCAATTTGAGACGATCTTCAGGGGATAGTTTCTCGGATCCCAATGGAAGACCACCGTCTCCCCAGTCGATAACCATTGTGGATTCATCCTCGACCTTCTTCTTCTTCAATTCAATTTCTTCGGAATCTTTTTTAATAGTTAGTGTGTTATTTTCTTGAGTCTTTTCATTTTCCTCGTTCCCCTTTTTGTCATCAATGTCATTTACAGTGGGAACTTCGACATCTTCTTTTTTAATCTCAGAATCTTCCGCTGATTCGGCTTTTACTTCTCCGCCATTAGCCACCACGAATCCACGAGAGTTGAAGTTTTCTGGTTTTTTCTTATCGACCTCATAATCTGAAATTGCAAAATTCGTATTAATTCAATAAGTTTATCTTTTACAATTATCAAATCTTCTTTGAGCTTGATCGGCGATTTTCAGAAGATGCGATGGAATATCTCGACGACGAGCATACCAAACTGCACGAGCTTCAACACCGCTTGAAGTCTAAATTATGTGTTTAAATAGTGATAATAGTTTCCGATAAATTACTCGATTTAGCTCATCGATTCTTCGAATCTGGTACGGTGCATCTGGAGCAGATGGATCATCGAAGTACACAAAATCTAAAACCATCCAATTGAGAAATAATAGACGAAAACGACGTTTTCCATTTTATAAATGTATTTATTTTGTGCAATGGTGTTTTTTATCATTAATTTCGAAAATGTTTCTAATTAGAACCAGATGTTGTGACAACCAATTCTGGTATCCGTTTGTTTAGAAACAAATCAAGAGCTACTTTCATAACTTTGAATAAAACCTATTTATTTCTCTCTTCTTCTCTTTTCCAACGCAATAAAAGAGTACTACCTCAGCGAATCGCGATGTAGAAACGGCGGAGAAAGAAAAATTACCCTCGTCGGTAATCACCCAACAAGAAATCACATTGCCCAAAAATTACAATTTCTCGCTGTATTCCACGAGAAATTATAACTTTGAGGTAACTCCATTGTCACAAAACAAAAATAGAAAAAAGAAGGAAATCTATTTCAAAAAAATATGAAAATTCGACTGATAATTTTGAATTTTATATGGTCCGTGTTAACACCCGACGCACAAATACAGAGTATGCATCTTAAATTACGGTATAAACTGCATTTGTGCGTCGAATGCAACCTATCAAAATTCACCAGTTTTTTGCCAATGTAATCGCCCAAAAAATGATCCTCAGACCATGCTAATTACCTTTGAATGAGGATTTCATTTTAATATCGAATTCCTACATTTTTCAGAGAGAAATATTTTGAATATTAAAAAAACATGACGAAATTAAAAAAAAATTAATTATAATTACCTCCAACACGATATGTGTTGGCTGGTGATCCGGACATTCCAACTCCTGTTGCGGAAATTTTCGTTCGTTACCCGTTGAAACCGCTGCAATTTTAAGTTTCCAGTATGTTCTTCGACAACTTATGCAAAAAAAGAAGAAACAACGGGCAGCACAAACCAGACGCGAAAAATCGATGCGACAATGAGGGCGCAATAATTGCACAGATTCATCGCCTAACGTTGATTACTTAGAAATGGAGTAAAAAATTAAACTATTACTTTTTAAGTAAATAAATCAATTTTAAATTGAATCAACAAATTAGAAGCGCCAAATAATTTTGAGAAGATTTCAAGGGCAATAATAAAACGAAGGTGTGCACCTAAACAAGCTGCTAAGTTGGTTGGGAGTCCACCAAAAGGGAACGCCGGGTATGAGACGAAATAGTGTGCGATTAGAGAAAGTAGAAGGACGCGGCAGTGCCCACCCTCACCGCATCTTGTCGGCAGAGCACACTTGCATTCAGCAATCAAAATCGACATTTACCAAGAATCTAATAACAACAACATTCAATTGCAAAAATTGAAGCTTAAACTCATTTTTTCAACTGTGAAAAATAAACGAGGAAGCTATTACTACAAAAATGAAAAGAGAACGCACACAAATGCGAAAAATAATTTCCGTTCAATTCCTACGAAAATTAAACAATACATAAAGTATAAGAACAAGTTTGATTCGCAGGTTATCGGTAGTACAATACACGAATTTTTAGTTTAAAAACTGAATTCCGAAATAATAGTCGGATTAGTAAATATGCTGTCACGTTAATTTTGTTCTGAAAAGCGTTATTACATATTTAGTGATCTCAAATATGAGATAGTTTAGTTTCCTCGGAAATCATTACAGTCGGATGGGTAAAACTACAAAAATTATGTAGCATAAATGAGATGAACCACAATACGGCTATCGACGTAGCTAAATGATCTTGCCATTTTTGCGATGGTAATAATTGCCGTAAATATTCGTTTAGTTGAATTTTTAATTTACTCTTCAATAATTTACTCTTGAATGAATTAATTTGAATTTAATTGATTTATTTGTATGATGAATTGCAGATGCACCCATAATTGGCATAAACGAATTTCAGGATTTAGGACGATCCAGTAAAAGAGAATTCTCGGAAATCCGTGCGGGAGAATCGGCGTATTAATTTTTCACCATTAAACGCCAGAAAAAACTCCGCTGTGCTCACAAAAAAGTTTCTTCCGCACAGATTGCCGAGCTATTCTTGAGAAATGAATAATAACTTTATTTTCCAATTAAACCAAAGAAAGAATGTATTTTAGTAGTTGAATATATTTTCGATGAAAATAAATAAAAAATCAGTTCTGAAAATAACTTTCAAAAAAGGAAGAAAAACTAATTTTTTCCATGAAAATATCGTATTACACCACAACAAGACTCAAGAAATCGCGTCGTACAAACGGAGGTGAAGAGTTTTTTTCTGTGAAATACGAGAAAGGTTTTTTGTGTGAGAAAGCGTGTGATTTTGAGACACCGAGACATTTCTTTTCACCGCCGTTTCTACAACAGAATTTCCTGTGCAATAAATTCACCATCCGTGGTGTTAGGCGCGGTGGTTGCGGAATTACGCAATAATTTTCTTTATATATTGCTCTCTCGTCGAAACGAAATCTAGAAGCCGCACCTTTACAAAAAGAAAAAAAAAACATTTTATTTGTAAGTATTAATTCGAATTCCTAAAGAATATTAAGAACGTGGAAGTGAAGACGCCTAAAGTGAAACTGCAAATGATTCTGAAGTAATATAAACCAAACGACGAGAAGGAAAACTCAAGGTATTTAACTACTTTAATGCATATTTTACAGAAAATTGACCATCGTCACTATTTTTTTTTTCTAATTTAAAGCACAAAAATGCGGCTTAAAACAATATACGTAGTTTTTAGAAAATCTCGAAATCATTAAAATTGGCATGTTGTCGATTTCTCGCAAAATGAAAAAGACGTGGCTAAAATTTGAATTGCTCAAACTAAATTTATCAAGTCCGGCGATAAAATATAGTACGGTAGGTTTCTCGAGCAATTCAACATTTTCAAATTTGCGCGAAAACGACAATAAGATATGTTGGAAAAAAAAGAACTAAATCTACGGATTATTAAGAAAAGAGATAAAAGAACGAGGTATGCGGATAATTAATCGTCGCGGTATTTATCAGCTCCTTGGAATTCAGTTTTTGATGCACAATGACCATATCTGGCCAGTGAGTACATCGAGTATTGGCTGTCGCCGGTGATTTCTTTTTCAATCTTAAGGAACGCCGGCATCGATCCTTCAGGAAGCGGTGTTCCAACTGGAACCGTCGTATACGTTTCCAAGAACATCAACTTGCGATTCGCCTGTGGCGGAAGTGGATCCTTGTACATATCAAGGTTGAAGTACTGGAATATTAATAAAATCGCTCAATAATTGCTTAAAATTCGTTAAAAACCTGATTTCCGTACATAAAGCAACGACGATCTTTGAAGATTTTCGAGCGACTTTTGTCCTTCAAAGCCAAATACGAATGAAAATCGCGTTCGGTTATTTGCATTCTTAAATATAAAGAATTTGAGACTTGAATACTTGCCGATTTCTCAAACCTCGTCTCAACAGAATCACCACTTTCCGCAAAATATTCGCGATTCGTAAGGGTATACGTCGATCTCTTATTCTGAGTTCGTCGTCTAAGTCGCACCTGATACTTCGGATCATCCGAAAGCAGATAATAGTGCTCCAATTCGAATTCCTCATATTTTCCGAAGTTTTCAAAGTCGCAATGGGAAACCAGCCATTTTCGTTTCCTATATTACTAGAATTTTACTCAATTACAGAATTTCATCAAGTACTTTGAATTTTTGTCAAGACGATCTCCAGAGCGAACTCCAGTTCGATCACAAACGACTTGGATAAGTTTATTAACCTTGTCATCAAACGACCCAGTGAATCTGTTGTCAATAATATCCAAATATGGATGTCCGATCCAAACGGATCGTGTTTTTTTGTCCAATTCAATCGCCGCACTAATTCCTTCACTCCGAACTGCATTGTTCGCTAAAGTGTAATACTTTTCGGCGCCATCAGCAGCCGTCACTAAATGAGCAATTTGATCATATCGGCTGCACCGCAAATCGAATTCGTCATAGTTCAACTCGGCGAGCATTCGTTTCCAATCTTCCGGTGACGAATAAGCCGATGGATCCATGCAACCTCGATCGCAGATTACTAAAACGTTTCGATCTTTGATTGCATGTGCTTGATTGAAAAAGGTCTAAAAATCGGTGAGTAAATAAAAGATTTCACTCAATTCCTCTTTACATCTTCAATCTGCCGCATTGTTGCAAGTAAATCGCGTTGGAAAATGTACGATTGATCGCTGTCAAGTTCAGAGAATTTCACACGTCCACCAAGAAGAATTGTCGCCGTTTCAGGAACAGTAAACACTTTCCATCCAAGACTTTCGAAGAATGTCGCCAATCGAACCTGGAAGTAAAAAATACCTTCGATTATTAGAATATAGCGAAACTGAATGCGCGATCCTTGCTAATTTGTGATGTCACCCAAAGTAAGTTATTCGAAATATGATTTATTTCATTACTTCCACCAAGATCAATTATTTTATTTTCAAATATTTTCGTTCTCATATCCATTTTCTAACAAGTCAAATAAGCCATTTAAATACACACCTGAGCCGTAGTTTTGCCTCCACATGGACCACCGGTCAACACAATCTTGTAAACCTGCAAAAATCGCATATTCATCAAGTCATCATTGTCTTTCGATTGAATTCTTTTGCCGCCCATCATGTGAAACAACCTTGATTTATCGGAGTCACATGGTTCATTCATATCGTTTTTTTTTTCAAAATCAAACGAATTACAAAGCTTATCTTTTCCGAAATCACTTAATCAATCATTCAACAACAACTTATTGATGATAAATTGGGGCAACATTTAAACGGAACATGCTGACACCGAATTTATCATCCAACAAGTATTTATTTATATTTAGATCAGTTTAAAAACTAATGAGTTGGTCATAAATTAGTAAAAAAAAAAGTTTGAACATAATAGTTTAATAAAGAATTTCTAAAAGTTATTAAACATCAATACTTAACAAATGTCAATGACTGAAACAACCAATATATTTTCGCGGAAATTTTTTCTCATTTTATTTTCGAAAACAGATTCTTTTCTCCGGAAATATTTTCTTTTAAAAATATCACGTCTCAATAGGATTACGAACCAACAGGTGTTGTTTCACAGCAAAACTGGACACCTCTGAGTTCCGAAACATTTGACATTTTGAACGTTGAGTTCTTAAGAACGTGGCTTGAAAAAAGGAGTTTTTCCAATTTTTTTTTAATCTCGTTGCAGTTTTTAAACATGGGGGTCTGTTATCATTGAAGACACGCGAAGTATCGGCTACAATACTGGTTCGGAAAATAACACGTTCCTGTCTATGAAAATCTTTTGTATCAAAATTTCAAATGTGACGTCTTATTTCAATTTTAGAAGGAGATACCTTTCGACTTCCGGCAACAGCGCGACATGTTTCTCCGGAAATACTTCGCCGCGCTACGGGCCGTCGAAGGCGCTGACCGTTCAGCACAGGAATGCGGCGATGCACAGATCTCGCCGTCATGAAGTACGGTAACGATTTTGCTCGTGGCATCTGTGCAACAACCTGCGGTTCGGCGGTCCGAGCGGGAGGCATCCTATACGAGATGTAAATAACAAGGAAGAATTCAAAAGAAGGATATGCGCGATATGAAAATCCACAAACGACTTCAGGCTTCTATAATACATCGAGGAAAAGAAAAATTCTTGTAGAAATCGACACCAGTGAAAACATTCCGATGAGAAGATATTGGGCTTTAACACGAAAAAAATGATAGAACAGTTGGTGAGCAAAAAATCACGTCGGCGACCGAGGAAAATATTCTGACGGCAGAGATGACGAGAAAACGGAGAACCGTTGATGATTCAATCGGAAGGTAGAACATAATGTGGCACCCACGGGAGCACCAACTGATGAAGAAAACGACACGCACAAACTAGATATAAGAGATAGATATTATGAATCACTTTAATCCACACACGAACAAAGGAATCATCACATTCGGCTCGATGACATACGCAAATGAATATGAAAAACTTTAGACGATTCTCAAAAACAAGGCATGTTTTCATTTCGGGTGCACTTTTTATTTTTGGCAATCGTTTGGAAGATGCGAAAACAGAAGGTTGGAATTCCTGAAGAAAGAAATGAGGATGGTTGAAAGTTTCGATGGGCAATGGACAAATAGCGGACAAACTATTGTGCTACTAACGGCATATTGTATAGACCTATCCATATTGGAAGAGATTACTTTAAAATTTAACAAACAGTTTCAATAACCTCAATTCTTGAAAAAAATCTGTTTCCTAGAACAAGTTGCAATTTTTAAGAAGTGCTTCTGACATTATAAGAGAAAACACACACTTCCTCGACCGATGTTCGCTCTTTTCCGAATCATCAAATCATTTCCTCACAACTTAAACAGACGTATCGCAAAACCACGTGCCTTAACAATTGACGCCGCCCCAACGACAAAAATCAACTTATGTGTTGAACTACCGTATCCCGCTGAGAAATTGATGTGATCAGAAAAAGATGGAAAAGAAGAATACGAAAAAAATGTATGGCCGACCTTGCTGGGAATTTTCTGCCAATTATCACCACTTCGTCAAATCTTTTAGTGTCAAGAAACAGAGAACTGTTTTTATTGTGTAATTTCGACGATGCGCAGAGACTATACTGCCCTTTTAGGAGTTTAGTCCAGTTAGTCCGCGTGAGAAACGCGCCACGTAAATCTATCTCGTATACAGAAGTCGCCGGACACTGACTATATATAAATTAGAGAAACGAGAGTGCTCGTTTTAAATAAGAAATAATAGTTCCACGCGCCCTTCATTTTTTCAAATTTTGTTTTTTAGATCACAAAGGCATCTCCACAATGGAAAATATTGAATGTTCAAATGCCGCCCAGGTTTGCTTGTTATATGTACAAAACATTGATTGTGAACTCAATCTACACACAAGATATGAATGAAATAACCTTTTATTACTTTCGCAAAAAAACTATTTATTACCATTGCAAAAAAACGAGCACCTTAACTAATTGTGGGCCGTCGTATTTTTTCTGGGCGGTAATAATTTTGAATTTAAACAGTGGGATAATGCGTACCGTAGAAATGACAATCTGCGAATCACGCTTACCGAAAATAGGCATACTGTTCCCGTTTTTTTACGAATGTAATTATTCATTTCTTTAAATCGAAATCTCCCAGGCCTCTCCTAGACTATTAAATCTCACCTTTTTATCGTTAGTGGGACTACACAATTCATTTGAGTTGCAATGAAATGCTCGATCGTGCAGGTCCTAAAATGTACAAAAATTTTTATAATTGGCTCAGCCATCAAAATCTTCAACCCTCGTCATATCACCTCGCTCGTCACCCATTCGTCCGCGGCGCAAGCAGTTCGGAAAGCTGCGACCTACAATTTGCAAGCGTATTTTTCTGCTGTAGTATTGAAAATAGTGTAAAGGATAAGAAAAGAGGAAATTATGAGTTATAGAATTGAAAACGGATAGAAATATTTAAGTCTCATAACTTTTTAAACAGCTTTTCTACGCAGTTTGGTTTCCGGTTATCTAGTGTTTTTAGCTGATTTCATATTCGAATTATATAATTTCAGTATTTGTTTAAATAATAGTCTTTTCGAAAAATTCAAAAACTGAACTACCTATTATATAACGCACTGCAATGCTGGCAGCGCAAAGTGTAGTTAGAGTGAACATCCCAAACGGGGCATTGGAGCACAAAAAAACCAAGCAATGTGCGTGTAGAAATGATATAAATGGTCTTTTATTATTAGACAAAGAACGTGACAGCTGCAGGTCAACGCGCGCGCGGTTTTATGAGCATCGAATGACACTTGTGCTTTATTCTTGAATCAGATTGCGACAGCTCTCATTCAAAAAGTTAGACGAAACACAGCAATATGAAGTTATTCTTTTGAATAAGGCAAATCGAACCCCTTTAACCCTCTGTCGGTTACCTTTTGATATATGTTGATTCTCATTCTCGACGTCATCAAAAGACTGATAACTCACAACTGAACGAGAGTCACTTGTTTGAACGCGATGAACATTTTGACTGAAATTCTTACCTTGACTCAGACGAAAGCGATCCAAGAATCGAGACAAAACTCCAGGCATGCTGAATTGGTTGGCACGATGGAATGAACGGGATGAAAATCGATATTGATATGTGGCGAGAAGCAAATGTTTTTAAAACGGGAGACGAGCGCAGATGTAGACGCCGCCTACATCTTGGACGAAACAGTATGAAGCTTTCAATCAAATTTTCTAGAGAGCCCAGAAGTGACGGCGGGTTTCCTTTATAACGTCTTTGTTCCCACGAACGTCGTTGAAATCGTAAAACGCGGAAATATTCAGATGGGCAACGTCGGTGAAATATAGAACTGTTACTCCTAGAATAGTCAAAAGCGATTGATTTAGGGTAGCTCGTAGCGTAGATTCAACTTTTTATAATTTCAATCCGTAACAGAAAATCAATCAAAGAAGGTTACTTGAATGTCTACCTCGACTCTATTACTATATTTTAGACTTTCTCAATAAAATTTTAAGAAATATTATGAGAAAATTTATAGTATTCTTACTATGAGTAAATTTTAGGAGATACTCTGTCTTGAAAGAAATCTAATTGATTAACAGATTACTGAGCTAAAAGATTGTGCAAGGTGACCGCAGGACTCTTGTCGAAAACTAGGATGTATTTAGTTTCCCTGACCGATATAAGCAGAAATTAAATTCGAAGTAATTCTCTGACGAAGCAACTATTATATTCCGACTACTATGAGGAAGTAATTTTCATAAATTTCTATACAACCTCGACGATTGCTGATTCATCAGCAATTCTGTTTCGATGTTCAAACTTGACCTTTACGCGGTATTAATAGATGCGGAGACCGGCTGCACACCACCTGCACAATTGATATAAACGTTTATTAAAAACGAAAAAAAAACTGTGAAATGAAACCGCAGATCAATTTTGACGAAAGTAAATACTCTACAGCAAACAACGTTAATCGAAGAAATAAGATAGACCAAAAAAATTGGAGACTGCCGACAAAAACGGCAGCGCTTATTTGCGGAAAATGGATGAACAACATTAATCCTGAACGCGAGATCTCCTAGCAACTGAATTTTCAGGCAGCCTTATACGAAAAAATGTAGTGAAAATAGAAAATTTGTTTGCGTTGAGATATCGCATCTTTTGAGACCTCAGTGTTATCAGAAATAAAACGTCGCAAACGCATTAATTATTCAAACGAGTGTCTCGCGCCTTTGAAGGTTTTTGTTTTCAAGGTAAAAATGGCAACACCAAAAGATGAAAAACCTTTCGAAATTTTCATCTAGATTTAAAATTGATATTTCAGGAAAAATAAACTAACCATAAACTAATTGAGTGTGTTCATTTTAAATACATTCCAGTAACGTACTTAAAATATTTGTCTAAACTTAAAAAATACTAGTCGTGAAAATTGGATACTTGAAAAACCTCGGGAAAACATCGAATGTTTGAGACAAAGTACGTTTTAAAATCGAGCCGGTTTATAAAATGCAAAATTGAAATGATTTCAAATTTCCCAATTGAAAAAAAAAGACTGCATAACGTTTAAACATTATTTGTCTAAAAGGTGTTCATAATCTGCACAAGATTTACCCGAGATATTGATTTTCGGGAAAAATCCCAGACATTCTCACGGAAATAATTGGGTTTGCGCAATTTCTTTCAACAAATACAACCAAGAAATTGGAATAATTCATGCATACAACGCACCTGTCTCGGATAGCCGCATATGTCGTTTTAACATGAATGAGCGCTATCATAAACCTAATAAAATGCACATTTTCCGCGAAATGATGGCGAATTTTGGAATAAACAGTTGCGGCAAAAAAAAAACAAAACAAATTGTTGTTCCCCATAAAGAGACGAAACGTCGTGACTTGCGCATTTTGTTCAAAACCTAGAAATGCCCGTATCGAGTTTGCCGAGTCGAAAAGCTTCGGCTGCATTTCATACAACTAGATCTAATGAAAACTAACTGGTAGACATGACGCTAAAATTTTAACAAATTGCTCCTAAATTCTCTCGAAATTGAGCGATTCGTTAATGAGAAAGAGAAGAGGTCGAAATAGTCGCAGCTCGTTTCTCACACAAACTGGGTGGCGCGGCGCTTCTCGCTTCAAGATCACGTGTAGCTGCTTGTACGTCAAACACACGAGGTTACATGTTATTTATTCAAGAATATATTCAAGAATTTGGGCTCTTAATAGCCCAAATTTTCGGAAAAATGCAAAGATATCGACAAAATATAAAAAAAATCAGAAGAAAACATGTATTTAAGCTGAAAGATATTATATATCCGGATATTCAAATTTCTAAGAGCTGGTGTATTTTTTCGTAGCATCTGCTGCATACACATCCATTGCGCACCGTAGCTCGTCAGCTAAATAACGCTGCGTAAACATCTGTCAACAATTAATGCCTTGTGGTTCAGACAAATAAAATTTTTATTCCAAATATATAATGCAGATAAAGCTCAGAAAGCAAAAATGTGAGATCACCAGTTAAATATGGAAGATGAGTAATTATTCAGACCGTTGTCTCGAATTTCATTCCAAACACGTGCGCGTCGTTTGTTGTTCTGGAAGCAAGTATATATATACATATAGTGACGGCGCGTTCGTCTCTTCGACGACAGCGCTATTTCCACGCAAAAACAATCGAAAGAACAATAAATATTTCGATGGAAATTTCGATTTGCGAAAACACACACACGCACACACAAGTCAACAATATCGATATTTTTGTATGTATATAATACATATCTAAATATTTAATAATGTATTGTCTGTTTCTGAAAAGAAATTGCATCCAACTACTGCTTAGATCACCAGCACACGTTGGAAATCGTCCACAAAAAAAGACAGAAGAAAATTGATGAAACATGGATCAAAGGTGGATAAAAAACTAATCTTCAACAGATCCCATTTTCATCCATTTTTCGGTGTGACTTCGAAGGTCTCGCAGCGGCCTATTTGGTAGCAGTTTTTATTTCAGAAACTGTTCAGATGCTACATGCCTTTTTCATTTTTAATTTAAAATTATTATCATTACGATCTTTTTTAAGTTTTTTTTTAAATTTTTCGTCCCTAATCGATCTGTTATTTTCATCTACTGGACATATTCGGTGAATCTGCTTATATATTTCTATAAATAACACAACAACCACTTTTAAAGGCGAATCTAGATTTAATCATCCTATCATGTCTTATTAACATTAAATAGCGATTTTCAGAAAATCATGCTGCAAGAAATGTTGATCCTTTTACTTTTAATTGCTTTTACAGAATGGTAAGAACCATACAAAACGTTTATCAATCTTGAAATATATCAATTTTTAGTCTCCTTCTACATTATTGGTCTCTACATTCGCCACTTCCGCAAAATATTGACAATACACTGAACTCGGTTGACATAAATGATCGAATCATTCGACCATTGCGACTTTTGATTTAGATTTTTCTATAAGCCTTCCCAAAAAAAGGGACTCGGTCTGTGTAAATTACAATTAGTTTGATGAATGAAACAGTCGATGTTGAAAATTCCGAACATTTGCACTTTGCGTCATTTTGAATAGTCTAGTAGGTCACGATTGTGTGGAAACGTATGACGTGAGAAATGGTAATAACTCACCCACTACAATCCGTTCGAATGTCGCACTCCGGCATGGATATCGAATCAAACATCGTGTCCGATAATCCACCCCATGTCCTTCGCTTCGCATTCTCGACTTCTTCCGCCGAATCTTCAGAAATATCTTCTAATGGAATTCGAACTTTTGCACTCCCGTTTTGATTCAACCTCGTGTCTTTTAAATACTGAATTTAATGAGATTATTTAATGCTACCGTAATCTACCGTACTTCTAATCGTGGCGAACCTGATCGAGATTCGACGATTACACACTCATATTCGCGTTTCTTTTTGTTGCGTAGAAGAATTTGATGAATTTCGTCGACGTAATCATCCGGAAGCTTTTCAACGTTATTATTCTTTCTAAAACTGCTTGTTTTTTTTTCGTGATTATATTTGAAGAGATTAATTTATTTTAAGACGAATTAAAGGCGAACCTCTTGTTTTTGAACATCTCCCAACAGGTTGATATGCAATTGCAGACGACAATCAGAATCGAGAGCACCAATCCGCAGCCGAGGCAAAACGCGAGTACCTCAACGGCTGTCAATCCAAACATCCCGAAATCCGAACATTCGTCGTTCAACAGATCTCGAATTCCAAATTGTTGCGGCTCCCACGAAAAAAAAAACTCTTGAGCATAATTTTGGTCGAGACAGAGAAGAAACACTGACAAAGAACAAAGAATAAAGTTTTGGTACTCGAGGAAATTATCGAGTGGGAGGGGATGGGGGAAGGGTATTATTTTAGCTATTCTTTTTTTGGAACTATCATTTAAATAAGCAAACAATTGAAAAACAAAGTCAAAATTTTCATGGGCGTAAAATTTGCTTCGAACTTTGAGAAAAAAAAAACAATATAATTTGTTTTGTGAACAACAGCTTCAACAGCATTTGGTGTGTAATTTGTTTTCTCTTCTTCATTTTTTTCCAGAATTATGCCCCAGCAGTGTCTTATAAAACAATTTTATTGCTTCCTAGTAAATTAGGTTGTTCGCTTCTAACAGAATAATGTGGAAATGAAGGAAAAACAGAATGGATTGAGTCGATTGTGATAGGAAATTGCATTTGAACGCATAAATTTGACAGCTCGTCACAAAACAAATTTGTTTCCTTTTTTTTTCTGGTTAAAATCAAAATCTTTTGGCAAACTAAAACAATAAGAACGTGGAGTCGAATTTGAATCAGCAAACAACTGAAGAATACTCACAAATTTTAAACTTTTGGGTCATTAGTGAGAAATTATTTCTAATTTTTTTAAAATCACAAATGTTAAACTTGGTAGCAAATTCAGATCTTGTCAAAGATTTACGATCTACCATAGAATGGATGCAAAATTTATACTGTTTTTCTTTTTTTTTTGGACTCAAAGCGACTCGTTTTTGAAATGAGCCTAGTTTGTACACTTCAAACAGAAAATATAGAAGATTCAGACCAACCGAATTCCATCGAGATTATCCTTATAAATTTCGAATAACTTTTGCATATTGATAAATATTTTAAAAGATATTCAATTTTGTTAACTCATAGTTAACACGAAATTGAAAAGTGAAAGAACGCAAGTAAATGAAAATGAAGCGGGACGAGATGAAATCAATGAACCATAAACACCGATCTCATCCGAATACATACAATTGAGAATTCAAGGGCACATATATATGGCTATGGTAGACATATATTGCTAATAGACGCAGACTGGATTTGATTAGCAAAATGGCGCCTTCACACAAGTTTTTTTCATTCATCTTTTCGACATTCACATAATCAAAAAACAAAAGTGTCAAGTCAAGTGTAGGTGTGTATAAGTGATGATTGACAGCGCATACATTTCTTTTTGTCAGTCATCATGGGTGTTAATAAATGTTGAGGTTTAATCTGCTCGATTAATTACCTATTGAATGAAGGTTAGTAAAGAATCGAATGGATTGGCTTCACGAGTTTTGGAGAACAACAAAAATCCATAAAAATTCTTTTAAAAACTGCATTTCAAACATTTGTTGGCACATTTTTCTTTTTTTTTCTGGTTCGAAATTTTTGTCAGGCTCATATGCCAACTTTGGGACTTTTGATGTTTTTGTTCACGTGTTATTTTATGAAGTCAATGAAATTGTGCAAACCAATATCTTAAATTGAGTAAATTTGTTTCTTCGATGATATTAATTAATTTTTTTTAAATCGTATTGTAAATTTTCGAATGAACGTGCAAAATCTGATTGAAAAATTCTCATTATCCCATGATTTTTTTCATATGGACATGTGTTACTTTTTTCGTCGCAGTGAGTGCACAATTTGGTTGTACTCAATTGATTTGTAGAAATTTAAAAAATTCTAGCTCCAATGTTTTCATACTTATTTCGATTTATTTTTATCAAATTAAATGTCATTTCATTTAGTTTTCATATTTGGCGAAAAAAAGTGAAATAAATTTTTTTAAAGATTATGTTATTATTCTGAAACAAAATATAACTAAAACAAAAACTATAATTAACAAAAAAGTAATTTATTTAACAAAACGAAAATTAATTGAGTAATTGTAAACTCATATAAAGAGTTTTTGGGAGGGCACTCAAGTATAAGTAATAGTTAGAAACATATTTGAATGATCTTCATGAATTTGAAAACAATACAAATATCAAATAAAAGAAAATAATTGGAAACAGATATCATAGAATCTCAAGAACAGCATATATCGGGCAGTGATAAATCAATTCATACATCACAAGCGCCAACTTTCGGTCTCGTCAACTTTTGCATTGATTTCCGGTGTTTTTCATCTTTCGTTTTCCGTTTCTTATCCGATGTTTCGCACAATAAAACACGACTATTTGCTCTTTATTATATCATATATAGTTAGTAAAACACTCTGCACAACAATTCTTAATCTTTGCTACTAATTACGATGGAAAAAATGTTTCGTCAAACAGCTAATGAATTTGAGAAAATGATCAAGCAAATCGAAAATCCAAAATGGGGCAAATGAAACGCAAAATGTAAATGACGCGGCAGATGGTGAATGACACCCTTGGAGATTTGCTGCACCCTGCACCCGGCGCCAATTCATTTTAAATATCAATCATTCGAATAGCTTTTGATTCATGCGAAATCGGCAAATTTTGGAGCACATTGAACCCATAAATGACGAATTTATCAACTTAATTTATTCATTAACTGATAACAAAAAATGTGGCCAAATGTACACTTCGACACAATTCATATGCAAATTATAGGTTTTAATCGATATTTTTCCCGAATTTCAAATAATTTGCAAATCTTGCAGTTATCCTTTTCATATTATCGACAGTATATTGTGATCTTGAACCAAATTTGTGCGATGAAAAACGAACAACACAGTGCGATGAATATGCGGTTTGCTGTTCGTTAGGAAACGGACAATATGGTATGTCGTTTTGAAATTGGTCTTGAAACGTTTTGATAATACTGTTAATTTGTTGTGTTATATTAGAATCGCAAAAAACTAGAACTTTGGGTATCGTTTTCGGCGCGGTAATTCAAATATCAGTGATTTTCGAGACAACTCTGGTTTCTCAGAACAAATCGGATCCGACAAAACTCGACTCCAAAATCAACACGATCCAACTGGCAATAATGTATCGAATTCGATCTGTATTAGCTTTTTTCCGATTAGTTTTTGTTCGAATCAGATTTGTTTTTATATTTTGGATCGGTTTCGAAATTTTTAATTCGTAATTTTCCGTGTCCGTTTACAGGATTTGTCCAATTCGGATCAGATTTGATTTGAGTTACCAGATAATTTAAGGAATTTTTCTATTCACTTAAGAAAATCATGCAGAGCTTGCTCAAATTTTCAGCAGACTTTTGTTAGAGGCTGCTTAAACTCTGCTGGAAGAATAAAAAGCGGAAATCCTGCGAAAACCCTGCACGGCATTCACGGATATCATGGCGGCATCAACCTCACCGTGAATCTACAGGGTGCTCGCGTGTTTGCGATTATAATACTGATGAGATTTTCATATATTGTTGTAATCGCGTGGTCTACTGTAGCGTTGGGTCAAAATGAGTGTCGATTTACGAGCGGGGTTCACATTATTAACAATCATGAGAGGTGTATTATACGTACAACGGGCGTCTCGTAATCGCAAGACCTTTTCTGACATTTAGCCAATTTGTCTTCGTCGCGCGATTTCGACAATACGACAATGGAAATAGCGTTGCGGACTTATTCATTTTATTTTACGCGAATATACATGTTGATTACTTCAGTTGTTTTTCTTCGCAATAAAATAACGTAGAATCTTCGTTTTTAAAAATTATTATTGGTTTCGAAGTTCGCAGTAAAATTAACATTACACAAAAATAAGCAGAATTAAAAAATTTCAATAAATTTTTGGGGCCATATGTACAATACGATTTTCGCATCTTTTAACCATACATTTTCGCATTGTGGTCGGTAAATCACATCGGACGTCGAACGGGTTTCTATAGAAAAATTGATGTTCACCGCGCGGACGCCGATGTAATTTACCGAGGTGCATAATGCCCCTGATTCGAAACTATCGATTCATGAGCACATATTTTTTGATCGCCTATGGTGAACCTCTGACACAATTTTAAGACCATACAGATTCAATTTCTCTTTAAATTTTTGCTCGACGCAGTGAAAAAAAAAACTAGAATCTAAATCGAATGCTGATTTTTATTGATTTAAATGACCAACGGTACTTTCAGATAAGAATTGGGTTCTTTTTTCAGGATGTTGCCCATTCACAAACGGTATCTGTTGTCCGCAACGCGGGTTTTGCTGTCCACCAGGCTTCCAATGTTCTGAAACCGGAACTTGCCAACGAATAATACCATCCTAATAAACTTCGAGCAATTCATTATAGTATGAAATAAAAAAGCGAAAAAACTGAACTGGAAAGGATAGATAAATAAAAGAGGGGATACTGTTCATTTTTCATTTGAACTTTAAAAAAATAAATGTTATTTGTTGGAAAAAATAAGGGATCAACTGGAATTTGTTGGAAGAATGATAGAATGGAATTTCGAAAATGGAAAATATTTGACACGTTTCACTGCGGAAAAATAGGAATCGGGGAGGGTTCTGGCAAAATAAATAATCACAACTACATCATGAATAGATTTTTCGGAATGTGTTCACTTTCGGGCGGTTTTATTAGACTACGGTCGATGGTTGGGCGGCAAGCTGCTCTTCGCGGTAGTTCGCTTCTTCCTGCTCCAATGCTCTTTGCGCATCCTTATCAAGTTGTTCGAGTTGATCAGCATGCCTCTTTGCTAGTTGTTCTTCATGCTTCTGAGCTCTGTAACGTTTGAAATTAATGGTTGACATTGAGGATTAATATCTACTTCATTGCCAATCGCTTTCTCTCCTCAACAAACATTTTCAAGTTCTTCTCGTTGAGCTCTTTGACTCGTCGATCTCTCTCAGCTTTTGTTTTAATTCCTTTATCCTAAAATTATGCATTGTTAACTTCATCGTTTTATTATCTGAAATCGATCCCTCACCAACTGGATAACTTTTGCGTCTTCCATGCTCTTCTTTGTCTGAGTTTGTTTCAAATCCTTTCCTTCAGCTTCAAGACGCAGTTTAAGGGCTTGCATTTGGTTCTTCTGGGCTTCGATCATCAACTTCCTGAAAATGAAAATATCTGAAATCGTTTCATCGTCATTATTCGCACTTGAGAAGCTCATATTGCTCCTTGAGATGCGCCTTGCGCAACTCAAACTCCTCTCCGTCGTGACGTCGAACCATCGCGGACCATTCGTCAGTTTGAGTATTGACTAACGATCGCACCTAGAAAAATTAACTATCCCTATATTCAAAGTGCACGCCTTGAATCCAATTTCTCATAGTTACCGCGTCATTATTAAAAACAGCCAATAATAATATGATGTGATGTCTAATTATAGGATTAGTATCTGATCACAGTTTCACACATAATTCCCAGTGGAAATTAGTCAAAGCATTCTTACCCGATCATTGTTAATCAAATCGGTTGGAACCGGACTGCTTGCCGTTGCCGGCGACGCGGTTCCGTCCGAATGGCAGGCAGTAGCAGCACTAGCCGATGAATGTGCACTAGCCGTCGTCGAACCACCGCATCCACTCGAAATCGAAGCAGTCAACGATCGACGTGATCCTTTCTCCTTCTTTGTCGATCGTCGGTTATTAGTAATTAACTTGTCGACGTTCGTTTGCTGTAAATCGTGACATCCTGCACTTTCTGCGATGGTTGAGAAGTTGAAATTCTTCTCGACTATATGAATCGAAATGACACTCTTATTTTTAGTTTAAAAAAAACTATTATAAAGCAAGTAGAACACACAGTTAGCGAATCGCGTTTTTTTCTGAACGGGACGTAGAGGATACATGAAGCCTATGAAAGGAAGATTTTTTCCTTAATAGGCAGACATTGTGACAAAACGGAAAAAAGCAACACAGGAACGTTGAGCAAAAGTTAGCGGAGTAAAAGGTAGTTTTTAAAATCGGTTGAGAATGCAAACTTTTAGAAGGAAAATTGGTAGCATTTATTGCCGAAGACAGACAACTATCGGAATAATTTAGATCAAGGAATGGTTAATTTTTTCGCACGAATTGAGCAAATTTTCGCTCTCCCTTTGACGCTGTAATTTTGCATTGGCCTAATACTCAGCCAACGCCCAAACTACTGAGAAACCGACAAGAGTATTTCAACGTTTCTTTTAACACTGAAGTCGCCTGTCTTTGACAATATCATTATAATGCCGCCTTATTACGGTAGGTAAACTAAACACGTTTAGAAACTTACAATCCAGTTAAATGACGAGTTCCTGCGTGGCTAAACTTTGGTATAATTAAATATAGTGATTGGTTTACGTTCAAGAAATAACAAAAAGCTGACAGAGGATGATGAGTATGTCTGGTTTGAATGCATCGTGTGTTTATTTGTGTGTCTACTATTGTCTTATTATTGGCATTATAATGAGCCAATCCCGAAACAAATTCAACCGTTAAATCAAACCTGTTGCTTCTGGATGCTGTCACGCTGCTTCTGATGCTTCTTGCGCAAGTCTTCCAAATCTTTCTGGAACTTCTTCAACAACTTTAAGAACGCCTTGTCTCGGCGCAAATCTTCAACTTCAATGGGATCGACCTAAAATGTCAAAGTTCATTATAGTACAAATATGCGCTTCTAAGGGTTTTGTAAAAAGAAAATATTCAAAAAAGGGGAGTCGAATACTTGCATAGCGTAAGCCAAGCAATTTCATGCAAATAATCAATGAATAATACAAAAATGGGTAAGAAATAATTCATAAAATTGATATGGATGAACCTGTAGACGTTCATTCGGAACACACGAACTGCTCGGCTTATGTGATACTTCAATATCACAACTCAGTTTCGGTCTACGCGTTAGTGTGCGTGTCAGGTTGGCGATCGCCTATTTTTCATAATGGTATTTTTCAATTTCATCTATTATTTGAATTTCTTTCGTTAAAAATAGGTAATTTTAAACTTCCTTTCCTGTTTCGCTTTCTGAACTCACCTTGAACTTGTCAACGGCAACGGGGGCTGCTGGTTCAACAGCAGTTCTCGAGGTGCTAGTTGTCATACTCGTTGACTGTTCTGATCTTGCTGTTCCTGGAGCCGAATTGTTACTGAAAAAATTATTGGTAAGTCTGAATAGATTTGAATGTCACTTACGCTAGAAGATCAGCAGATGAACCGTTTTGTCTTGGGGGCTGCTTAACGTTCTTCATTGCCGTGTTTCGTGCACTTGGTACCTGAAATAGAACCAATGAGGACACTGTAGAAGGGTCTCGAAGGGATCAGTGTCTAATTGGCATTAATTACGGCGTCTGATTTCATATTATTATTATTGTTTTGAACAAATCGGTACAACACGCGAGCGGCGCCGCCCTCTCCGGGGAATTGCTCGTTTAGTCAGCGAATAAGCGAATAATCGGCAGGCGGCGAATGAGAGAAAAACAACACCATCCGCCTATGTATCTTGCGCCCTTCGTCAACGCCTTTTATATACATTTATATAAGTGGGCGGGGCGTCGACAAGGGCTCGAGTTCTCAAGAAGTAGTTTTGAGGAATCGAAAAGGTTATCATGATGTTGAGAAACGTCAACAGGCCTACATATAATAATTATAAGGGGTTCTAGGGTTGTGTTTGTGCAAATGTGACTTGCAGAAAATAAGCGCAACCGATAATTTGAGCTCCGTGGGTATGACTTTTCGGTAAACTATCAAACTTCTATTCAAAAACAGAACAAGTGATTTGCCGAACTAGAGCCTTTAAAAAATCCCGCATATGGAGACGTCTTTACGAGTAAAATGATAAAAATATCTTCTAAAAAGAAATGTGACTGCTTCGAATATAATTTTTCGGCAATAATGCTCAACATTAATAGCTAGCTTTCTAAAATCGATTGAAAGGAACATAAAATTTCAAAACGAAGTGAGATGGAGACATCTTTTACAAACAAAAAGTACAAAATTCTCTAATTGCGTCTCCAAGGGCTCGTTCGAACCTCTCACCTCTACAATATCGCTGTCGTCTACGCCCATATGTGCTAGCGCTTCGGTTCGCTTCTTCTGTTCCGAGAAATAAGCTCGAGGGTCGGCGAGAGCGTCGACGAGACCTGAAATTCGGTATATTGACATCATCATAAAATATTTTTAATTTTTTTCTTGGACGGTGGGAACCAAAATTCTACATTATAATTGAAAATACAAAAAAGTTGTCTAGGGAAACGAATAATTTCTCACTAATGACCCAATCTTTGATTATAAACATCAATTCAAAAACTACTTAAAAAAACGCCAAAAACTAATTTCTGTGTGTTTGTTAATAATATCGAGGACTGAAAAATGCGTTAGATATCCGAAAATATGAAATGAGATCCTCGGCGAACCACGCGAAGTGTGCCGTAACACGGACAGAGTGCGTTAATGAGCACATTCCCGCCTACATTCCTAATTGGGGACTTTGTCTGATTGATTCTCACATTTCATACTTAGAATTCATATATGGGATATGGCTAAATATATCCGCGCATCGGCGTTATTCGAGAACACTCACCGCTCAATTCATCGGGCACATAAGTCTTAATGACGATCTGCACAAAAAGAACCGGAGTGAGGATGTTGCTCTGATTTGTATCCGATCGTAGAGAAATGTGCCTGTAGCCAGCCTGAAGGCCGTCCAGAGGCAATATTCGTTGTCCGAGTTGTTTTCCGTTCTCATCGTATACAGCAAATCGAAGAACTGCGAGCTCAGGCAAAACTACTTTGCGGAATACAAATGGATCTTCATTGTACACCGGATTCAGGCCATTCGCAGGAACAACTTTCGTTTTGTGTTCTTTTCTTATAGTGTCAGTCGGCAATCCGTACATTTCAACTTCCACATAAGTTCCAATTTTTCGATCACATAGGAATTGCCCCGAAATTACCTAAAAATATTTGACTAAGGGGTCATATGAATTCTTGAACGGACCCTAACACTACAGTGAGCCGCAATGACTCCGTCGACAGGTGATTCAGAAAACGGATCGAATGTCCTATCGGGTCGTCTAAGAAAATCTGGCTTCAGCAAGTATCCCGATCCACCATTGTATTCAAATTTGCCCATATTCAGTTGCATGTAGACGTCGGGTGTTTGAAAATTGAGCGATACCATTTGGCATCCGGCGTTCCAGAAAATTTGAGGCAAAAAATTGCTCGAATCGACTCTCGCTCCTTTCGGGTAGATTCGACTCAGTTGCCGTTTGTTATAGTTGACAAATTCAGGTGCAGATTGTTTGAGGTAGCCAAGACCGGCAGATTCAGAGAATGATGACATATGAAAGTGAAGATTGTTGCCTAAAATACAATTTATCGTTATATTTTAAAACTTTCAGAATTTTAATGATACGTAATCGATGTCTCAAGCGAACTCAAATTTTGAATGAGATACACTATGCAATATAATTAGACCGCGAATAAAACTACATAAATTTTAAATTCCAATTTCATTCGGGTATCTTACTTTCAGCCACGTCGAATCCTGAAAATTTGACCGGATGTGTGTAGTTTATAAGCGACGACAACAATGGATGAATGTTTGTTGTAGCTCCCGTATAGTGATATTCGGCAATGATTTGTTCTTCTTCTTCTTTAGTAAGGCACGGCTGAAAGTATACAGATATCACGTTCAACGTTCCAAACTTGTTGGATTCTGGAGTGATACCCAAAAATAAAAAAAATAAAACAAAAACCGCACTTTCCGCAAAAATATCCAAAAAACCGCATTAATCGCTTAATTAGTTTCTTTCTTAAATGGGAAATGTTTTATTCAAGCGATAAATGCGGCGTGATTAATGCTAAAGGTGTAAATAAGAACGGACGATTTTTTAAAATGAAAACTTAAACAAAAAGACTTTGATGGATATTTGCGTGATATTTTGAAAGAAATAACAACGAAACAGACAATAAAGGAAGATTATCGGCGAGTCAACCAAAATTGAACAACACGAAGCGTAAGGATGGAATTTGTCAGCGTTATTTCCCAATTATTTCCGCATAGTTCGTCAAGGAGATCCGTAAACTCATTTTCATCCTGAATCGTATCAATATATCCAAAACCCTTTTTTAATATCCATTCGACTTATTATTTTATATCGATGCCGATAGCGAATTCAAAATTTTGAAGTTTTCAACAATTCGTTAATTGATGAATCAAAGATTTTCGATTAGTCATATTCTTAATTTCACACTTGCACTTTTAGGAATTATGCCGATAATTGAAGTGTTTGCAATGATCTCCTTGACAACCATGTTGACCAGAAAATGAGAAAATATAGGAAAATGACACATGATTACATTACAACAAACATCGGCTCATCAGAAGCAACAGAATAAGAGGGACCTATTATCGGTTTAGTTTGTCGGGAAAAAATCCAAAGGGAAAGAAGGGAACAAATGGTTAATTATTACGATGGTACACTTTGAATATTCGATATTAATATCAGATTATTGAGATGAATGTATAAGATACAAAAAATAGCGAAGATTTTAAACTTATACAAATGCAATTGCATGCATATAACATATCCATGCATTTGATAAAATAGAATAGATTGAGAAAGAAATTAGATCTGTTTGTCGAAATTTTATTCGGAAAATAAATGACTGTCATTTAAAATAAAATACGGAATAATCCATATTTCCGTTAAAATTCTGAACTCGAAATTTTTAACAGTCACAAGAAGAAGAAAACCAATTTAACAGTCACAAGAAACACGGAGAGAAGGTTAGAGGAAAAGCTTAGAAAATGTAGAATGGACACGATTAGAATCAATTATTTAGTTGGAAAAACGTGTTAGTTTTAAATAAATCGTGCGATCTACGATCATGCGATCCCCATTGCATATATAGAAAAAGAAAATTGAAAAAAGGCACATGTACGGATAAGCTGACATAGGGTGACTGACGTATTTTTAAACGTGTGTTTAGGATTTTCGAACCTTCTTTTTACGGCTCGAAGCCGTCCGCTTAAAATCGATGAGTGCAGCGGCATCCGAATGCATATCATCGCCACTCGACTTTTTGTATCGAAACGAGCGCTTCTCGCTCCTTGTGCGCTCCATTAGGCCACCGCCGCTGCCGATTTGCAACTGTTGTGCCATTCCGCCCGGCATCAGCGAGTTGGACGATGACGCTTCCTGGTGGATCGCAAAATACGCGGTATCAATCAATGTTTTTCAATTGATCAATTTAATAATCGAGATCTTTTTTTTCGAAAGAAAATGATTAACGGGAATTCCAAAAAAAATTAATTGTGTTAACATGTGCTTCGCTACGCGTCAAATTTGTTGCACAAACTTGAGTGGAGATTAGTATTGAAATAAATATTCTTTCAAACTACTCTTCACACATCATCTGTAATGCGAAATGTTTCGCAACGGTTTTTAAAAGAACAAATTGATGAAATTAAACAATCTTATGGGGATGAAATGAAATTATAGAGAAAAAAGAAAGAAAAAGAGAAAACAATCAACGAATCGATGAAAGTGGAGGAATCGAAATGAATTTTTCTTAAAAAAAAAATACAAACGTAGCTAAATTACCAACCTGTTTCTTTGAAAAGCCAAAACTTTTCAAATTTTTCGCTATAAAATTTTGTTTGAGCTCCGGATGCGCTTCGTCGTTTTCTTTGGTTGAAGAGATGTCTGCTGAAAAATCAATTATTCGATCGTTCGTTAATAATTTCCACATTTTCTATTATTTTCAAAATCTTGTGAATAAAAAACAGGCACGATTGGCGAAATGGTTTAAAATCAATCGACTTATAATTTTAAAATTCCATTTTAAATTTAAATTAGTGCCGAAAATCCCAAAAACATTGCTTGTTTCCTTCGTTTCCTATATACATATCTGGTTTTTTAATAGATAAAACTAAGAAAAAGATTGTATAGAAAGAACTGAGCAAAAAAAGAGAAAACCCAACAAAATCCCACATTCATGAGGTTCATTATGCTATTTTCTTTAGTTTGCGATTAGCTTCAGGCCCATTCAATACCCTACACAATTCAGATCAATGCCAATAAAATGACTTTTGAAGGTTAGTTGAGCGCGAGGAAGAATAGCGAAAAAGAAAGAGAAGGGAGCGGGGGGAAGGCTGAAAGTAAAACAAAACAAACCGCCTCCTTTTGGTGTGAGAGTCGATGTTGAAGCGCTATTCGCTGAATTGATGCTACCGGTCGCCGCTACTGGCGTTTCGATCGGATTCTCATCTTCAGGATGAGCTCGTTGATCGCGAACTGTAAATTGAGCATCGTCGGGGGATACAACATCAACATACAAATTCGTCGGACGGACCCGATTGCTGTTAGTGTGATTATTGTGTTATGCTATCTAGCCCACAACATTTACTACTAAGTTTGAATTTATTATATCGGATGGGTGCTATCTACTAAGTTTTACTCATTTTTCAACTGGACTCGAACATCTGAAGATTGAACCTCTGAAACGAAATGAAGCAGGCAGAACAGAAATATAGAACAGAGTAAACAGGGAAATCAGAATTGAAAGCGAGTGCATGCAATTGAAGCGTCTCGTTGGACGCAGTCGAGTACTTACCAGCCGCCGACGGAACGCCTTGTTGGCGTCGCTTCAACGACAACTTCTGGCGAATCGACGACGAAATGTTGGGCGGTCTATTAGAAACCACCCCTACTTTTTAACCCCCACCCCTGCTATTCCACCCCGACTTTTTAACCCCGACTTTTATTTATGATACCACCCCCACTTTTTCACCCCCAATTTTTATGTTTCACCCCTACTTTTTCACTGCACTTCAAAATTTGAAGTTTCTAACAGTAATGTTTAACAGTAAAATGTTTTTAATATTTTCAATAATTCAAGTTATCAAGAGGAGATTCGCAGGACTGATGTCTAAATTACATTTTTCAGAAACTATTGTCGAAGTCAAACGACTTGAAGAAATTTAAAAAATAATTGGCTATGTGCCAATGCGTCTCGAGGCAGCGAGATTGCGTCCATTGCATTATAGCGTACGCGCATTAAATATTCAGTCAACGATTAATTTAAATCTACATTAATTTCGCGAATTTAAAGGCTCCGCCTCCCTTCAGTCGTTTGACGCCGACAACATGTAGTGTTCTTATGAAAGGTTGACAATTTTAACAAGAAATTAACTATTCTCGGAAAACCCGGTTCAGAAAAATTTCGTCTTTTGTCAAAACGTCAACCTTTCATAAGAACGCTACATAGTTTCTGAAAAATCTAATTTAGACATCAGTCCTGCGAATCTCCTCTTGATAACTTGAATTATTGAAAATATTAAAAACAGTAAAATTTTACTGTTAAACATTACTGTTAGAAACTTCAAATTTTTAAGTGCAGTGAAAAAGTAGGGGTGAAACCTAAAAATTGGGGGTGAAAAAGTGGGGGTGGTATCATAAATAAAAGTCGGGGTTAAAAAGTCGGGGTGGAATAGCAGGGGTGGGGGTTAAAAAGTAGGGGTGGTTTCTAATAGACCATGTTGGGCGAACGAAGCGACGACGACGACGACGATGTCGGTGAAGACGTGGTGAGCTTCGCAGCCACACGCGACGATCTCTCAGAAACTGGCAACGGTACGGCAAGTACATCGTGTTGGTTTACGTTCATCGAAGTCTCCACCGATGGATCGTCATCGTCCGACGTATCGTCGTCATCGTCGTCGTCGTCAGCCGGCGTCGACGAGGTGCCTTCGGTGCCTGTGAGGATTAGTCATGTTGGTTTTGCATTGAATGGGTTAAGTTTCCTGATTGCAAAAGAAAAACCACAAAAATCGCATTTCCTAATGCAATGTAATGAAGGGGATGATTCCATATCAGGGAAGGTATATCAGCATTGGGGGTAGAAAACGACGCTTTCATGCATAAACCTTGCGCAGATTTTTCGAAGCAAAAATGGAAGGGGTTAAATCATAATGTTTTTAGTTTCCTATTATTAGTCAATTCGTATTTTTTTCAATTTTATGGGTTGTTATTAAAGTTTTAAAATAATAATAATAAAAATAATCAACAAAAACTCAATCCAGAAATTGAACTCAAGCAAACATAATAAATGATTCGGACCCGATAGTCACAATTTCCAGGTCAAAATTTGGAATGCATTTCAACTCACGTGGCGATGCGAGTTCTTCTCCGACAAGCTCAGGTGTTTCGTTCACTTCATCCTCTTCGTCGAGTTTTCCTTCACGAAGGAATTGTTCTAGTTGATGGCGTTCAATGTCCGCTTTTAATCGTTTATTCTTTATTAGAATTTTTCGACGAAGTCGATTCGGAGATGGGAGTGGAACACCTGGCTCAAGCTAAAAATGGTGAAATGGAATAATGGAGAATGTGAAAATAAAATAATGGTACCGCATAGTCGTCAAACGGCTTCGATAAAAGCATTTCACCGAAAATTTCCATACAATACTTGGCCATTTTGTGCTGATTCGATTTACTGCAATGATTCTCAAACGAGAGAATCACTGGGAAATCAGATCGTGCAAACGCAGTATCTCGAATTTGCAAAAGGACATCCTCAAATCAAGAATTGAATTTCAAAAGATAGTTACCATTTAAGGAAACCTTAAAAAACACATCAGTGCACATTGCTTTTCCATGAGTAATAATCGGTTCGCCTTTATTGTCGCCGGTTCCATCCCAGCAATCTAATTCAATGCAACGACAACCGCTTAGAAGTACCTTAAATTGGAGTGGTTAAATAAAAAAAAATGATATATACATATATATATATATACCTGTCGATAAATTTCTGATGAAGATTTTCCACCGTATTGTCGACCCGTTAAATAAGTGTTGTGTGAGCTATTAATATAATAATGACATAGAGGTTGATCCATATCCTGGTAGAGTTCGATTCGATCAAGGAAAACCGGCGGATTCTCGTCGGACATCAAAAACCGTAGAAATGATTCACCCGACATTTTGCCGTTTTCGATGTAGTTGTTGTCGGTCTCATATTTGGCAATAAGCTGTTGAACGCGATTCGAATCGAAGAATGGAAACAGGATCTCGTTAAGTCGAGGGTCTCGCTGCTCTTCGTTCAGGAAGTTTATCAACCGATCTTTCGTTAGATACTCTTTTTGACCGCTTCTAAAATAAAAATTTGATAGAATAAATTATATTGATTAGAAGAAACGAATATGCTTTGCTTAGAGACACTTTTTCTCCGCGCGAATCAACCGAGCGAGACATGGTAAGCGTTGGATTTATTGCAGCAGCTAGAATACAGAAGTATTCGTAATAATTAATCATTGCGCGAGCAAAGTTTATAATTTTCTGATATATTTTCTTTATTTATTTACCAAATTCATTTAAAAAAAAGATTTTTACCAAAAAATGGTATTTATATTTTAAGGTCTCAGTTAAAGGGCCGTTATGCTACGGAAATGGTTCAGCGTGTATGATATACTTACAATTTGACGAAAAGCTCAGTGACTTCAGTTCTCGGACAGATCTTGTTGTACAATTTGAGGAACTTGTCAAATGTGAGTGCATCTACATCAAGTTCTTCTCGTTCCTACAAAATTTGTTTCGATTGTTTTAAACTATTTTTTACGAATCATAATTTTACGTGATAAACACTGCAACTGGGAAAAGGATAAAAAATGGTTCAAACTTTAGAAGTATCTATTTTTCATTCACTTTAAACAATTTTCGTCCGTTTCACAATAGCAGTGTGAATATATATTTTTCGATATCGAGAAGATTCAAAAGCGCATGTTTTTCTCATTACTTTGACGAATCCAATATCCGATCATCATTGTTAGTTATTAATGCGCTTTTAAATAATTCTCATAAATACTTACATGCAAATAATCATGCTAGAGAAAGATACAGACTACAAATAAATTTACGAGTGTATATTGATTTCAAAGAAAATAAAACGATTTTTTGCTGGGAAAGAAGAAATGAATCGAAATATAAAATATTGGAACCTTTCGCCTCCGATTTCGGCTACATTTGTAGAAGTTTCGAATCTTCTTGCCCATCGAGATGTTCATCGCGCGAGCCGGTGTGTACTACAAAATCAATCAAAACCTCAAGAAGTACAACACTCAACATTCAACATCGACACAGAACACACGGGACAAGCTGTGTTGTGCCGAACGACGATTTAAATTTCTGAAATAGGGAGGGACCACAACACAGCACATCACTACGAATACAGACAGTAATCCACCTATTCTGCGAATTCAAAACAGTGATAATTTTTTGTTGCTTTTCCTTATTCAGCTGCATAAATTATGCAGTTCACCTCGCTAATTATCACATATTTCAATTGAATCTTAAATACGTCAAATTTTTCAGATATATATAGTTAAAAATAAAACAGGAAAGTAAAAAAGAACGAAAATCGCAAAAAAACTAAGTTGAAAAATTTAAACGATTTTTGAGTCAAGTCCTACAAAATTTGTATGGCATGTGTCTTTGAAGTTTAAGCGAAACGAAGATTACGACAATTAGTTGCGTGAACTGCACTTTTACGTCGCCGAATAAGAAAATACAACAGAAAAACGTTTCTTTTCTATTTCGCTGAATAAATAGTTCAAAAGGGAACATTTTTGGAAATGATGCCGGATTTTTGCACGAAAATACATGCTCCTCTACACAGTCAACAATTATTTTCGTATTTAGTGCACTAACAAAGGTGCGTACCTTATCGCCACCGAGACCTAAATCATTTAGGCACTTTTGAACCATTTTCTCCGGCTTCCCCGATGAAAATGTTTTGATGATGAGTTTTATGGGAATTTTTCGTCGTTCGTTCACACTTAGCGTAAGCCATTTCCAGCTGAAATGTGTTTTATTCATGCGTTTTTATCCTCTGTTTTTGGCATACTATCTCAGGAGGTGAGTTGTAGGGCACACGTGTCGAATTCGCGAGTTCTTGAGAATCTCGTTGATCCCATTTCGCCACGTCTTCGCAACATCAACAGAATCGGCAACAAGGTAAAACGATTGAATATTGACGAGATCTTGCCCATGCGTTATCCAAATCGTTCGTTCCTCTATTGTCTCTCGAGCACCGCGTTGCTCCAGCTCGAATAATATCCGCCCATCTTTTGGCATCCCGGCAGGCCGCGCTTCCCATATCTTAAATGAAAAAATTACTTTTTTACGAATATTATGTCACACTTGTCCCATGTCAATAACTGTCGCATCTTTACCCTCGACGAGCCAATAAAGAAAGAAACCGTATTCATCAATTCTAACGTTGGCATTCAAATCAAGACACGTGCTTTCCTGAAATTTCATTATTATTATTTTTTCAATTGTATTCACACAAAATATTGATATTTATTTTTTCTTTTATAAACCTGTTCATTAAAGAAGAAATAAATGCAGATGCAACAAATTACGCATTTCTTCTAATGTAGGGATGTAAAAAAAATTAAAATTTAATGAAATTTTATACATTTTTCATTGTATGAATCAATCTTTGATGAAGAAATCAAATCTTCTTTGAAGATTCCGAGATGCGTAAATATTACAAATTTTTAATGCAATTTTGACCGGAAACGTCGGTTATCAAAGCTTCACTACTGATCTTTATGCGTTTTCTGTGCTGTATCAGAAATCTCATAAAAGTTATTCACTCTGATAAGACGCCGGCGAGCTTTTTGAGTTGATCAACACCGCCCGTATCAGAATACTGACAGCCCATTAAAACTCGCCGCCATTTCCCATTTATGACACGCAATAATAAGAATGTTGAAAATTCAGCCAACACATATTGTTCGATATTAGAAAAACTCGCGGTCTCAATTTTTCTCAACGCTCATTAATAATACCATAAAATGATTGGGCTTCTGGCATCAAGAGGGCAATGTGTGTCAATTGATAAGATAATACGAGATGATTATTATCGATTCAATCGGCTACCGACAATTGCGATTTCGTTATTTATTACCAATAAATTTTCGATAAAACCGCTTGCCGAGCAAGCATGAAAATTCGATTAAAATCTCAAACATCTGTTGATGAATCAATGCATGGTGGTAGCGGAATAATCGAGAATATCCGAAATTCGAAAATCACAAATAAAAATCTTACATCATCATATCGATCGAATGTGGCGCCTTGTAATAAACTTGGCGGTATGGTCGGCCTCCAATTGAACTGGAACTCTTTTGCCATGCTTTCTGTTGTCTGATTCTGGTGGAAATAGGTGGCGGGCACACCACGATGACTATTCTACGACAGATTCCACAAGAAAGTCGGTTTTGTATGACAAACAGATGCACGCCTGTAAACGATGAAAATGATGAAAAAAAAACATAATGTTTCAATTTCACAATATACGTCAACCGTATATTAATTTAGATTTCCTAAACGGATATATTATAAAGTGTGCACTCAATTATAATGCAATTTTATTTGTTTTACGTGGAATGTGAAAAGCGCATAGTTTGTTTCCCCATCAAAAAATGTAACATCTTTAATAATTATCTATTTAAAAAAGGAAAATGTTCTTTTCATAAGTATATATGCATAATCTGCCATTGTATGCGTTGGAAAATTGGTATATTGGAAATCGAAAAATGAGTATCATGAACGAAATTTTGAGAAATGGAATCTGTAGACTGATCGCGAAAGTTATTATCAACAGAAATCAAAATGGTGCTGTACAGCAATTTCTGATAAAACATGATTGCGGTAAAAATGCGACAAAACACAGCAAATTCTTATTTTCTTTGAAATTCAAAAAAAGTGTCACGGGCCATAAAATTATTTTATGTAGTGAGAAGAATGTTGTAACACTGTCCTACTATTCATATCTAAAATACTGATCAAACTTGATGGCATTATTCACAACATTCCTATTTGTCCATTACGATTATAATAGTATTTGTGGAACAGTTTCAGAGAAATGCAAAAAAAAAAACAAATAATAGCACTTGCTGGACGCGTAACGCGAAAACTCACGATAATTGGTTTTTGTGAGCAAAACGACAATAATTGTGATATGGCGCGGGAGACACACACACACACTAGAGTGGGCGGAGCCGCGAAACGTGCTCTCTTCGAGGTCGTCGTCGTCGTCAATAGGAATTGGCGTGTTTCCCCACGATTTCTGACTTCGTTATAATGATTTAATAGTTGTTGGCGGAAAGAATGGGAGGGGAATGGGTTTGAAGCTCTCACTCGCCGCCACGGATCATCACGATTTGCGTCACAACACGTGATTTGTGTGCCTGTGATGTCCTAATTGGGTTCCGTTTGGGCCAGATTGGTTTCAGCACCTCAAGAAACCTGAAAATATTCAAATTTAACTCAGGGGATTTTTTCAAAAGACGAAATCTTTTACGAAAAAGATAAATTAGGAGTTTTTAGAAACAACAAGGAAAACAAATTTGTTAGTTTGTCATTTGTTTGAAAATGTGGAAAAGCGAACACTTTTTCCTATTTATTCGTAATATAATAAAGCAACTAACATATTTATAGGGATCAACCTTTTCTTAAACTATTTGATGGGCTTATTCATGCAATAAAATCTCGGGTAAATCGAATAAAATATTTTGAGGTTCATAGAGAAACTAACGTGTCTCTATAACAATTTAGATTTTTCTCAATGAACTTTAAAAATAATTATATGATTTTAGAATTTATTGATATAATTTAGAATTTCCTCTGCAAATTTTCGGAAATGTTATAGTCGGTGTCCAGCGAGGCTGTAAGCGGGTAGATTTACAGGGATGCTTCTTTCTTTTGGTCTCGCGCGGACTAACTGGTTGTTTCGCATGTTTTTGGGTCCGTTCGATCCAAGAACTTATAAAATCATCAAGAAAAAGTAAATATTTCACGTTTAAATAGCAAAATAAGTGTTCACACGTTGCGAGGCCTTTTCAAGGCGCATGCGCCTAAATCTACCCGCGTACACCGGACGCCGACTATATATGACTTTAAAAAATTTTTTGTCTGAGAATGATTTTTAAAAATACACTTTCACAATGCAGGAATGAAAAAATGCATATTTAAGGTTTTTTACATTGTTTGTAAAAAATACATTTCGTGAATTAGTCCGTGACGTTCATTGAATAAATCGTGAAAAAGAAATTTCCGTATTAATATAAGCGGTCTTGAAAGATTCGTACAAGTAATGCAAACACACTCTACGCATTCTTCGGCCTACCGGAAAATGAAAATTCGAAGTGTGCATCTGACTAATCAAGGTAAATATCGCATTAGGAAAATCAAAAGTAATTCCAAACAGGAAATGCATCGAAAACGAAGAAAAGCAAACACGTCGCAAAATTTGTAATTCAAATATATTTAAAATAGTTGAGGAAATTTAGAAAGATATAAGCTAGAAAAAATGCCCACGAAAATGAAATGTCGAAACATAACGTGAGAAAAAAAAGAAAAATTGCCAAAGAAATGTATGATATAACACCGTTTAAATATTTGACAAACACTGATCCAACATTGAGCCAATAATGAAGAAAAAATTGAAATAGCGGAATGAGACGCGTAGACCGTTGAGAGATTGTGGGCATCACAGAGAGTGCCGCGGGAATACGAAACGATATTGTTATCGAACAAAACTATCCTGATTAAACTGACAAAAAAATCAACAAAAAAAGCGTGGAATATTTTGGGGCCAATTCAAAAATCAAAGAAGCGCCTATTATTCGATCGGAAGACTAAATGACAACACACAAACACGAGGACAACAAAAAAGTGAGCAAACAATTGAAAAAGCAATCAATAATGCATAGCATTCATGAAAATTCAAAAATTACTCAAATTGTAGCTTTTTCTAGATCATATTTACAACTCAAAAAACCAAATATTTACATATTTCTTTTTAAAATTTTTAATATGAAGAAGGAAACAAGTCATTAAAAAAGCTTTAGAGAAGTTGAATCGAATGCATTTATTTTGCAGATATATTTGAAAAAAAAACAGGAAGTCGAGAAGTTTTCGAAATAAATTGTCATGTTTCTCGAAATATTCAAAGCAAACATTTTTTTGTTTCAGAGCAATATCCCGCAATAAGTAATGAATGAAATGGGACCCACGTAATGAAATTCTCGACTAAAATGAATGAAAAAGCAATATAAATAACACAGTTCGTAACTGAGACGATTACACACTTGAAGAAGGGGACGAGTAAACATTCGGACAAGCTCGGAGAGCCTATATTACTGATACTAGTGGACTGCAACAAGAAAATGTGGAATGAATAAGAAACACGTCATGAATAGTTCAGTCAATTTGACAAAAAAGCGGGCAATGAGCAAAAAAATGCGTCACTTTTTTCCTTGCACCAGTAATTGAGGTTTCCGGGTGCCGGTGGATAATCACTCACAATGTACGAAGTCGTTCAATTTGCAAATAACGCAAAGGCTAAAATTGTGTGTTGCGTTCGAAACAAGAAAACAGGAATAAATTTAATGCGGAAATTGAGTACAAAACCCTAATTAATATTTATTAATAAACTGAAAGAATGTAAAAGAAATATGGTTTGTGGGACGGAAAACTTTCTTTTCTTCGAGGACAAGGGAGCAAATATAATATTTACTCGAATAGAAATAATAGTAAGCAGAATGGAATATTTAGTCCAAGGAGGCAATTGGAATGCTATAGGATAAAATATTAATTTTGTGAATTAAAAACTACTGATCAAGCAATTGAAAAAAAAAAAAACATTTTCACCCTACTTTCAAGCATTCTTAATATTTACGTAGAAAATAAGCAAATAATGAAAATGATTTTTAAAATATTTATAACTATTTTTTGAAAATTGATTATGAGCGAAACGAGGCTTTCCAAACATGAAAAAAACGCCTGGCTTCGCCCGACGATTTTGCTGAAAATAATTTAATTTCGAAAACGTGTTCGATCACGAAAAACGTGTGCAATTTTGCGTGTGGTGTTATTGCGGAAATTTAGAATTTGGTTATTGTCGAAGTCACACAACTACGACAAAATCAAAAGGACAACGATGGTCTCGACGCGATTACCATACGGTCATAGCGAATAGTTGAACACAATTTTTAATTACGAGGAAAACGTTTGTGCATTCCTGACAAGTGAAAAATGTTGTGGAGTGAAAACATTTGGAATTCTTTGTTTTTTTAAGTGCGTGAATTGGTCCATGTGAATTTTATTATTTTCTCGTGTGGAACAAATGTTTCAAACTTATAGTCGGCGTGCGGCTTTTTTTTGGTCTCGCGCGAACTAATAGGTCATTTCGCATTTTGTGAGTCCGTTCGATAATTTTTTAAACGAATTACCTTGAAAATTCGAGGAAATGCGAAAATCATTAAGAAAAAATAAGTCGTTCACATGAAAACAACAAAATAAGTGTTCACACGTGGCGAGACCTTTTCAAGGCGCATGGGCGTAAATCTACCCGCGTACAGCAGTCGCCGCATGCCGACTATATAGATTTCTATTAATTCGAATAAAATGTTAATGTTGATATTACATACTTACCGCAATCTTGTGTGAGAAAATATGAAAAAAAAAATGTCAAAAATGTTTCTATCGCTTACTTTACTTTTTTTATACTTTTGGAAAAATAGAGAAAAATGCTGCGACAACTTTGGGTTTTCTATTCAAATTAGTATTCCGAACATTGTTTTTTTTTAAGAATGCAAATAAGTTTGAAAACTGACAAAACTTATTATTGTTCGAATTGATTTTGGGTGGGGTGAATAAAAGACTGTTCGAAATTGAATGGCGACACAGCGAAAAAGAGACGAAAATCATGTGCTTGTGTGAAAGCGATTCAGTCGGTTGTGAAAAGCCGTTATTCCAGTGCGATTGGCAAAAAAATAGGAGGAAAACAACACAAGTTTGTAATTCAATTTACAAAATGGCGGCCATTAGGGCCGAAAGGCAATTAACAGGTAGCTTTTACATCACCTGTCAGATGTGGTAAATGTCGGTTTTGGCAGGTGAAACGCTTTCAGCTGCACACTGTGCATTTTGTGCCCTTGCAAGACAAAACGAATATGGAAAATTGCTGAAAAGGGATAAAACGTTTTCGAAATGGGATAATGAGATCATCTAGTGTTTCATAATTCAATTAACTCTTTCAATTCATCCATCATTAAATTGAATTGCTCAAAAAGGCATTTACGATAAATTTCGTCTAGACGATATATCGTGAATTTCACAAATTAACC